CGGTTGGGAGACGCCCGAGGGTTCGGCTAACGGCCCCCCACCACCCATGCGAGGCGAGGTGCGACAGCCAAAGGCGAAATGGCACGTTCCTGAACGACCCCTACACTCGCCACAACGGCACGCGGAACGGGCGCAATGCACGCATCGAGGCTAAAAGACGACGCTCGGGTTGCACGAGTCGGCACAGGCGATCGACGTAGCCGGATGCAACAGCGCAGGAGCGTTTTGACAGTCCTCGAACGGAATATATAGATCCAGGTCGACTCGCCACTCGTCGATACCCACTTTGCCTCCTACACTTTCTTCTCCTGGCGCTGCACACCACTGCCACTCATGGAGGTTTCTACGCTTCCCGTTGAGCGGCGCGCTTCCCCCTCGCCCGGTTCGGACGACATGGTGCACAAAGACGAGCACGATCTCACGCCCACCCAGTCCGCCTCTACACCGCTCGTCAAACCTCGCGCAAACAATTCGGTGCTGCTCATCCTTGCCGCTGGATGTGCGCTGCTGTCGGACGGCTACCAGAACTCGCTCATGACGATGGCCAATGTCGTCTTTCGCACGCGCTTCGGCTCGAAAGTCTACACCTCGGCCGTCTCGACGCGCATCTCGAACGCCTCGCTTGTTGGTGCTATCATTGGACAGATCAGCGTCGGTATCATCTGCGACCGCATAGGGCGCAAAGCAGGCGTGACCATCACCACGATCCTGCTCGTCACGGGCGCCATCTTTGCTACCGCCGCCTACCCCGTCGGTGGCAACCCACAGAACATGTTTTGGTGGCTCACTGTTGCTCGTGGTGCCACCGGCGTTGGAATTGGAGGTAAGTCCCAATCCCCCTTCCACCACCACAGTGCGAAAACTGACAATGTGTTATCAGGCGAGTACCCTGCCTCCAGCACAGCGGCGAGCGAAGCAGCCAACGAACGCTTGGGCAAGAAACACCGCTCGCAAGTCTTTATCCTGGTCACCAACCTCGTGCTCGCCTTCGGCAACATCGTCTCTCTCAGCGTCTTTATGATCGTCCTATCCGCCACTGGCTACCGCAACACCACCGACGCTGCAGGATTCCACAAGCTCGGCATCATCTGGCGCGTAACCTTCGGCTTTGGCGCACTCTTCCCGCTCATCATCTTTTACTTCCGCATGCTCGTCATGAACGCCAGCCTTTATCGCAAGACCGCCATGCGCAAAAAAGTTCCCTACATGCTCGCGCTTAAACGATACTGGCCAAGACTCCTAGGTACTGCGGGTGTCTGGTTCATCTACGACTTTGTCGTCTTCCCGCTTAACGTCTTTTCGGGAAGCATTATCGCCTCGATCCTTAAGACTCCAACGCTGCTCAAGACCGCGCAGTACCAGATGCTGCTTTCGTCAATTGCAATTCCGGGCGTCTTTGTGGGCGTTGCACTTCTGCCCCACTTGGGCTCGCGCAAGACCTTTATGCTCGGTTTTGGCGGTTTCCTCGTACTTGGCCTCATCATCGGCTGCGCATACGACCGCGTCATGTCCTCTACCGTCGCCGCCGTCATCCTCCTCGGTCTGATCAGCAGTAGTGGTAACGCCGGGCCCGGGAATCTTTGCGGATTAGTCAGCAGCGAGTCATACCCCAGTGCCTTGAGGGGACAGGCGTACGGTGTTTCTGCCGCTATCGGCAAGGTGGGTGCCGCAATCGGGACGCAGGTCTTCACTCCCATCCAGGAGCATGCCGGGAAGCGCTGGGTGTTTATCATCTCGGCGATTTTGGGTCTGATCGGTATCGCGCTCGTGTACTTCTTCATCCCCGAGACGACGCGCTTCGATCTGGCCGACGAGGATCGAGCCTGGCTGCAGTACCTTGTGGACAATGGTTGGGATGGCGACATTGGCGATGGATCCGAGGGCGTAGTCAACGCAAAGCAGGCGCTCGAGCGCGTGCGAGAGGCCGAGTACAAGCCCAAGAACACCGACGACGAGGAGTCGGTCGGCTCGCAAAAGTAGTGCTGTGCTTGCATCATCGCAATGGGAAGTCGTACATGTCGTACAGCAGTGTGGCGCTCGTTTTGGCAACGGTATGACGATGCTACTGATCGCACGATCGCAATCTGTTAGTGAAGCTGCATGGTGACACGCCGAAGCTGACAGGCGTTGTGAGAGATTTGTTGGAGCCAGCGAGGGTGAATGCTAGGACACTGGGACCAGGCGACGGACGGCTTAAGAGTCGTAGGCTCGGAGGAGTGTGTTGGAAGCTGACACGAGTAAAAGATGGTGGTCGAGAACGGGAAACCTGATCACACCGGCCGAAGCCAAAGGATATTTAGAGGCAGATCTCGGGCAACATGCAATGCGCGTGGATGCTGCGCATGAGTGGCCACCTCCTAAGGCGGTACCATTGCACCGTCGAATGGGCAACGGTCGCTCATTGTATGGGCAAAGGGTATGGCGTGCTCAGAGCCCCTTTCTCGTTGACTCGGCCATCGTCCGTCCCGTTCGGATGTCTACAAGTAGTGCGCGATCTTCTCGTTTTCGGTGGTCGCAATCATCGTCAGCTCTTCCGTTTCTCTCCTGACGCAGTTCTGGACTGCTGTGAGGCATGACACAGAAAAAAAGCGCGACGATGGCGACGTGCGCGGCAGGCTGTTCTTCTGACGAGCAGCACTTTCAATCATGCCTGCCGCGATTGAGACTCGGAGCTCGAGCCAAGCTCACACGCCACGCATTCCTCGTTGCCTTGCAGCTCATGCATCCGCCAACGCCGCATCCTTGACTCGCCTCTCGTCGCCCCGACCACTCACACCGCACGCTAACACGACACAGGCGAAGATCGACATTTCGAAACAGAGACGCTTGATACAGCAGCGACCAATTGGTAAGGGGGCGGGCAGTTTCAGTGGATGGCACCCTGGCGGGCGAAATGGAAGCGCTCGCTGACGCCATCGAAGAACAGCTCGATGGCATGCGAATACTCGACCCTGTTGAGCGACCAACGATCGGGAGGCGGCGGCGGAGCTCCATCGACGATATCGAGCTCGGTAGGCAATCCTGCATCGGCGGGCATTCGTTCCGGATGCACTTCGTAGCGACGAGCGACCTCGACGCAGTGGTCAAATTTCCGGCGGGTGGCACGAGACATGCGATGGATCGGCTTGGGACCAGGATCCTTGTCAAGCAGTAGGGCCATGAACGGGGCAGGGCCACCAAGCAGACCAAGCGCCGTAAAGGAATGAAGGAACAGACAGCCCGAGATGTCGAGCGCGAGCAGCTTGGTTTGAGCCTCTACCACCTCGATCGAAAGGACGGCTGCGACGAATTCCGAAAGGAACGCAAGGATGCGCAGAAAGTATTCGTTGGCTGCGGGCGAGAGTACCGGAGGCAAGGCGTCTCTGTTGAAAACTTGGCTGCGCCGTCGATCCAGCATGTCGTCCAGATACATGGCTGGTTGGTCTGAGTTCCGCGCACACCACCCTGTCGGTGACGAGCGCGAGATAAGCAGGCTACGTGGTTTTTACTGACTATCGATCCACTGGGCAAACACCGAAGAGTCTCTGCAGACGGCGGCTCGTATTAGAGAAGTTCGATCGTTCGATAGCGACGAGAAATCGAGAAACTGCCCAAGCCGAGCATGCGAGTATGATGTCAGGGGAAGCAAAGATGGTCTGTCGGCGAAGCTCTCGAGATATACGGCCATGCCGTGCTGGAGCCGCACATCTCGCCCTCGTAGCGATTCGGTGCCTCGCCGCTGTTTGCCACCCATCTCGCGCGAGGTCGACTGAGCATCCCCACGCTTGTCGTGAGGAAGCGTGAAGTGTGGGCGATGCCAGCAGCATATCAGTGTCTCTGCACGGTCGAGCAACTCAGCCGCAATCAGGCCAAGGCGTCGGCTCATCCGAACAGCCTGTGAGCCATTCGAATCCTCCTCGAGCTTAAAAAGTCCCACGCCCACGGGAAGCGTGACGATAGAAAGCGAGTGCGGAAGTACTTGTTGTCACGGCTCCTCCGCTGCTCACTCAGCCAGACGCGCAAGTGTCCACTGAAGCCGCAAAGGACCTCAAGGCAGACCGTCGGTCGGAGCTGTGCAGCTGGTGGTCAGCCAAGGTCTCGTCTGCACAGACCCATACGGGAAGCGATCAGAAGGAGGAGCCGCTCGCTGAGCGAGAGTCGATCGCGATCGCAACGCCTATTCGGAGCGATCAGCGATCGCGATTGGGCACCAAGACGATGGCGGTTCAGCCGCAAATACATAGCCTCCGCACCGAGGGTCCGGCTTGCCTCATGAACTCGATGCCAAACATGGGTGTGTTTGCGGTGCGTCGGAAGGGGCATGACAGATTCGGACAACTGCGCGCGTGTGTGGGGGGGATTAAAGCCGACCGAAGTCGCAGCATACGCGTCGGTTTTGACGGTTCTTGCTCCCCCGCACACGGCTGCCCCACAATTCTATCCAAGGATCGCCAGGCTTACCCGCGCCCTCCTTTCGCATACGGGGTCCGCCGTGGTCATGCCGAGCCATGCCAACCCCGCCGGCACCAAGGGTCCTGCCTCCCCCACCAACAGCAACCGGGTCGGCTTTGACGGATTCTCGCTCCATCCTCCTGTGCCCCCGCAATGTTGTAGGATCGCTACGACCGAGCCACCCGGATTTTAGAGGTGCATGCGTCCTAACAAGCTCGTGTGGATGCAGTGTGAGCATGCAGCGCTACGGCCCATGGCTGGCAGCAATACGAGTGCAACCCCGTGCGAGAAGCATAGCTGGATCGGGAGCAGAATCGGGTGATAGCATCCACTTCGGCGTCTAAACGCAGCAGGTGGAGGGATGTCGCATACAGTCGAGTGTAGAGCGAGATGCGGCGGCGGCAGGGGGCGGCGACTCGATGCAATTGACCGGCATCTCGTGCGTTGGATGTGCAACTCGTTCTAGCTTCCCAACCCCACGCCAACATTGCAAGACTTGGACCGAGCGCGAGCGCAAGCACGAGCAAAAAGGCAGCAGCAGCAGCAGCAGCAGCTAACGCAAGCGAGCATCGGCATTTTGGACGCGTCCTAGGTCGGCAATCCCGCCCGTGTGGATGGTCGCCGTCGTTTCTCACGCGAAAAGGCAAGCAAGCACCACCCCGCGCATGCGCCAGCAGCGTCCTCGCCGAGCTTGGCAACTTCAGCCCAGCAAAGGCGGGGGGAAGGCGGGGCAGTGCGAAATTGTGAGCCATCGGGTCAGTAAGAGGGTCGGCGACCCAAAAATCCAAAGCGGCCATCGCCAGTGTGGCGCTCGAGCCGTCTCAAGATCTGCGCTCGAGCTGGATGACGCTCGTTCAGTACAGTATTTCTCCGATCGTGTCTCGCTCTCCTCGGTCTTGCTCCAGCATTCACTACGCCTCGCTTTTGATTGTCTCGCTGTCTCTTTCCCTCTGTGTGTGAATGTGAGGAGCGAGCTGGGTGAAAGACAGGAGAGCCACGCCGAGGCAGGCCAAGCTCGGTCGGAAGCGACCCGCGCAAAAGCAAGTGCGTAGTGCATGCACGCCGGTGCGGAGAGAGATGCACGCACGCACCTTGATTCTGGGGTTAGAGCGCGCCCGCCCAAGCTCGATGTGGTCACAGCGGAGGCGCAAGGCAGAGGCAGCACAGCGCAGTGCGAAAAAGCTTGCAAAATCGCGCCTGCCAATCGGCACATCCGGAGTGTGATGTGCTCTTGGAGAGAGAGTAAATTTTTCGCCTCTTTTTTTTTTTCCCAGCCAGACCTGGATATGGCGCGCGATTCTCGCTTGTCCCGACGGCGCTCTGGAGCCGCTTTTTTTCTTTCGCCAGTCGCAAGGGGCAACCCAGAGAGAGAGCGAGAGAGGGACGGCAGCCGCTCCAGCCTTCAAGCCCGAAGCTACCCATCGCTGAGGCTCTTGTCTCTGCTCTTCTCATCGTGTGCCACCGCCTGACCCTTTCGGCCATTCCGCAGTTGCACTTCCCCTCACCCTCGTCGCCTCTCTGCTCCTCGTCACACGCATCGCATCGCCTGTGCCTCCCCACCAGCACATTCTCCTCGCCTCCTCTCGCACCGACCTCATCCGCCGCCGCCAAGCTTCCGCCGCTGCCCGTGTACCTGTTCATCCGCCGCTCATCATCGGTCTCTCTCCGTCTCTCATCGTCGTTGTTTGCACTGACCTCTTCTCTCCCTTCCCACACACCATCCAACCCTTCGGCCAAGCTCCGTATCCGGTCGTCATCTAGCTTGCCGACTCCCTCCTCCTCCTCATCACTCGTCACTCGTCACCGACCCTTCCCCCCTGCCTAGTCGCGGCGACCACCCGCAGCCATGTACGCCTCCGCCGTCCGAAGGTCCACCACCTTCACCCTCGCCAATGGCGCCCAGATCCCCAAGCTCGGCTTCGGAACATGGAAGATGTCCAAGGAAGAGGCCGCGCCCGCCGTCGCCCACGCGCTCAAGGCCGGCTTCCGCCACCTCGACTGCGCCTGGGCCTACCGCAACGAGGACGCCGTCGCCCACGGCATCAAGCAGGCCGGCATCAAGCGTGACCAGCTCTGGATCACCTCCAAGCTCTGGAACAGCTTCCACGACCCAGAACACGTCGAAAAGGCGCTCGACGACACGCTCAAGGACCTCGGCACAGACTACCTCGACCTCTACCTCATGCACTGGCCCGTCGCCTTCATGAACGCCAACGGCGCCATGGTCCGCTCCATCCGCTCCACCGGCGGTCATCCCGTCGAGGACACCGAGCTCTCGCGCGACTTCATGGCCACCTACCGCGTCATGGAGGAGATGGTCAAGAAGGGCAAGGTTCGCAACATCGGCGTCTCCAACTTCAACATCCGCCGCATCAGCGAGGCCACCGAGGCCGCCGAGATCAAGCCCGTCGTCAACCAGGTCGAGGTCAACCTCGGCGTGCACAACGACGAGCTGCGCAACTATGCGCACGCTCACGGCGTCACCCTCCAGGCCTACTCGCCCTTTGGCTCCAACCAGAACGCCGCAAAGTACCTCGAGGACCCCGTCGTCATCGACGTCGCCCAGCGCAACAACATCACGCCGGCCCAGGTGCTCCTCGCATGGACGCTCGGCCGTGACATCATCCCCATCACAAAGAGCGTCACGCCTTCGCGCATCGAGGAGAACCTGCGCGTGCTCGACATCCAGCTGCCCGAGGAGGACATTAAGCACCTCACCGACGAGGCGCTCAGCCGCCCCATCGAGAGGACCGTCGACCCCACCGAGGGCTGGGCCGTCCAGGACGAGATCTTCGAGGACGGCATCGACCAGACGCGCGAGATGGAGCTCAAGGGCGGCGCTTACGTCCCGCCTCCCGCCCACGAGTCGCCCATCGAGCACCGTCTCGAGCCCCGCAACGACCCCGAGGCGCCCTCGCGCCAGTTCCACACCTCGGCACACCCCATGGCCGCTGCCTCCTCGGCCTCCTCCAGCCGTCGACCCACCGCCATCCAGGCGCGCCTCTCGCCTCGCTCCGGCTCCTCCTCCTTCTTCCGCAGCTTCGCCTCCTCCAGCCGCTCGGCCGCCGTAGCAGAGGTGCAGCCTCCCACCGCATCCGAGGCGCCCGTCGTCAGCACCAGCCCGCTCCTCCGCACCACCACCGACTCGGCCATCGCCACCCCGGGCCTCCGCTTCACCGACCGAGAGAACAACATTGAGAGAGAGACCAAAAAGATGAACATGTACACGGTGCGTACCTTTTCCACATCCGCCGCCTCCCGTGCCTCGGTTTCCGCCTCCCCTTCCGCTTCCTCATCAGCAGCCGCACCAGCACCCACCTCGTCGTCGTCGCGCACCTTCCCGGACAAGAAGGCGTTCCTGTACGAACAGTACCTGCGTCTCTTGCGCGACAGCCCCATGGTGCTGGTGCTGCAGCACAACAACCTCAGCGTCGCCGACTTCTCCAAGCTCCGCGCTGACCTCGCCGCCATCAAGCTGCCCGAGGGCGAGGCGGCGCGTGCCAGCCTCACCGTCGTGCGCGCCAACCTCATGAAGGCGGCCGCACGCGAGCTCGAGGCAGACAATCCCGCCATGGCTCAGCTCCAGCCCGCACTCAGCGGTCCGATTGCTTTGCTGACGTGCCCCCATCTTACCCCTGCGTACCTCAGCGCGCTGTTTAACGTGGTCGACCGTGCGCTCGGCCATGTGCCGCCGCGTGCGCCGGCTGCGGGACAGTCGTTCCCCGCCGTCGCGGTGGCCAACCCGCGTCTGGTGCCCCTCGCCGCCGTGCTCGAGGGCAACAGGCTCCTCCCGGTGCCCCAGACCCGAGACGTCGGCAGGATCGGCAGCCTGGACCAGCTCAGGGCACAGATCGTCGGCCTCCTCAGCGCGCCCGGCCAGCAGCTGGCGGGCGTGCTCTCGCAGGCCTCGGGCTCCCAACTCGCGCTCACTCTCGAGGGCCGCAAGCGCGACCTCGAGTCGAAGCAGCAGTAGGCGTAGTCCGGCGTCGTGCTTGCCTGTTCGTGCTCCTCCCCGTTCCATCATGTAGCTGTACATCATCGTGCTCGTTTCCCCGCTCCCCTTCATTAGTATAGATCTGCACCGCCAACAGACCACATTACTCGCTGTCCGTGCGGTTGGCTCTCTGCACTGTGTCTGCACTGCTCTTGGCTCTCGTTGAGGCGGATCGGGGATATGCTGACGCTTTCCATTCTGCTCTAACCCCCTTGCTAGGCGATCCGCGATGCGCAGGCGCATGTGCTTGCCGCCGATCCGACGGCGTGCGTGTTTGGCGAAGACGTTGCGTTTGGCGGAGTCTTCCGTTCGACGATGGGCCTGGCCGAGGAGTTTGGGCGCGACCGCGTGTTCAACACGCCGCTCACCGAGCAAGGCATCGTGGGCTTTGGCATCGGCATGGCCGACATGGGACACACAGCCATCGCCGAGGTGCAGTTTGGCGACTACATCTTCCCGGCGTTTGATCAGATTGTCAACGAGGCGGCCAAGTACAACTATCGCTCGGGCGGCCAGTTTAGCGCAGGCAAGCTCACCGTCCGCGCGCCGTGCCAGGGTGTCGGACACGGCGCGCTGTACCACTCGCAGTCGGTGGAGCAGTTCTTCATGCCCGTTCCGGGGCTCAAGGTGGTGATCCCGCGCAGCCCGATCCAGGCCAAGGGGCTGCTGCTCTCTTCGATCCGCGACGAGAACCCGGTGGTGTTCCTGGAGCCCAAGATGCTCTACCGCAGCTCGGTGGAGCAGGTGCCCGTGGACGACTTCACGATCCCGCTGTCCGAGGCCGAGGTGGTGCAGCCGGGTTCTGATCTTACGCTCATCAGCTGGGGCGCACCGCTGTACGCGTGCATCGAGGCGCTCGACGTGCTGCGCAACCCGCCCGCGGCGATCGCCAAGCACTTCCCGCAGGCGGTGCGCAGCGCCAGCGTCGAGGTGATCGACCTGCGCACCATCCTGCCCTGGGACCGCGAGACCATCACGCGCAGTGTGGCCAAGACGGGCCGGTGCGTGATTGTGCACGAGGCACCCGTCACCGCGGGCGCGGGCGCCGAGATCGCCGCGCACGTGCAGCAGAACTGCTTCCTCAACCTCGAGGCGCCCGTGGCGCGCGTCGGCGGGTGGGACACGCCCTTCCCGCACGTCGGCGAGCTCTTCTACAAGCCCGAAGCCATCCGCATCGCCGACGCGCTCGTCAAGTCGCTCACGTACTAGACCGTCCATCCTTCTCAATTGGCATCTTTTGTTTTTGATCCGTGGCGAGCTTTGCAAAGTGTGGGTGGATACAAGTACACAAGGGGGCGGCATTGGAAGTTAGAGGTTGAAGATGCGGACGGTGCCGGTATCCTTCTGTGGCTCATCACCCGCGTAGGCGAGGATGTACTTTGCCGGATGCCAAGCCAAGGTATTGATGGTCGTTGACGGAGGCAATGGAATCTTGTGAAGTGAGTCGGCGTCGGTGTTTGGTTGGGTAGCATTGATGGCTATGAATCGATCCTCTCCTGCCGCAGCGAGTACTTCACCATCGTGGCTGAAACCGATTGCGCGGGCGGGGAAGGTTAGATCTGTGATCATCTTGTGGGCGAACCACTCGTTTGTATCCCAAAGTGCGACCATTGAGTCCGATGAGGCTGTGGCAATGTATCGGGAGAGGGGGTCCCATTGGAGGCAGAAGACGTTGGCGGTGTGTGTGGCGTGCGAGTGCACACGTGCATAGTCTGTCGTCGTATGTAAATGCACCGATCCCGACCCGGAGGACAGCAGCAACAGTGAGCCGTCTGGAGAGAAGCACAGCTCGTTGATCTCGTCGGTTGTTCCCATCACCGTTGTGGGCGAACACGCATCGGTTGGAGCGGTTCTTCGCGTACACACCGTATGGACGATGCGATTCTGTCGTGTATCCACCACCGACACTGTATCCGTCTTATCCCCCACGGCCAAATAGTCCCCACTTGGATGGTAGGCTATATTGATATTGGCCCCTGGCGTCTGCACCGTCGTCACACCGTCTGTTGCATTTGCCTGCTGCGCACGCGCACGGGTATCCCAGATCCGCACCGTCTTATCCGCCGACGCAGTGGCCACAACATCCGCATGCGACGGATGCCACACCAGCTGGTCTACACTATCGCTATGCCCTTTGAGCTCCGTCGACGCGCGTGCGTCCACCGACCGTTCCGGCACCCAGATACGCACCACTCGATCCGCCCCACACGTAGCCAGCTTCCGCCCATCGACAGACCACCCCAATCCGCGCACAGACTGCCGATGCCCCCCGCGAACCTCTTTGCTCTTGAGCGCCCCAAAGTTCGGCAGAGTCACCCCGCGTTCCCGCAGCGAAGCCACCAACTGCGATGGACCAGCACCCGCCCCAGAAGGCTTTGACCCCGACGCCCCAGCTTGAAGTGAGAGCGACATTGTACGCCTGGAGACGATCGAAACTTGACGTTGGTCGTCGAGGAAGTGTGGAAGGAGGCGCGAGTGTTGCAATGTGGGCCCCGCAACCTCCACTCGCAAGCCCGCACAGGGTTGGAAAGGGTTGGACAGGGTTGGACAGGGTCGCGATGCGTGTCTCTCGTGCGAGAGAAGAGGCTCGCAAGAAGAAATGTCGTTCTTTGCCTTTTTTTTTCGTCCGTGTCCAGGCGGCATGTCTGGGCGGCCTCTCCCTTTTTCCCGCGGGTCTGCACTGATCACCGCCGTGGCCACTTGGAACAAAGCTTTGCGGGTGCGGAAAGGTGGTTTCTGCCTCTGCTCCTGCTGCGTGCGTGTGTGCGGACCCAAGAAGAAATGCGCCGCTTCAGCCGGCTCGAGGTGGCACTCGCACTGCTGCTCGCGCTGTGGTGCATCACGTCGCTGCGACATTCTACCTTCGTTCCTCCACCAACACCATCCCATAATTGTTCCCCCATCACCTCTTTCAAAATGGCTACCGAACAGAGTAAGCACACCCTGCCCCCGCACCATCCCGCCATAAATGCAATGCTGACCCGTTGGTTTTTGACTTTGGGTAGCCTACATTATGATCAAGCCGGACGGCGTGCAGCGCGGTCTGGTGGGTGAGATCATCAAGCGCTTCGAGGCTCGCGGCTTCAAGCTGGCGGCGCTCAAGATGGTGCATGCCTCCGAGGAGCACCTCGAGCAGCACTACAAGGACCTCAAGGGCAAGAAGTTCTTCCCCGGCCTCATCAAGTACATGGCCTCCGGCCCCGTCGTCGCCATGGTCTGGGAGGGCAAGGACGCCGTCAAGACCGGCCGTGTCCTCCTCGGCGCCACCAACCCCCTCGACTCCGCCCCCGGCACCATCCGTGGCGACTTTGCCATCGACGTCGGCCGCAACGTCTGCCACGGCTCCGACTCGGTCGAGTCCGCCAAGGCCGAGATCGCCCTCTGGTTCGGCGAGCAGACCCCCACCATCGCCTACACCCGCGCCGTCGACGCCTGGATCTACGAGTAAGCGTGTGCGCCATCCCCGCAGCCATGCTCGTCGCCTCATCACCACAGCGCTCGCAAAGCAATTCAAGATTGTGCCAACTTATCGCTGTCCTTGCGTCGTGAGAAGAGCCCGTGCTCGCAATCGTGTCTGAAAGCATGCACAGTCGCAGCTGAAACGCAAACAACAAGAGATCGATTAGACCACTCTGGAAGCAGCAAAGTGTCGACAGCGCGTTCTCGAAACAGCGCAATGGTGGTCGACCAGGAATGCGGAAGAGGAACTAGTCGGGACGGTGAACTTGCAATCGCGGCTGCTGTCGGGATCGTGGTGCGGCTGGAGCCAGCTCAGACGATGCTGCTGATGTCCATGATGCGGCTCGAGCGCGACGATGCACACGGCGTGGCGCGACCGCTGCTGCTGCTGCTCGTGCTGCCGCTGCTCGTGCTCGTCGTGACTCGCAGCAGCCGCGTGCTCCTTCGGTTCTCGCCGTATCCAACGTATGCAAGCAGGTCGACGAGTGCCTCAGACATGCCAGCCTGTGTCCAAGATCCACCCGCCGTCGCCGGCGTCACCGATCCCAGCCTCCTCGGACTCTGCGAAGTGCCCTTGCGAGTACCGGCACTCGACGTGCTCGGACGCGCCTGGTTCCTCCTGCGCACCGCCGCTGCCGGATTCGGAGCATAGTGCACCTTGGACCTACCCCGCACCGTGATCGGGTGCGACGTGAGGCACGCCACCTCGACGCCCGCCGCCGTCGTGAGCGGTCCATGTCGCGGAAACGCCAGCAGCGTCAGCTTGAGCGCATAGAACTGCTGGCCCGCCGAACCGCGCTGGCCATTGTTGAGCGTCGCCGAGCGGATCTGCACACGCCGGAACGCCGCGATGCTGCCCAGCCGACTCGCCATCTGCTCGTTGGCGCCGGCATCCGGCGTCAATGAGCCGCCGCTGCACAGTGCCACGGGCTGCACCGCCTCGCGCGGTCCTCGTTCGCGTGCGGGGCCAAACTGGATCAGAGGCACCTGCCCCTGCCGACCCTTGACGAGCTTGCCGTCCTTGTTCAAGACGTGCGCGCTCATGTGCACTGCAAAGCGCTCGGCTCGAAACGCATCTCTGCCAGCTGGCTGGCAAATGAGATCGCCTAGAGCTGCCGCGTGCGTGTGGCCGTCGGCGTCTTCTATGCGAAAGGCCACGTCGACCTTGAGATAGTTGCGGCGATAGCAGGCCCACTTGCCATCGACGACACTGAAGCATTGGTGCGTGGTGCAGTCGAGCTTGCAGTAGAGCCTGTTTTAGCAACACGTGGAGATCAGTATCGATGACTAGCATCAGGCATGGCTCCGAGAGCTACTTACTCTTTGCGTGCGCTGCCACCCTCCTGCTCGATGACGAGGGGCAGGCAAGAATGGGTCTCTCCGAAGATCTCGCCCGTGCTTCCTTCCTTCGGCACATCCGCCATGCCGGCTGGATCGTCGCCGTTGAGCTGGCCGACCGACGGTGCTGCACCGCCTCCAGATCCTTCATCGACGTCGACGTCGTCGTCCTCGCTCTCGCTGCTCATGTCGGGAAGAGGCGACATGTTGCGCAGGATGGGCATCTTGTAGAGAAGTTCGTCTGCGCGCTCTTTGCCAAGCTTACGGCCGCCGTCAGGAGACACCGGCGACAACTTGGTGGTGGGAGAGTGGAGCGACAGGCTTGGAAGGTACCGAGCGAGCTGCTGGCCGTGGTCATCCAGACTTCGGCGGTGGCCAAGAGACAGCCTGGGCAGAGGCTCCTCGTTGGGAGAGAGGGGCGAACGCGCAAGCGACCCCAAGTGTGCCGAGGCGTTCGATCGCGGCAGAGGAGGTCGCACTGCATACCGCTCCGCATGATCCGGCTCAGTGCCCTCTACCTGCGGAGCACCAAATCCATTGCGGGCTCGGTTCGTGTCCAGTCGGAAAAGCCCAGCTGGGAGAGGCGAAGGCTCCACGAAGAGACCCAGAGCGTTGGGAGAGGGAAGCTCGTGGCCGCTGAGGGTCTCGGCCGTGGGCGCACGGAATGCCACGTTGCCCAAATGAAAGTACGACCCGCCCGAACGACTAGCTGTGCCAATCGATCCGTCGTGCAACGCAGCAACAGCCGCGGCTGGAAGCTCGTTCGAGGTCGAGCGGACGGAGCTGGTCGGGGTCCAAGGCCCACTTCGGTTGGGAACAGCGAAAACAGGGTCAAGTCGACGAACGTCAATATCCATTCGAACGCGTCCATCGAATCGCCCGAGGTGATACACTTACTGCAGACTTGAGGATGACCGGCCAGCGCCAGGAAGTGAGGTCGGAGTCAAGGGCGCCTGGCGCGTGTAGCTGTACGATTGTCGGCGCGCCAGATCCGAAATGTAGTATGGGTTGCTCCTGTGCTCGCTGCCGTAGCGCGACCAGGAAAGGCTGGGAGAACGGGAAGTGCGAACGGGCCCGACCAGGGGCGGGAGTGTGGGCCGCTCGAAGTAGTCCAGGGTGAAAGCACGCGACTTGATGAACGGCGGGATCGTCGTTGGCGTGTTTTCGACGTGAGCTGGGCTCAGCACCTCCCTCGATTCCTGACGAGCGCCGAGCTGCGCGGCTGCCGTGAAGGAGGACATGGTGAAGGCGGCGCGTTCGAGCGTGGTGGAAGCCGGCTGCAGGACAAGTGAAGCTGTCGAGGCTGAGGAGCGGTGCAGCTTCCTTGCTCGCTGCGTCTGAAGCGTGGGTGACTCTGGCAAAAGCGAGTCTCGGTGCAGCGCGCTTCGACCCACCGGACGGGATCGCGAGAACGGTGTCGGAGGGAAGCTGCGATCGCTTCGGAGCGGAGAGGACTTGCTCGCGTTCCAATGCCGACGTCGCTTGGAAGCGGCAGTTGCCGGAGGAGTAAGAGGCTGAGAGGTGTGGAATTCTACGAACTTGGATGATCTAGAGGATCCATCGAGCGCACTCGTGCAGTCGAAGGCTTGATGGCCGTGTCGAGAGGCTGGCGGAGTGGTGACCGAAAGAGAAGAGCTGCTGGTGCGAGCTGCAGTCGGTGTCGAGATGGAGGAAGAACGAATGGCCTGTCGTGCGGAAGGAGAGTGGGGTCCGTCCAGGTTTGGAGCGAGGCGGTGGCTTGTGGTGGAAAGAAGAGGAGGAGTGGCGTGCACAAGGACGGGCTGCTCCTTATACGTCTCGCTCGTCCTGGTCGCCACTGCTTGAGACGGGGCATCGCCGACCGACGCTGAGGAGGCCGACGACTGAGGCACCGACGAGACGTCCATCGCGGGTCGAAGACAGGGCAGCAGAGAGCTGGACCGACACCGAGAGCGAGAGCAGGTCTCGAGTGCGAGCGATTCGACGGTGCTTCCGACGATGTGCACACGTCCGATTGCTGATCGGAGCTGATCCGAAGCGAGCCGGTGTGGATGAGACTGTGACACGTCCCAAAATCTCTTCCAGGCAGAGCAGGAAGGATGCGTAGTCACTGCACCCGAGCTGACTGCCTGTGCACCGTGCACTGTTGTTCGCGAACGACTCGCGTCCAGTCAGCAATCTCTCGGGAGGCGTCGATGTGGTGCGACGATGCTGAGGCAGCAATTGCAGATTTCCTGTCACCCAGAATAACGGCCGGAGACGAGCGAACGAAGTCGAAGATAACGAAAGACCTCGGGTTGCAAGGAAAGGAAGCGGCCAGCAAGCCGACGGCTGCAACGGCAAGTTGATGCTCCGACGCAGCACGAAAGGGAGTCGTCGATGCCGAAAGAGGCACAGCACTGCCGCCTGAGATGGATCGAGCTGAGTCGAGGAGGCGCCGCGAAGAAGGAAAGATGGAAGAGGCCGACGATCTACTTGTCCGTGTCGGCACCGTGGGAATCTGGTTTGCTAACCGATGGGCAGAGCTAGAGAGAGGTGCAGCAAAACTCGAGACGTCAAGGGCTCAGCTCGACCGAAAGACGCTGCGATTCTCGAAGCTGATCCAAACCATGCACGCGTGGCAGCGGGAACGCAATGCTGATGCAAGCGGAACACCCGAACCGCCGACTCGAGCGGAATCGAACGAAACTGATCCGACTCGCCCGCGTCTCTTGGCTCCTACGACTCTTGCCTTGAGGATGTTCACGAGTCTTGTGCAGAGAAGAAAGAGCGATGAGGGTCGCGATAGGTCAGCTGGGTCTGCTTCTCGCTCTGTCACGGCTGAGTCTCTTGGCACACTTGGCAGCTACTTGGCATGCTTCGGTCGCTTCCCGAAGCAGCTAGAAGGAACGGGCAGGGGCTTGGAGCTGGCAGCGAGCGGAAGCTTGCCGACTCGACGAGGCGAGGGCAGAGGACTGCAAGCTCAAGCTCCGAGTCTGGCTCGCTCGCTTGCCGAAAAATCATTTTCCTCGGACACTTCCAAGACTGCCGCACCGACAACTTTGCCGTGGCTTGAGCGTCAGAGTGTGAAGGCAGAACAGCGCTACAACGTTGGCAGCGCACCTGCGGCGAGGAGTGAGGCATGTGAATCCGTCACACACCCAGGCGCGAGATGCGTCCGTTTTTTTCGACGCGACGGATGGCTACGTGCGACAAAAAATGCGAGGCCTCTCTCACCCTGGTCGTCGTGTGACACTGCCAGTTGGGACCGCGTCTGCGCATCACGATCGAAGCTGACCGCCGTCCACACTCCCGTCTGTGAGTTGCTCGCACCACCCATGCCCGTGGCAGATCCCGTGTGCGACGTCAACAAGCCGGCTTCGTCGCCCTCAAGAGAGCCACGAGGAGGAGCCGCGACGGCGAGGCTTGGGCGAGGCGACGAGGGCGCAAAAGATTTTTCTCGTACAACGCGAGGCCGAACGAGGCGGTGGCGATTTGGGCCGTCCACTCGCGTAGCACAGCTCCAACCACACGGTCCACGAACGCAGAATCCCTCGCCCAGCACGAGACGACAGCCTCTCCAAGGGTACCGCATTCGCCTCTCTCCGCGCCGCAAAGCCAAGTGTACTCACACGCGAAAGAAGGAAAAAAGAGGTTCTTCGGAAGGGATCCCAGATGAATCAGCGAAGAGCGCCACACCAGGCCGAACGAGGAGGATCCAGATCTAAAGAAAGCAACAAAGTCCAGACTGTCAGTCACTCGCTACTCTTGCCCTGCAGATCGCCCCTGACCCTGGTTTCGGCACTCACCGTGACAACTGCCGCAGAGACTTCGGGTATCGCAGCTACGTCGATAGTCCAGCCAGTGCCCAAGGGTACACGGAGGTTTTGGAGTCAAGGACAGAAGAGGTCGAGTGCGAAGGGAGTGCGAACGAAGTGGAATGGGAACGAGAGGCGACGAGCAGCTGGGGACAGGCTCGCCTTTTTAGGGGGCGGGTGCATGCAGTTGGCGTGGGAGAGCCGATCTGCCACCTGCCAAGCAGCGCATCCCCCCGGCGTCCATCCGCTTTCTCGACATCCAACGCCTCGCCACTCACTCTTCACAGACCCTGCCGACCGCACGACACATCGCGTCTTTGGCAGTGACGCGGCCATGGCACGTCGCAGCCTGAATGCCAGCCAGCGCAAACAAGCTCTTTCCAGAGCCGGGGGACGGTGCGGCGAATGGACAGTCGAGCGGTTCTGACGATAGAGTCGCTTGTCGCGTCTCCACACGGGTGCATTTCGAGGCGGGGCCGAGACGGTTTGGGTTGGCTGTTGGGTCAGCTGGCATGAGCTAGAGCCTCGACGGTGCGGAGGCGAGCCGTTGCGATAGCCTATCCTCGCTGCAGTTCTGCACGTCTGAGGCTGGCTGGCATGCATCCGGCTCGGAAACCGTCGCAGAGTTTGGGCCGAGCTTAATACTACCTGCACGTCAAATCCGGGAAAAGCGGCCGGCAGATCTCGCTCGCTCTCATGCAGAGCCTCGCAGGATCTTGCCATTCTGCATGGAGCCCCGTCATGCAGCTTTGGCGGACATCACTGCGAGTGTCCTCTCCCGTCCAAAATCGCTTCGGACCGCTGCAGACAAGGCGAGAACGAAGAGCGACGCTGGATGCACGTTGGAAGTGCGAAATTCCGCGGTCAGCAGACGCAGAGCAGTTCGCAATCGCCACATCATCAGGCGGCTCCAACTCTAACTCTCCGGCTTGACAGCTTTGCCCGCTCATCCGCATCCCCCACTCGAGCGAAAAGAACGGACGATCCCCACTATGACTTTCTCCAACGCAGCCCGACTGGATGGCATGCCAGCGGACGGATCTCCCGATCGACAGTAGAGATTGGGTGTGCTAGTCCCGGAGCCAGCCGAGCTAAACCTAGATTTGGGCCCCCAACAAGACTCGCTCTGGCGGTCTTGCGGTATTGCTCCATTCCGCCTTCCGACGGGATGCTCAGCTGTGGGGACAGCTTCCCCCATCTCACGCCGCCCAGTCACGCCATAACGTGCGTCACACGATCATTCATAACGTGCGTCACACGATCATTACGACGCTCAAGCAGGCAATATGATTCAATTTTGATCTTTCAAGGTTGACGCAAAGGGGTATCGTACATTCCGCGATTCAACGACTCGAGACGTGGGGAAGAGGTTTATGCGGTCTTTTCGGCGGCGGCTGCAGCGGTGGTGCCGTCGTCGAGGTTCTTTCCCTCGGCCCACTCGAGTGCGTCTTGGCGTTCGAGGCCGTAGGTCTCTGCGCGCATCTTGGCCGGCGGCTCTCGCAGCGCAAACGGGTTGGGATCGGTCGACTCGAGCGAGGCGAAGGTGTGGTTGATGTGTCGATGGGTCGCCTCGTCCGCACGCACTGCGCGGATGACGTCGACGAGCATGGCGTCGTCCGAGAGCTGCCAGTACTGGCGAGCGATCTCGGGCGCGCGCACGTTCTCCCACTCGGGCAACCTGCCTTCGTTGAGATCGTCGAGGATGAACGAGTAGGTCATCACCGCCTCCTCCTCGAGCACGCCCACGAAGCGGTGCGCCACCCGCGGCGAGACGAGGTAAAACACGAAAAAGAAGTTGTAAAACACGCCCTGGGCCAGCAGCGCGAAGGTGCGGGCGATCCAGCCGGGCTTGGCGAGCTCCATGAATGTGAGCAGATGCATGCGTTCGTTTTCGGCGTCCTCGAGCATGGTGTGGATCCAGCCCTTGTCGCGCTTCATCAGACGCAGGCTCTGCAGATGGCGACACGTGGCAGCCACCATGCCGGGCACGCCGGCGATGGTCTCGAGAAAGATGATGCGGTTCAGCCAGCCGTCCGGTCCGAAGCACAGCCGCTTCTCGCGCATCTCCTGCAGCGTCATGGCGCCGTCGCTCTGCGCGAGCTTGCCCAGATCCGCACCGGTGCGATTCACCACCGCCGCAGATTCCGATGCCGCCTCGTCGGCGTTCTTGGCTGCCTTGAGCTTGTGCACCTGCGCCGCGAGGTGCGAGGGCAGTCCGACGGTCTTTTCGACGTCCTGCTTGAGCGGCGGGAACTTGACGCCGTTGTGATCGGGATAGCGCGTGGCCAGATCAAAGATGGTTCGCGCGGCAGTGCACATGGCCCTGGCCACTTTGTCGCCGAACGTCTTGCTCTCGCGATGGACGACCTTGACCGAGTCGAGATCGTGCTCCGAGTAGATCGGGTGGAAGAGGAGGTAGCTGCCGTCCGGATGTCTTAATCCGGGGCCGTCAGCTCGGTCCTTGGCCTGCACCGGCTTGCGTGCGGGAGCCGAGACCTGGCCGCGCGTGGGAAGCGCCGTGGCGAACCCACGCGACGAAGGGCCGGGCGTGGCGAGGATGGGCATGGTGCGCATCGATGCGAGCACGCGGCCCGAAGGCGTGGCGCGCACGACGCACAGCAGCGAAGAGTTGCCGCCGATACCGACCATTGTAGTGCTTGTGAGGTGTAGTAGAGTGGATAGTTGGATGTCTTGATGGCGAGAAGGGCGGGATGGCGCTGTCCCTCCGCCTACATATATGCCCAGCGAGCAACCGAGGCCAGGCGGGTTGGTCATGTGTTGCTCTCTCAGCCCGGGGTGGCACGAGCGGCAATCTTGGGCGCCAAAAATCCCAAAAGTGGCCGAGGCGAGTCGGAACGACGTGAACCCTGCATGCGCAGCCATCCGCGCGTTCGGAACGCCTTGGCACCAGCTGCTGCTGATCAATCGAAATCGCGCGCATCTCCACGGCGCACCCTTTGCTCGGCAAAGTCGCGTTTCCGAATCCACGCCCGAACTCCACGGATCACCAACCCATCCCCCCTTCATCGCATCTCCAGGGGGCGAACAACTCGAGCTGCAATGGGTGGATCGTGATTGGGCAAGGCTGGCCTGGACTCGGCGAAGCCAGGGATCGCTTTGCTTTGGCGCGCGCGGCTACTTTGCCAAAAAGTCTCCGAGGTACCGAATCAGTGCTCTGGTTGTTACGCCATGCTGCAGCCGGTCTCTCCCTCTCTTTGCAGGTGGTTCCGGGAAATTCTCGTGGCGCGCGCGCGCGACTGACTCTGCCCCTACAACCGGGTGCAATCGGTCCCCCCTCTCCTGGTGGTTCCGAATTGACACGCCCCCCCGACCGCTGCATTCGCACGATCGTCATGCTGCATGCAAGCAGCGCGTCCTGTCTACACTGGATCGATCCAAGGACAGCACACGCATATGAATGTTCGTCATTTGTCGAGTGGCAAGTTTGAATGAGCTTCGGAAATGGGGCCGAAAAAGGAGTGCAAAAACAAGGGATCGGAATCGGGTATCCCGATTCCAACTTCCGCCGACCTGATCCGCTGCCACACACACCCTCCGCCTCCTCGATCCGCACTCTCGCCAAACACAACGGACACTGTGACTCAGGACAAGTCTAGACTGCCACACACGGCACACAGTCACGAAGGGCGGGACGAGAATGGTACAGTGTGTGTGGTTGGGATGATTGCAGGTGAGTATCTACTGCATGCTGCGTGCGCTAGACCATGCAGCCGACAAATTTTGGGGGGTTTGATAGTAAGAACGGAAGCCAAGACTCGGTGCGGGGAATTTACTTCTGCGACTTTGCCTGGGCCTTGAGGACGTTCTTGACGATCTTGGCCTCCTCGACGAGGAAGGCGCGGATGATGCGGGTGCGGACGCACGACGAGCAGCGCGAGCCGCCGTAGGCGCGCGAGACGCTCTTCTGGCGCTTGGAGATGGTGCCGTATTCGCGGGGGCGGTGCGCCTTGATACCCGACAGGTCAGTGTGGCAGTCACCGCACTTGGGGACGGTACCGCGCTTCTTCAGGTGAAGGTAGCGGAGGTGGCCACCGGGGGTCTTGACCACCTGGCGGCGGGAAGACTTGGTGTTGTAAGGGTTGCGCTTGCGGAGAGTGACACGCTCAGCCATCTGTCAACAGCAAATCACAGAGGTCAGTAAGATGTACAGGACGAGCGGACGAGGCTGATTCCGGGGCACAGCATGCACCGCTGGACGTGTCGGGTAGCAAGTCGAACTAGTCGTGTGGGCGGTCTGCGTCGAGTCACGGCGGTCGTGCAACATGGTGGCGTGGGCTGGAACAGAGTCGGACAGGCGGCATCGGTGTGGTGCAAGCCTGACTTTGGCAATCAACGTCAATGGCGCGGAAGAGGAGCCGGCAAGAACGCATGCAGATGAACGAGACACTGCCATCCGACCTGGGTCCTGACGGCGTGGCTGGATGGTGCCGTAGATGCAACGAGGTCGAATCACTGCACGCAGTTTACCGCTGCTCGTCGCCGACTGCACACTGTCGATCGCCCACCATCGATGCCGTTCATCTATCTGCGATGCTGCAGTGCAGGAGTAGCTTCAGCTACGGAAAGGGCCGAAGCAGTCGCTGCTTGCGCACAACAATGCGACGAAACTTCCTGCGCCACCGTTGCTGACGACTATAACGCTGCCACCATTCTCCACTCCCCTATGTTCCCATCGCAGAAGACCAAGATCCACATTATCCATGTCTGAACCTTTCCCTCGACGGCAGGTGAAAGTACTCCCAGCACCTCCAACCCAGTGCGGCAACGTGAACACCCCTGTCGATGGCTTCCAAGTACCGAGCTATGCGCTGTTCCCGCCGACATACTCTGCTTCAGTGTCGGGTACAGTTTCGTGCGACCTGCTGGCTGTGTCTCCTATGCTGATGTTCTGACGCTGCGACGATCGATCTGTTGGGCGGTGCTGATGCGAGGGTTTATCGGTGCTGATGCTGTGGATGACGACTTCGAACGGTGGGTGCTGTGCATGCTGATGCTGCCGGAATGCTGTGCCGGGATGTACTGGATACCAACCTTGACGAATGTTTGGATAGGTGGAGAAAGGGTGGTGGTCGAAAGCAGGGCTCGCGATGGTGACGACCAGGCCACACCCTCTCGGCGCAGTGTAAGTTTCCAGCGGTGTTAGTGCCGACTCTGCTCTCGAGGCAGGGTGACTGCGGTGAGGTGCCCGCAATCTCCTTAGCCGCCTGCAGAACGGCACAAATTCAATCTTCTGGGCCCGACGCACTGGGCGGCGAGCGGCGAGCGGCGAGAACAGGTGCGCCTGGCCTGGACGGCCGCAGAGTTTCGTGGCTCGAGAGGACATCACGTGAGCTCAAATTCAAAACTGTATGTGATGCCTCCGTGTCGGACCCGAATAATCGCAGCATTTTCGAGCGAGAGCTGGGGCAACCAGAATGCGCTCTAACAAGTGCAAACAGCTCGATCGGGAAGGATTGCCTAATCGGACGATGGGGTGAGGACGTTCCGATGACTTTCGAGCTGCAGGAAAAAAGCGCCCAAAAGGTCGGGAAGAAGTGACGGAGCTTTCGTAACCTTGACCTTGTGATCACCACCAGCATCTCCATTACCGCTTCCCTACCAATCTTTATCGCGGCGTACAACCACCTCGCGCAGAGCATCCACCCGCACATCCTCGCGTCACATCGCATCGCATCGTCGCTTGTCGCAACGCCCCACCGGACATCATGGTGGCACCTACTGCTTCCGGCTCGAGCCTGGCGCGGCAAGTGGGCGGGATGCTGCTCTCCTCGTCGCGCGTCGCCACCACCTCTGCACTTCCACGATCCGCCTTTGCGCTCAGTGTTCGACACTCGCACGTCGGGAGTGCGCCATTGGACTTGCCTACCTCGACGAGCATTGAGATTCTGCCGTTTCCGCCGCATCCGAACCCGTCGCGACCGCTTCTGCCCTCGCTGCGCCACGCTCGATCCGCGCTGGTGAAAGGTCCCAAGGGCGAGGTGGTGGTACCTCTGCACGAGTGCGTGACGCTGTCGAACGCGTCGAAACCCGTGGCTGTCGGCTCGACGCTCGAATCGGCCCGCATCACGCTGTCGATCAAGGACGACAGCAGCAAAAAGCAGCGTGGCACCTGGGGTCTCACGCGCTCTCTCCTGCACAACGCCCTCGTGGGCGTGAGTGAAGGTCACACCGTATCGCTCAAGCTTGTTGGTGTGGGATACCGTGCTTCGATCGAACAGGACCCTCTTCCGCGAACCTCGAAGCTCGACATTGCCCTTGCGAGTTCCAAATCTTTCTTCCTCTCGGAAGCCGCCAAGCAGGCCGAAATCGAACGCGCAGAGAGAGTCAAGCAGGAGGCAGAGAAGCAGGGGCCTAATCAGAGACTCCATATCAGGCTGGGTTACAGTCACCCCGTCTTGATCCCCGTGCCCTACGGCGTGCAGGTGCAGATCCCCCAGCCCAACCGAATCGTCATCAAGGGCGCCGACCGCGAACAGCTGGGTTTGTTCGCAAGCCAGATTAGGAGCTGGAGGAAACCGGAACCGTACAAGGGCAAGGGCATCTTTGTCGACGACGAATCCATCCGTCTCAAGACCGCCAAGAAGAAGTAGTTTCTCCCCTCCAGCTTGTTGAAATTCACACAACTCGTCACGCTACACAGTCCAGATGTGTGCAAAAGAAAGCGTGATTGCGGTGTCTAGGCCGAATGCGCGTCCGAATCTTGGTCTTCGTGGTCATCTTCGGCGTGGTCCTCTTCGTCGTCTTCGGCAATCGCTGTAGTGAGTGTCTGGTCTGGATCCTGATCTATCCTCGATGCGCGCTTGGATCGTTTGGTGGATGCGTCCTTTGAATCGGCGTGGCGTTGACGATGGCTATCGATCGCCCAACGATGCACTCTGCGCAGAATCTCGGCTTCGTCCTCGTCGGTATCCACCGCCTCTGCCTCTCCGCCCAGCTCGACCAGCTGCACCGACTCGGCCAGACTGTCGAGATCGCTCTCCATCTCGCTCTCCGTCTCTGTCTGCGAGTCAAAGTCCGTCGTCGGTGGGGTATCCATCCCCACTGCTCCCACCGCCACCGGTCTGACTTCGGCAGAGACAGCTGAGCTGGAGACCGACACTCTGCGGCCTCGACGCGGTCGGCGCGCGTGCGGGTTCTTGTTCAGGATCCAGGTGAACCTCAGTCCCGGTCGGCTTGGATCGTCTTTCGAAAACGACGGGCAGCGCGATACGCGCGCAAGGCAGTGTACCACCAGACGGAGGAACGGATCGTGCACCAGCCACACTAACGCATTGGGCGTACGTTGAAACTCGACCAACTGCCCCTGCCTCTGCACCTCGTCCAACGCCACCGTCGGAACGTCCTCTTCCTTTCCTCCCATGGGTGTGGTAAAGTTGAACTCGGCATCCAGTAGGATGCGACCTTGCTTGCGGTCTTCAGGTGTGAAGATGTGGATCTCCTCCTGGGCCCACATGCGGATCTCGCGATCTACCAACCAAATAAACCGCTCCAGTTCGCCCGCCCGCTGGGTACGAATCATCTCGTCCGAGATGTTGCCTACTTCGAGGCGCTTGAGCACACGCTGGGCGTCGCGCAGACTCTTGCCGAAATGGCCCTGCATGGCCGACGCCGCATCGTGCACGGGCTCCGAGTAGCCCACTCCGCTATTGGCCGGAACGGGCACACTACCCTTCGCAGCGCCCGGGGTGCCGTGGAAGGTGGATCGAATCTCGTTCGAGTGTAGCCTGTAGTCTTTAATCGTCGGACGCACCGCGTGCGGGTTGGACAGCAGACGCGCGTTTTCCGACCGACGCTGCTTACGTCGACCCAGCTGCTCCTTGGTTCCCGACCGCGGTTTAACACGCGATGAAGACGGAGGGTACGACGACGATCCACTCCGTCGATCGAGAAGATACGACAGATGGTTGGACTGAGAGCTGCCAGAGTTACGCAGGATCGATGGCATCGACATCGGAATCGGTCCCGTGCACAAAGGCTTTGTGACGGCGGTCTGCGACTTGCCATCCGAGGACGCAGCGGCGGTGGTTCCACCAGTGGCCTTGGTGTCGAGCGTCGGAGGATGCAGCTCAAGCTGTGCTACTTCGTCCATCCTTTCTAGCTGCCTAGTTGCGGTGTGATGCGAGTTGTGTGTGGGTTCAGGTGGGCGGTGATGATGGGGAGGGAGGACAAAAGCGAGGCCGTGCGTGAATCCGGCTTTCGCTCAGCACTGCACCAGTGTGCTGCACGTCGGCACTTTTCGCTCACGTCAGAATCGCCGCCCCACCCGACTCCCGAGCTTTTCTTCACCCCCACCACACTCGCACACGGCAACAGCTTGATTGCAAGCATTAAGTCGCATCTCGCGCTATACACATGGAGGGCGATTGAACCGGCGAGGTATTCACGCCGTTACCGGGTGCGCTCCGAGGCGAGGGCATGCGTGGAAAGCGCAGCTTGGGCGAGGGTGCGGGCGAGTCGGTAGCGCCATCGCCAAAGGTTCCCGCACTGCATCCGCCCTGCGAGTCGTACGAGCACGCCGATGCTACGCCGCACGATGCGTCGTGGCTGACGACTCTCGAGCGCGTACCCAGCCGCGCGTCCAGTGCCGCAAACAGACTCTGCCTTGTCAGCCGCAGTGAGCCGGTGGATCTCGCCGACGCCCCCGTTCCCGGCCGCGACGTGGGTGCACGCCCCGCCACGGCCGCAGATCCGATGAACCGCATCGAGTCGGCCGTGTTGAGCCGCGCTGGCTCGTGCTGGAAAGGCCGCAGATGATGCTTCGCCACGTCGTGCTTGGTCGGCTTGACGCCTTTGCCCTTCGGCTCGCAATGGCCCACCTGAGCCAGTTGCGAGGCAGAGTCGTCAGCAGCAGGCGATAGCGCAGCGCGCGCATCGTACTTGCTGCTCGTCGCTGCCTCGGCTGCTTTCGCCGATGCAAGGCGCGTCTTTGCCTCCGACCGCCTGTTCATCTTGTCCGTGACGCTGGGCACGCTCTTTACCTTCCTCCGTGGCGACAAAGCCGGCAGACTGTGGAACGAGGGCCGTGAAAAGTCCGGTGGCAGCAGGGTCGGGAACGACGCATCCTGCTGCGACGAACCTCTCTTCTTCCGCTGCGAAAAGATGGGCTGGTGCATGATGCAGCCCGACGCAAAGTCGACCGTGCCACTGTACACGTGTGCATAGTGCGGACCGGGCGAGTCTCCCCGCGCGAGCACGGGCGAGTTCAACGCCGAGTGCGCCAGAGGTGGCGGCACGGGAAGTGCGGAAGATCGACCAAAGAGCACACACGAAGGCGAGTCTGGATGCGAGGGGATTTGACGCAGCGCGGGCGTGCAGGTGCTACCTTCGCCACGCACCGAGGGGATGGCGCTCGAGCCAGCGCCGCTTATGTGGGAGGCGGCATCGTCGCATCGTGAACCCGGTGCGCTGAGTCGCGGTGTGCAGGTGCGTCCGTTGGGCATCAACCCAAAGTTGCTCGGCGCATTGTGCTTGTCCGCAGCCAGCAGCTCTCCCAGCAGGTCCACCGGTCGATCCGTCTGAGCCTCGAGTGCTCGCATCGGACTTGATGCCATTTCTTCGTCGTCGCGAGTGTCCTTGCCTGTTACAGCCGCACCGCCTCGCACCCGTTGTACGACACCGAAGAGGCAAAAGAGAAGCGATGCGGTGAGCGTGCTCGCGACGCTGGCGAGCATGAGCACTCGACTCGTATGGCGCGGCGACACATTGACCCAGGCCATGCTGGGGACGCCTTGCAAGTTGGGACCCAGGAACTGAACGCACTGAGGCGCCAGCGAGCGCACGAGGTAGACTGACGTGCCGTATGTCTTGAGTGTCGACTGGTCGGTCTGGCCCACAGGAGCTGTGCGACTGGTCTCGTTGCGTACCGTACGCGGGCTGGCGCACGGCAAACCCTTGAGATCGTCGAGCATCACAACCGCAGCCAGCACCAAGAACGCCGACTTGACCAGCATAGATTGCCAGGATGAGCCTGCGCGCGCTTGGCATGATGAGCGGAGTGCTGGCTCAGTAGCAACGACGACAGTGCCCGAGCCGGCGAGTGCGACACTGACAGCTGCGCTGCGTGCCGTCAGTGGATGGATGACGAGATTGACAGCCGCATCCACCCACAACACCAGGGCTGCTAGCACACCAAGTGCGGCTCGCAGCACAGTCTGCATTGCTGTGCCAGACGCAATGCCGAGCCGTCAGGCATGAGGATGCAAAAGAAGGAGCGAGAAGGATGCAGAGCCGAGTGGACCAGCCGCCCTGCTCGAGTCGATAAGGATGGACGCGGATCAAGAGTACGACACCAATCGTCGCTGCAGATTCCAAGGCAGCGGACATGCAGCGCAAGTCGTGTGGCCCAAGACAAGAGCGTGCGTTGTGTTTGAAGCGGCGCTCGATTGTCCAAGATGAAGTGCGCGCTGCACCACAGCTGTGGGCGGTCGAGCATGTTGCGCGGGCGGTTGGAAGGATGGCCGGAAATGAAGCACAAGCTTCGCGTGCCGTTGCCAGGCGTGCATTGATCCCACCAACCTTGTATCGATACCGTACCATTCACACTGCATGTTGCTCCCACCTGCACCTCGACACTCAGCCTTGATCGCCTGTGATGTTACGGAGGACGACGCTGTCGACATCCGCCTCTGATCTAACATTCTGACATCAAGCGCGAGTGGGCGGCTGCATCGCTGCAGCTACTCACACCCACCATACTTGCACTGCAACCATCATGCACACACCTCACTCATCCGACGCAAAGCAAGACGTCTGTACGGGTGTAGCATGCAAAAAAGAAGCGACCCCAGGCGGGCTCGAACCGCCGACCTCAGCATCTCTCCGTAGGCGCCTTGCTGCCCACCAGCTGCCGGATTGGGCAGCCTTGCGCGGCGGGCGGAGGCGGCTGCAGTGTGTGGCGAGAGAATAACAGTGCTACGCTCTAACCAACTGAGCTATGGAGCCTTGAGCAGTTGTTGTAGAGCTGCTTTGTTCTGCGGGGTATAAAGGGCAGGTGCAGCGGGGAGCCTAGCGTTCCCCGACGGTGAAGCGGGGCGGGGAGGCGTCGAGTTGAGTCGAGGCGAGCATAGCAAGAGCCAACGGGGAGCGGCGAGCAAGCGGGAAGGCGGCTGTGAATTTGCGACTCCGACTCTCAGAGACGCGGTTTGGTGTGGGGACAAACGAGGCCGAGGCGAGGCGGCTAATCCGGCATGCGATTTTCCAAAGTGATTTGCGCCGCCGAACCTGCAGGGTCGCGCGTCTGAGCCTGCCATTCACCTCGACGCTCTGCTTGCCGCTTTCGGTGGTGTGCAACTTGCAGCAGCACGCTGAGGCTGTGATTCCGACTGTTCACAAATGGCCAAGCTGAGCCGATGGAACGCTCAAATCGGCGATGCGAAATCGGGTCGCAAATACGCATGCCCAAGAAACAGGCCCTGGGCCCAACCTTTTGCAGACACTTTTATGCTCACACCGGATCAACAGCATGCACACCATCATCTTCGGATGGAGGAGGAGATCGTGGCACAAGGAGGCCAAAAAGAAAGCGACCCCAGGCGGGCTCGAACCGCCGACCTCAGCATCACTCCCTCGCCTTGCTTCGGGCAAGGCGGGATGAGGATGTGTGTGATCACAGAGGCTACAGCCAGCTCGGTGCTGGTGTGCCTGTGACCTTACGGGAGTAACAGTGCTACGCTCTAACCAACTGAGCTATGGAGCCTTCTTTGCTTGCAATCAAGTGCATGCCGTCCCGTTATGAATAGCAGGTCCAAGTGCAGGTTATGCAGCATGCAGGGGGGTAAGGAAGGGAGGAGGGGGCCTCGAGAGGATGGTCCAATAACGAGACGCGGGATCGGCACAGTTAGACGTGGGCGTGCAGCCGCCTTTTCGTGTTTTAAAATTGGCCTTTTGAAATTGGGCGCGGAAAGCTGCGGCGGGGAGAAAGCGGGAAGCGCGCATTTCCAACCTGTTAGGCTGGGGATTTTGAGAACAGAATGTTATGGTGGGGCCGTTCTGACATGCGAGAATTGCGCGCCAAGCTTTTTGCACGGCTGCCGAGGGTGCAGCCTCAGCGCGGCGTCATCGTGCCGGCACTGCCCTGTGTGGACGCTGCGCGCTAAATTGTCGAGCATCGGCAGGGCCCGCGCGCACAGCCCTCACTCTACACAGCCCACACAGCCTGGTTCCGCCACACAAGCTGTGCTTTCCGCTTACTTTTGTCGGAGGGCTGTGCGTTCGGAAGCTCATTCGGCACTCTTGCTCGGGCTGGCTTTGGTTGTCGGTGGGTCCAAGGGTCCCTCTCTGACTCAACGTGCAGCGAGCAGCAGCGCCCATAAGTAGCCACCCTGCATTCCATCTCCCCACCCCACCACCGCATCCCATCATCACACTTCAATCCCAGACACACCTTCAACACTCACTTCGCACTCTACTCGCAATGTCGTACTATCCTGGCGCACCGCAGTCGTCGTACCCCGGCGGCCCGCAATCATCGTACCCGGGCGGACCGCAGTCGTCCTACCCGGGCGGCCCTCAATCATCCTATCCCGGCTCGCAGCCTTCGTACGGTGGCGCGCAATCATCGTACCCCGGCGACCCGCTCTCTTCGTCGTCGTACCCCGGTGGACCTAGCGGAGACCACTCGCAGCAGTATAACTCGCAGCCGTACAACTCGCAGCCGCACAACTCGCAGCCGCAGTACAACTCGGGCTACGGCTCGCCCTCACCATCCTACTCCCACGCGCCACAGCAGCAGGGCCCAATGCAGTACGACCAGAACGGCCAACCGATCGACGGCGAGCGAGGTCTAGGCACCATGGCGGCGGGTGCAGCCGCGGGGTGGGCGGGTAACAAGATGACGGGCGGCCACATGGGTGGTTTCGGCGCCATGGCCAGCGGCGCCATCCTCGCCCAAGTCGGCAAAAAGGTGTTCGAAAAGTTCGACGACAAGAAGAACCACAACAATCCCTACGGCGGCCATCACGGCGGTCACGGTGGAAACCAGGGCGGCTTCGGCGGCTTCTTCAAGTGATCCCCTCGTGCCTGTTCCTTCTGTACATAGCTTCGAGCCGACTCGTCCGCATTGTAATTGTACTCGTTTTCATATCCGCTCGTTTTCATATCCGCTCGTTTTCATATCCGCATTCAAGTGATTACTGGATGAACTTGGTGACGCTGTCGATGGTCTTGCACTCGGCATCCTCGATCCGAGCCACCTCTTTGCCCTTGGATCCCGAAGCATAATGCCATCAGCACAGTGTTCCAAATATGATCGGGGCAGCTTACTCACGTTGATCATCTTGGTGATGGTGGGGATGCACGTGATGCTGAACTGGGTTCGGAAGATGTTATCGGGCGATTTCCAGTCGGGTCTATCCACGAGCACCGTGTGGGCGTCTGCGGTGGAGGAGCCAAAGACGTGGTTGATGGCGGGTTGGGCGTCGACGCAGTCGGGACACCAGGGTGGATTGCCTGAGCTGAAGAAGATGAGGTACTGTGGCGTGGAGCCTGTCAGCGACGCCGAGGGGATGGAGGTGGATGAAGTCAATGTCATGATGAGGCGATCCGATCGGGGTGTTGGAGGTGAGGAGGAGGGAGAGGAGAGAAAAGAAATACCGAAATGCAGCGAGGAATTGCGGCCCAAAAAAGGGGCTCGGTTCGGAACTCGGAGGTGTTGGTTGCACGCGGAAGGGCGACGCGTAGAGTGCGGGAGCGCGTCTTCTTTTCTTCCGCAGTTGAGCGTGAGGTGGAGGTTTGAGCGCTCAACCGATCCTCTTGCACACCTCACCACCACCACCACCACCACATCTGCCTGCTTCACAGCCACCATTCGCGCCCTCCTCTACTCTACCTTCCGAGCAGCTGTGACGCACAGCTCAGCTGCCGTAGCTTCATCGTGCTTTCTTCCGCCGCTGTTCACGCGCACCATGACCACACGCACCTCGCTCGCCAAGCGGGACGCCAACACGCTCGCGTCCAGCGACCACACCAGCACCGACCACACCAGCGTCAAACGGGCCAGGACGGACAAGGACGAGTTCGATACGGACGATGTGGACGACGACGCGCTGCTCGCCGCTGCACTAGAGGCCGAGTCAGCCGCATCCTCCCAGCCGGCACCGTCGTCGTCGCAGCCCGTACCATCCACCAGCGAGGCGACGAAATCCTCACCGCCAGCAAGTCCGAGCAAGACAACGGCAACAGCCACGCCACGCACGTCAATGCGGCAGACTACGCTGGTGACGCCGTCCAAAGCCGCCCCCATTACAACACCTGCACAGCCTAGACTGCAACCTCCAGCGGACGATTCCGACCCGCTGTGGCTGGAGCGTCAGACCATGTCGCCAGCCTGGTTCGACATCCTTCGGCCCGAAATGGCCAAACCCTATTTTGCGACGCTCAAGTCGTTCCTCGCTGCACAGGACCGCGCAGGAAAAACGACGTACCCGCCTCGCGAGCTGATCTACTCGTGGTCGCGTCTGGTCCCCTCCCCTCGCCACGTACGCGTCGTCGTCGTCGGCCAAGATCCCTACCACGGTCCCGACCAAGCGTGTGGGCTGTCGTTCTCCGTTCCCAAGGGTGTACGTACCCCGCCATCGCTCAAGAACATCTACAAGGAGCTTGCTGCCGAGTATCCTTCCTTCCACGCGCCCAACCACGGTTGCCTCGAGGGATGGGCACGTCAAGGCGTGCTGTTGCTCAACGCGTGTCTTACCGTCTCGGCTGGGGCTGCTGCCTCGCACCACGGTAAAGGCTGGGAAGAGATGACGAAGCATATCCTCAAACGCATTGCTGACGAAGCCGCCCAGTCGCCGGCGGCCAAAGCAGCGAGTGCAAATGCGGTCGCCACGTCGACCATCGCGACTATGTTTGCAAAGGCCCAGTCGAATCCAAAGCCCGAAACAAAGCCAGTCCAACCAAAGGATGGCGAGAGGGATGGAGAGGAGCAGTGCAAGGGGGTAGTGTTTTTGGTATGGGGCGCTCCTGCAGCCAAGACGCTCGCAGAGGCAGGTGTGACCGACAAGTCGCCCAACGTCCTCATCCTCAAGTCCGCCCATCCATCACCTTTATCGGCACATAGGGGGTTCTTGGGTAACGGACACTTTAAAAGAGCCAACGACTGGCTCGCTCAACGATACGGCCCCGATGGAACCATCAACTGGTCCGACTTGTAACAAACGACCATACGAACGGCGAATGGAAGAATTGAGATTGCAGTTTACACGACGCGCAGGTGCCAAAATTGCGGAGTTGGTGGAATTTTGCGCAGCCGAGTTTCAACCCGTGAGCGGCCAGTCGAGCGACTCGCCGTAGTTCCAGTGTATCGACTTGACCTGCGTGTACTCCTTGATCGCATCGACACCCAGCTCCCTTCCGATACCACTTGCCTTGAAGCCGCCGAATGGCACAGCGTTGCTCACGATTGTGTACTGATTGATCCACACAGAGCCTGCCTGGATAGCGCCCGACACTCGCATGCACCTGGAGGCGCTCTGGGAGAAGACGCCCGCTCCGAGACCGTACGAAGTGTCGTTGGCGAGCTGGATGGCCTCTTGCTCGGTCTTGAACTTGGCGACTGCCAACACGGGGCCAAAGATCTCCTCGTCGACGATCTTCATTCCCTTCTTGCATCCCGAAAAGATGGTGGGCTGAACGTAGAACCCATTGGCGAACTCGCCGGCGCCCTCAGTCCACTTCCCGCCACCGATCTCGACCTTGGCGCCCTCCTGCTTACCCGACTCGATGTAGTCGAGAATACGCTGCTGGTGACGCTCGGTGATCTGGGGACCCTGGAACGTCTTGTTGTCGAAGGGATCTCCGATGGCGTGCTGACGGAAGGCCTCGACGAGCTTGGGGACAAAGGTGTCGTAGATGCTTTCCTGGACAAACAGACGCGAGCCGGCGGTGCAGTCCTGGCCCTGGTTAAAGAGGATTCCGAGAGCGGCCCAGTTGACGGCTTGGTCGATGTCGGCATCTTCAAACACCACCACGGGCGACTTGCCTCCGAGTTCAAGGGTGACCTTTTTCAGGTTGCTGCGCGCGGCGCGTTCCATAACACGCTTTCCAATGGCGGTGGAGCCGGTAAAGGCGACCTTGTCCACATCCATATGGCCCGTGATGGCATCGCCCACAATAGGGCCCAGACCGTTCACGACGTTGAGCACACCGGCGGGTAGACCTGCCTCGACGGCGAGTTGGGCGATACGCAGCGCAGAGAGCGGGGTCTGTTCGGCGGGCTTGAGCACGATGCAGTTACCCGCCGCCAGAGCGGGGGCTACCTTCCAGCCAAGCATACCGATGGGGTAGTTCCACGGGATGATCTGACCACACACACCGAGCGGCTCGAGCCGCGTGAAAGCCAGCTTCTCGCCTTCCTTCTGCTCGATCGTCTTGCCCTCGATCTTGTCCGCCAGTCCGGCGTAGTAGCGGAAGCATCCGGCAGTGTCGGCAATGTCCATCGTTTCGGCGATCCACCGAGGCTTGCCGTTGTCCAGCGACTCGAGCTCACTCAGCTCCTCCGCATGCTGCTCCAGCAGCTCGGCCAGCTTGAAGAGCACCGCGGCGCGCTGGCCGGGCGAGCTGTTGCGACCCCAGGTGGTGTTGAACGCCTTGCGTGCCGCGGCGACCGCGCGGTCCACGTCTTTCTCCGAGGCGGCAGAGACACTGCCAAGCGACTTGCCCGTGGCAGGGTTGATCGTCTCCAGCTCGCCGCCATCGATGGCAGGCACGAATTGGTTGTCGATCAAAAGACCCGTAGGCACCGACAGCGTCTTGCCCGAGGGCGACGCGATCTTGAGCGTCTCTGCGATGGCCATGGCGGATAGTCAGAATAAGGGTGTTAGGGATGACTATCAACGAGAGAGAGCCGGTGTAGAGAGAACGTAAGGGTCAATGTGGGCCCACGGCTGGGTACTTATGGGAGCGCGCCCTCTCGCTGCTGAATCCCAGCGCTCGTCTGCGCTGTGGCATCCTCGCGCGCTCGTCTGGGCGGGTCTCCCTCGCTTATTCTCGCCACCGGCGGCCGGTCCTTTGGCCCTTTCGCTTGCTGGCAGCAACTGCCGCTGATACCGTCGCTCGAGGGAATGGCCCGTGTGCGGCTCGATGGGATTAGACGCGCTTGCCGCGCTTGCCGCGCTAATCGCGCCAACCGCGCTGGCCCGAGCCCCGCCGCTCAAGATAGCGCGGCCTCCCATGCGAGACGCGTGTTTGTGGGGAAAGGAAAAAAGAAAGGCCAGACCCTGGCTCCTCTCCAACTCGCGCCAATTCCACGCAGCCTTGGCGCGGTAAGATAGGATGGAGCTCACGCACGATTGCACCGCCGAGTGTTTGCTCGTGCCGTGCATCCGCTGCAATCACGAGCGCCACCATCAAGCCACGCTTCCATCCGCAAACAGAGGGCGTGTGTGATTGCAGGGAAAAAAGGCGGATGAATGCTGCTGCTGAGTGGGATTCTCGACATTGAACCGATAAGACACCGCAGCGGAGGTTCCGATCCAAGGGACCTGCGTCGGAATTGCCGGCTGGGTTGGGTGATGAATGCGATGAAGCGCTGCAGAATCCCAGCAGCAATTGACCGAGAGGGGAGAAGAGCGAGGGGAAGAAGAGCCATCGGAAGCGTTGCAGCAGCCGCTTCGGATTCCTGCCGCCGCGCATTTCACCGGCCGATCCGAGCCCACGCTCGTCAAGCTCAGTCTACAGCCTTCGGAGCTCTGCCGACTCTTCCTTGCCGGGTCACCACCACGAAGTTTGGCAGAAGCTGGAGCTTGAGTCACCCTTTCTCTCCGAATCGTCTCACGCCAGCTGTCTCTCTCAATTCGGCCGTGGCTGCGGCAGACCCTAGCCTCCATCCAAGCAACATCAGCTCCCATCGATATCCAGCTCATTCACGATCATCCCGATCGGAGCCGCCGACCTCACATCGCCCCTTCGTTACCCACTCGCTCGACCGCCGAAGGTTCCCGCGCAGCACCGCATCGAGGCCATCCGTCCACCATCTGCACCCATCTGCCGGCGTTTACCCACCCGGCCTCTCTTCGCGGCCGTTCTTGGCGATGAAGTGAATCGCGCCCACTTGCCCAGTTGCCAACAACGCCCTCATCCGCGTTGCTTGCCGTCGCTCGTCGTGATCTCACGCCGCAAGTCCGCCACCCTGCATCAGCGTCATGGCGTCAGCAGCCGCGCCGAATCATACCTGCACGCCCGACCCCTGATCTCAAATCGCTAAAAGGCCCAATCCCACCTCGCAACTCACCACATGTCGCCGTCAGACGGTCAAGCACTGTACGGCGACGATCAACACAATTCGCGCACCGAGTCGACATCTTCGGGCGCCGCGAACATGGACGCGCGCGGCGACGATGCGCCCACTCCGGGCTCGAGCAGCTCGCACCACACCACCTCTCCATCACAGGGCCGCACGCCAGCATCCACCACTCCGCGCTCGGCCGGCCACCGAGCCGATCACACTGACGATGCGGCCGACCGTGCCGACGCTCCGCAGCCGTCCGGGAGCGGCGCAGGCACAGCAGCCGTGCCGCTCGCGGGCAAGCGATCGCGCTCCGGCTGCCTCACCTGCCGCAAGCGCAAGAAAAAGTGCGACGAGACGCTGTGCGTCGAAACTGGCGGCTGCTGGCGCTGTCGCAACGCCGGCTATCGCTGCGAGGGCTTCCGCCGCGCGCCCGTCACGTTTGAGCCCGGCACCACCACCACGTCCAAGTCCAAACGCATCAAGATCGCTTCGCCCGACGACTCAAACCCGCGCGTAAAGACCGAGCCCGCCTCGTCCACGAGCCAGCTGGCCGACTTTGAGCACGAGGCGCGCCAGGCGGACGGGATGGCTATGCCCAACTCGCTCGCCCAGTTTGCAGGCCTCGCGACCAGCACGGCTGCCTGGCCCATGGTCAACGGCCTTGCACCAGCGCCGACCACGACAACGACGAAAGCCGATGCCAAGCCGCCCATCTCGTACAAGAACGGCACGCCTACATCACCGCCCTCGACGTTTTCGAGCTTCGTGCATCCCTCGGCCATGTTGCCGCCACCCCCACGCTCACCGCTTCGATCCGCACACGATCACGAGCCAATACGACCGCCACCAGCGGCCACCTCGGCGTTCTACGCCGCTTCGTCGTACGTGGCGTGCGAGATCGTGGGCGACTGTCTGTTCTCGGGCCGCCATCTGTGCGCGTCGTGCAGCGCGGTGGCGAACCGGCTGATGCAGCCGGACCCGGCGCAGCTCGCCGCCATGGATGCGGATCTGGTGCAGGTGCAGCCCATGCCGAGCCTGTCGACGCCCATGGCGTCGCGTCCGCACTCGCCCGCACCGCACGCCGCGCCCGACGCCAACGGAGCCAGCCAGGCGAGCGCCAAGTCGAAGCTCGTCATGGAGAGCCTGATCGGCTACTACAGCACGCTCATCACATGCTGGACACAGGGGTGCGACGTGCGCGGTCTCGAGGCGTCTACGCTGTTTCGACAGCTCGTGCCGTATCTGCTCGACAGCGTCGACACCAATCCGCCGCTGCGGCTGTCGATCGCGGCCGTCACGGCAGGCTACGTGGGCGGCGCGAGGCTCACGTGGCCCAAGGACGTGGTGGCGATCCATCAGTGGGCCAACACGCTGCGCGGCGATAGGACGTCGATCGCCGACTGCGTCAAGGCGAATCTGAGCTTTCCCTCCCCCGCCACGCCCGATACGGTGTGGTCGGCATCGCCGTCGGGCAGCCTGTCGTCCGAGACGCCGGCGGGCGCATCGTCGCTATCGCCAGCCAACGCCGAGCGGCTACGGCGGGCGTCGACCACACACGCCACGCTCGACGATCTGCTCGTAGGCCAGGCGCAGACGCTCAAGCAGCTAGCGGTCAAATCGCTCGAGCAGGCGGTGGCCGACTACCGGTGCAAGACGGCCACGGCTCGTGCTGCCGGTGTGGGCTTCACCGAAAAAGGGTTCCTGGCCGAGCTCAAGCAGGTGAATCCGGTGCTGTTGGCGGCGATGAACATTGCCATCTATGCCTTTGCCGAGGAGGGCATGGAGAGTTACTTTGAAGAGGCGGCGCGCATGCGCGCGCTCATCGACACGCTGCTCGGCGCCTTCCCGCCCGTGGATCTGGCCAAGCTCGTGTCGCACGAGCTGCTCGGCTTCCGCACGTACGTGTGGTCGGACGTGAGCACGGCAATTGCGTGTGGCACGCGACCACATCTGCAGCTGGCCAAGTCGACGTTTGCCACCGACGCCGACGCTGTGGGGACGGCGGAGGGGACGATTGAACGCGAGCTGGACATGGCGTTTGGGCTGCAGGATGCGTCGCTGATCGCGCTCTCGGACATTGCGCGGCTGCGGTACGACTACGACGGCGGCGACTTTAGCAAGACGGCGCAGCGTGCGGCGGGGAGTGCGGTGCCGGCGTGGGTGCACGAACGCGCGCAACGCATCCAGACGCGCGCCGAGAGCTGCCGGATCGAGACGAGCCTCACGACGGGATCGGCGATCTGTGCCATGATGACCAAGAGTGCGTGTGTGATTCTGATCCACACGCTCATCTACCGCGTCGGTGCGTTGCATCCGGTGGTGCGGAGTCTGCTGCGCGGCATGCTGGAGCTGTGGACGAGCGCGGGCGAGCAGTACTGCCGCAGCGTAGGATGCAGCAACTTCAACCTGCCCATCTTTATCGCAGCGTCCGTAGCGGTGGACGAGGCGGATCGCAAGGTGTGCGAGCAGGCCATGCAGATCGTAGGTCACGAGGAGGCCGGACCGGCACCGGGCAGGGAGTTGATCCGCGAAGTATGGCGACGCACCGACATCACGGGCCAGCCGTGCTTCTGGACAGACCTGGTCGCCACGGGCGATTTCGCCGTCGCCTTCTTCTGAGCTACACTCATAGTACTCTCAATCCATTGTATAATAACACTGTGATTTGCGGATATGGCGGCGGGGCGGAAGATGACGATCGGGCATGACGTTGCGAACGAAGCTTGGCGTTGGACTGCTGTAAGCGGGTACATGGATTATCGCGGCGCAAGCTGTTCCGACGGTCTTATCTTCCCCGCGTTTCTGCGGATGCGTTTTGCGAGGCTATCTCGGGCATGCGTGTGGTGCGTTGAAGATAAGACGTGGTGCAGCTATACAGTAGCTGGGTGTGTACGGCTGCCAAGGAAGCGAGTGATCCGAGGCATGGATCTCGTGATGGCGGCGTGTGTCTGGGTCGGCTTCGACGGGTTGCTTCGGTGGTATCGGTTCGGGAAATGCTTGCCCGATGCACCCGATGTGAGTGATTGGAAAGAGCGGGAATCTGTCGGCGTCGGCCAAATCCGACGGCTTGGATTTCAACGCCCCGAGCAGCCGCCTTTTTTCGACTCGCCAACCGGCTAAAAAGGAAGCAACAAAAGACCGAGGTCAAAATCGCAAAATTCGGCGAGAGGAGCGAGCGGAAGAGAGAGGCAGAGAGCGTTGAAGGACAGCGCCAAGAAGTTCGCTTGGACAGCCGCATCCATGCATGCATTTCGGATTGAATCTCGGCCAATGCAACAAATGCACAAAAAATACGGACCACAGACTTCCGAAGCCGCCGCCCGCCAAGCCAGCCTAACCCAACCTAGACCCTCGCACAGAAACATCCCCCTCTGTACGTATCTACATCTGGCCCACTGCAGCCACCACCCCCTATACCAAATGATACCTCGTGGCTCCCCATACTGTATTGGACGGATGTCGGGCGAAGAGGAAAAAATACTCGAGCGGGGAGATCGGAGGACGGGTCAACGGAGCAGCACGAAAAAGAAGGCCCACAAATTTCAAACTCAACCATCGGCAGAGAGCGAGCCGAAGGCAACGATTTTCTGCCTTTTTTTTTTCTTCCTCGTCGCGCATCCGCCGCACTTGAACGCTGTGTGCGCGCCTTTGCATGAAAAAGTTTCGGTTTCTTGGCAAAAATGCTCCGATTTTTTTTTTCTTTCTCGTTTTGACAGCGGACTCTTTGGTGGCCCTACCCATGTACGGAAGAAGGTCGTCCGAGCCTCTCGCCATCGCGGTGCATTCGTGCCATTGGCTATCGCAGCATCGCAAGGATTAGCATGCAGGAACACAGCTTGGGCCACGCGTACAGCGCACACTGATACTGTGATCACGAACGCAGACACCGGATACTCGGTGGCACCAATCAGCGAATGCACAGGACAGCCAAAGGCGGGTCTGGCCTTCCAGATGCACCCCGCACTTGCACACGCCCTTTGTCGCCGACTCGCTTAGCAACCGACTGGCCTCCCAACTTTGCCCGTCGTGCAACCCGGAGTGTACGGCGTTTTGGGCGAGAATGCTAGGTGCAAAACCCGCTCGTTACGTCCGAGTGGCAAATCACAGTGAGGTTGGTTGGGTGCAGCGGAAGAGTGTGTAGCGTCGAATGGAAACGCTGGTTGACCGGTCGTGTGCACCAGTGGCTCCGACTCGAACCGCAGGTTGGAAACCGCTTATCGTCCAGTACGAAATTTCCCGCCACAGAGAGAAAGAGAGCGCCAAAAAGAAGGGCAGGAGCGAGGCGAGAGGGAAGTGCGGATCCTGGGTGACAGCAAAGAGGCAGCTTCTGCGCTCTTTGTCCGTCCATCAACAGTGCTGGCTGCATGCAAGGTCAGTCGTGCCTCGAGCATCGGAAGCTTGGCACCCATACTCGCCACTCGCCATGCACCCACGGTGTTCAGTGGTACGCCGCTCGCCACCTCCTCTCCCCCGCCCTGCTCACCGACGGGGGGCCTGGATCATGCATTGCATCTGCACCTCGTCCCTGATCCAGCTTCCTGACATTCGCAACACTCTCCTCCGCTTTGCAATGCCAGCCAATCGCACGTTAACCATCGCTGGATGATAAGCCAAAATCCCCCCATGCGAGCACAACGTCCATGTGTCACCCGGTATCACAAGGCTCCCCAACGCTCACAGCACCATCCACATCGCGGATGAGACCATCTCTACCCAATCGCAGCTCCGCCTCTCCTCTCCGCTCCGTCCCTGCAGCTGCGCGCACACATCCCATTCGTCCCTCACCAGCAAACTCGCTAAACCTGCATCAACCCTCCGCACCGATCTTGGCACTTTTTGCCTCGCTCTCGGACGGCGCGCCTCCGCACCCGCCTTGCTTCGGTCATCCCTTCCTATCCTAGCCCTCCTCCTTCGTGACTCAACCTCGGCCCTCCAGCTATATTAATACCGCCTTGGTTGTCTCGTAGCCATTTCCTTTTCCCCCAAGCCTCATTCCCTCTTTTCTTCACATCCCTTCGAGGAGCCCGCTTCACCATGGCTGCGCCCACCCCCACCTGGGGCCAGATGCACAACGAGACCAACGAGATCTCCGAGACGCACCCGCCCAACTACCAGCAGCAGCACGGCCTCACCACCTACTCGCCCGACGATGACGAGAAGAAGTCGCCCGTCTCCTCCCAGGAGGGCCTCGACTCCCAGCTGCCCGTGACCGGCTACTACGACGCCGAGAAGAAGGCCGTCGCTGGTGACGAGGACTACGTCGCCGAGGACCCCAGCGCCGGTCTCCAGTTCGACCTCAAGTACTTCCCCGAGGAGACCACGCAGCTCACTGTGCGTGCGCTCGTGGTCGGTACCGTGCTCGGATGCGTCATTGCCGCCTCCAACGTCTACCTCGGCCTCAAGACCGGTTTCACCTTCGGCGCCTCGCTCTTCGGCGCCATCCTCGGCTACTCGATCATCAAGATCATGCAGAAGGCGCTCCCCGAGAAGCTCGGCGGTGGATTCTTCGGTCCCAAGGAGAACTGCACTGTCCAGACCTCGGCCACCGCCGCCGGTTCGCTGACGGGCATGTTCGTCGCTGCCGTGCCCGCCATGTACCAGCTCGACCTGCTCCACGACCCGCTCAAGGACTTTGCGCGCCTCATCACCTTCTCGGCCGTCTCGGCGTACTACGGCGTGTTCTTCGCCATCCCCCTGCGCAAGTTCTACATCCTCAAGCAGAAGCTCATCTTCCCCTCGCCCACCGCCACCGCCTACACTGTGCGTTCGCTCCACGCCCCCGGCGGAGAGGTGAGCGCCAAGAAGCAGTCGCGCGCCCTGCTCTACTCGTTCCTCGGCGCCTTCGTCTTCGTCGTGGTCAACCAGTACGCTCCCGGTATCCTCATGGACTGGCACATCTTCTTCTGGCTCTACAAGTGGGGCTGGAAGAAGGCCATCGTCGTCGACAACTGGGGCTGGTGGATCGAGTGGACTCCCGCCTTCCTCGGCGCCGGTATGCTCTCGGGTATGAACGCATCTTACTCGTTCCTCGGCGGTTCCTTCCTCATGTGGGCCATGATCGGCCCTGCCATCATCGCTACTGGCCAGGCTACCGGCCGTCATTCAGGAATTCTTGTCGAGCCTCCGGTAACACCTGAGCCGCTCCGATGGGGCTACACCTCAATGGGCTTCGACCCAAACAAGGCGCCGCTGCATGCCGCCTCACCGAGGTACTGGGGTCTATGGCCCGGTGTGCTCATGATGTTCGCCTACTCGTTCGCCGAGCTCGCCATGAACGGTCCTACTCTTTACCGCGGCATGCGCGCCGGTGCGATGGAGCTCTACTGCAAGGTCACCAAGAAGGAGGTGCCCATCTACGAGGATGCCATCCCGGATCCCGTCGAGAAGCAGGACCAGGTGCCCGTCTGGGCCTGGACCGGCGGTCTCGCTCTGTCGGTCGTCTTCACCTGCCTGGTGTGCACGCTGCAGTTCCACATGAACCTCGGCAACGTCATCCTCGCCATCATCCTCGCCTTCATCTTCTCCTTCGTCGGTGTCCAGGCCTCGGGTGCTACCGACACCAACCCGGTCGGTACCATCGCCAAGGCTTCGCAGCTCGTCGTTGGTGGTGCGCTCCGTGGACAGGGCAAGGTTGGTAACCCAGGTCTGCTCGAGAACCTGATCGCCGGTTCGATTGCCTCATCGGCTGCATCGCACTCGGTCGACATGGTCGGTGACCTCAAGACCGGTCACCTCCTCCGCGCTAAGCCTCGCAACCAGTTCTGGGCCCAGATCTTCGGCTCATTCTTCTCGATCTTTGTCTCGACCGGTCTGTTCGTGCTGTTCACCAAGGCCTACCCATGCATCATCGACAAAGACGCCGAGTCTTGCCCCTTCGCCGCCCCCTCGGTGGCTGCCTGGAGGGCCGTCGCTGTGGCCGTCATCTCGCCCAAGCTCCCCGTGAGCCTGTCGTCGGGCATGACTGCTATCGGCTTCGCCATCGTCGCCGTCGCCACCGTGGTCGCCAAGTACACCATCATCCCGCAAAAGTACCACGTTTACGTGCCCAACTGGAACGCTGTTGGTCTCGGCTTCGTCGTGCCCCAGACGTACTACCCCATTGCCATGTGCATGGGTGCCACCTCGGCGCTCTTCTGGAAGGCCAAGCGCCCCCAGTCGTTCGACCTGCTCGCCTTCGCCATTGCCGCCGGTCTTATCGCCGGTGAGGGCATGGCGGGTGTCTTCAACGCCATCCTCACCATCGTCAACGTCGACGGCAGCGTCTACGGCACCACCGTCGCCATTCCCCCCTGGTAGTGGTCTTTCGTGTCACGGGCTCCTGAATCCAAGCATACCCTTGTTATCCATCTTTCATTTGTCTGTCGTTTGTGTTTGGACTTGTGAAGTGAGCAGAACGTGGCGTGGAATGAGACACGATCCAGTGATACGCCGGTCACTTTGGACTTGGCCGCTAACAGCGGCTTGTCAGCACACAATCGACGCGCGCCCGGCTTCATGCCCAGTCTGATATCAATGTTCACGCACTCGTCTCACGCACGCAGCTTGACTAGCGAACAACGGACCGCATCTGATTCTGATACTTTGGTGACGACACACCAGTGCACTGCGCACTACTCTTCGTCGGGGACAACGCTGACGATGGTGACGTTGCGCTCCTCGAATGCGAGCCAGGTCTGCGTTCCCACCAGGCTATCGAGCGAGCCGGGGCTATCCACGCGTTCGAACACTGTGACCCCACATCAAGTCAGCCACCGATCCACACTCTACTTCTGGAGATTCAACTTACTGGTAAGCTGGTGGCCCTCGTCGGTGAGGAACCTCCTCGGGCGGTGCTGTGTTCCAACCACCGGCGATCTCTTAATAAGCTCATTGCCGGTATTCGTGCACGAACCACCGCAGTACTGCAGGCCGGACGTGGAGGCGAAGGCGACATTGTACGCGTCGCCATCGACGATCGAGTTGGCGGTGTAGAAGATGCTGAGCGTCCCACCCTGGCGCGAGTTCTCGGTCGACGGCACACAGCGCGTCACACTACCAGCGCCGCCCTCCTGCGACGAGGCGTAGGGGTATTCATCGCACGAGTTCGAGTCTGTGGGATTGTTGGCACAGCGGTTGGGCGACTTGCACGCCGTGTTGGCGCGGTTGATCGAGGCGTTGGCAGAGTCGCGGTGCAGCGTAGTCGGCTTGCCCGCACACTGGATGGCGTAGCAGTCGTTTGAGCAGATGTTGGGGACCCGAGTGCAGTCCCAGGTGAGTGTCGCAGCGTGTGCAGATGCCGCGCCCAGAAGCGCAACTCCAGCGAGGAAGAAGCCAGCGCGCATGGTGATAGTGTCGAAGAGGAGGGTCGTAGGGAGGAGAGAGATGTGGCTCAGTGATGCTGTCTTTGCTCAGCCTGGGCGAGGTTGCCAGCTTATATCGACCCAACGGCATGAATCGACCCTCGATCTTCTCACTCGGACCCCGTTGTCGACGTTGGCAAGTGTGTGCACCTAGCCACGTTGACGCCTTTCATGCGCTGCTCCGGCGGGAGACCTGCGCGGCCATAAGCGACCCCACCCAACGTGCGCATCCCCACCGTCGCAAGCCATGAAAGCCAAGCTCAAGCTCCGCCGAGGTACGGGCAGCTCGGCGTGTCTCTTGCGGCTACCGTCTTCCGAGCGCCCGAGAGCTTGTCGTATCGACGGCACTGCAGGCCAAGCTGATTAGCACCACACGTTTTGGCTTCGGCAAAAGGGTCAGGGTTCGGGTGGCTCGCTTGACACGGCGCTCGGCTAAGGGTCCAACGTGGACCCGTGCCAAGAAACCTTGCTCGTCCTTCCCTTTCCCCCACGCCGGTGCGGTTGGGATGGAGGCAAGCGAAGGGAGCTAGTCGCTGCCCTCGCATCCGGCACAGCATCTTCCGAAGCCCTCTGTCCCAACACAGATAGACTCAAGCGGTGATAAAGCCCCCGCACCGTAGCCTTGGAACGCGCTGCGGTGACAACGTGCGCAGCGGCGTGCAGAACGTCTTCTGACCCCGAGGTCAAGGTAACCTGAAAGGAGCATAGGATAGCATGGATGCTCGGAAGAGCTAAAGCATTCGGCTAGCGTTACAGCGGCGCAACGCCGTGCGCCTATCGTTGATCATGCTTCATGCTCGTTTCTTCTGTTGGAAGCCGTGGCGGCGGAGCTGGATCTAACACACTCACTGATGGCCCAAGCCCTGACCAAGGTCTAGCTAACCTCGCCTATCCTCCTGTGACCGAGCGTGCCTTTCAAGCACCATGACATACGTTCAGTGTGTCGCATGTGTCTACAAGCTGTGTTTGCGTGGCGGAGAATGGTGTGCTTGGTCTACAAATCGGAGTTGACGCGGAGCACCATCTTACCTTGATGACCAGGCTTGGCGTAATCGGCGCGCATCTTCTCCACATCCTCGAGCGGGTAGGCGATGGTCTTGACCTGGATCTTGTGCTTTGCGACGAGCTGGCACATTTCGTGCGTGGTCTTGGGGTCTCCCAACAGGCTGCCCTTGACGGTAATATCGCGAAAGATGAAATGGTTGTAGTGGATGGGGATCGGCTCGTTTGGCTGGCCCACGACCATGCACAGACCATGATTCTTCGTCACCGCCAAGCCGAACTCGTACGCCGGGATGACATCTGTCGCCATGATAGTCGCATCAGCCCTTTGGCCACCGAGCTGCGTATCCACAAGCTCGTTGACAGCCTTGTCGTCGTGGCCATCGACGTTGCCCGAGTTGACGGTCTTGTCCGGCGGGAAGGGAAGAGACTTGCACATCTCGAGCGGCGCATCTCTGGCGTCAAAGAGCCACACGTTGTATCCGAGACACTTTGCGAACTGCACGCCGAGGTGGCCCAGAGCGCCTGCGCCGACGATGGCCAGAGTCTGGCCGCGCTCGAGGTTGCAGTTGGCGATGGCGGTGTAGATGGTCGCGCCGGCGCAGAAGAGCGGTGCGGCCGAGTCAAAATCGAGCCGGTCGGGCAGCACGACGCACGATCGGTAGTCGGCACGCATGTATTCGGCAAATGCACCGTCGGCGGTGACGCCAACCATGTCCTGGTCGGTGCAGTACTTGGGCGTGCCGCGCTGGCACTCGGCGCACTTGCCACAGTAGTCGCGGAAGGTGATGCAGCCCACGCGGTCTCCGAGCTTCAGCGGCCCTCCCGAGCCGTTGCCGCCTGCGGGACTCGAGGCGGCGTCGGTGCCGAGGCCGACCACGACACCCGTGGGCTCGTGCGAGGGGATGAGCGGGAGAGGGTTGCGTGATTTCGAGGCGAACTCGCCACGCGCCACCATCATCTCGGTGTGACAGTAGCCTGCGGTGGCGATGCGGATGAGCACATCGTTGGGTCCGACCTCGGGAACGGGCACGTCGTCGCGCAGCACGTACGGAGGATCGGCGTTGAACTCTTCGATGCGCAGAGCGCGCATCAGCTTGGGCACGTCCGGTGCGACGGTGCTGGAACCTGTCATTGTGTAGAAGGCGGCTCAGAGATGGTGATGAGAAGGACAGGAATGAGGAACAAGGTGCACACTTCGATACTGGATTCGGCACGACAAGCGATGTGCGGCAATGCACCCGTCGATGCTCGCCGTCGTTCTCCGGTGAGCCTCGAACCAGGCCTCTCGCCATGATGTCGTTTGACGTCGTTCGGCCTCCACATCCTCCGACCCACGGTATGACCGGCGATGCGTAATTGCGCCGGCACGACATCGGGGCATCGATCTGCTTCTGGCTGCGATCCCGATGTGGATTCGCGTAAATTGGGCCGAGACGCGTTTGGTTCGCGGCGCATTTCTCGCGCTTCGCCGGCGGAGAGACCAACACACATTCTTTGTGCAACTGGTGGCTCAGCTCTACCTGCCTCACCACCACCTCCATCCTCTCTCTCGCCATACACACACCCAACATGCCCGCAGCCGTGGTGGTGCCGCCACCGGAACTGCGCAGGACCATCCTGCGCGTATTCACCACCAAACACTCGCTGCAGCTCCATTCGTCCGCCATCACGTTTATCGCCTCGACGCTCGCCGAACACGGCCTGCTCGACCAGCCGCTCGAGTGGGAGGAGGCCATCGATGCGCTCGCACAGGGCGTCGTCGACAACCAGGCGGACCTCGATCCGCACGCCCCCTCCGGCTCGCGCTCGGCCCTGCAGGCACGTAGCGCTGCACATGCTGCCGACGACCCGGATGCGGGCACGGATGTGGTGACTGCCGCCGCACTCGAAAAGGTCTACTCGCGCCTGGTCGTTGCGGACTCGGCAGCGCATACGCAGCCTGGAAGCATGTCGGCTGCTACCGGCGGCGCGCATCGACATCCACACGAGCTTACCGACGGCGAGCTGCCCGACCCGCACCGCTACTTTGGCGTGCACTCGGCGTTGAGCCAGCCCAAGCTCGCCTTCGATCCCATCCGCAAGGTGTTTGAACCGGCCTCGGTGGCGTCCACTGTGCTCCCGATGGCATCTGCGCGCTCCGCTTTCCCGCGCCAGCGCTTCCACATCCTCAAGAGCGTCGTGCTGCGCAACGAGAACTTCTGTCCGCCGCTCGCCATCCCCGCCGCAGGCTCGTCAGCAAAGGCCGAGCCGGACTCCTTCATGAAGCTCACCTCGACCAAGAACTTGCTCGGCCGCCAAGGCCAGCGGTTCCTGCTGTTCGGCATGCTGAGTACATCGTCCGATGGCAGGTATGAGCTCGAGGATGCCGATGGATGTGTGGGGTTGGATCTCGAACACGCCATTGCGGGCGAGGGCATCTTTACTGAGGGCAGCTTCATCCTGGTCGAGGGCGAGTATACGGTGGAGGAGCGCATCCGCGTGTTTGCGATTGGTCATCCGCCGAGCGAGACGCGCAAGCAGGCGAGGGCGATGCATGCGCATACCGACTTTCTCGGTGCGCCACAGCCACCGGTCGTCGCACCTGCCTCGGCAGCCAGTAGGAGCGCTGCTGGCTCGTGGAGGGGAGCCATATCGGTCAAGGACGAGGCGGCATTTGCGGTGCACGAGGCGAACCACTCGGATCTGTGCTTTGCCATCTTTAGCGACGTGCATCTCGACCATGCCAAGACGCTCGTGGCGCTCGCGGCGGTGCTGCAGGGCTATGTGGATGCCGAGTTCATCCCGTTCGCGCTCGTGCTGTGCGGCAACTTTGCCAGCCACCAGGTGAGCTCCGACGACTTGGTCGAACGATACCAGGCCGGGTTCGCTGCGCTTGCAGACACCCTCGTCAGCTTCCCCGCCGTGCTGCGCAAGAGCCACATTGTGCTGGTGCCGGGACCGCAGGATCCGTTCCACACCTCGCTCGTGCCGCGTCCGCCGCTGCCGCAACTGCTCGTCCAGCCGCTGCTCACCCGGCTCGCGCCGCTCGGCGCGACCGTGCATTTGGCTTCGAATCCGTGTCGCATCTCGTACTTCTCCCAGCACATTGTCGTGTACCGCGACGACACCATGACGCGCTTCCTGCGCAATACGGTCAAGATCAAGGACGACGAGTTGGACACCGACCAGCGCGAGCGCGAGGAGCGAGACCTCAAGAAGTTCCTCGTGTCCACAGTGTTGGACCAGGCCCATCTTGTGCCGCTCGCCCAGAGGACCAGACCCGTCATGTGGGACCACGACCACGCTCTCAGCCTCTATCCCATGCCAACCGCCGTGAGTCGCATGCCAACGGAGACACTGTGGGACAAGCACAGGAACACTGACATTCTTTCGACACTGTGGCGGTGCAGCTCGTGTTGGCAGACGCATACGATCGGTACGAGCTCACCTACGAGGGATGCCACGTGGTCAATCCGGGATCGTTCCGCATCGGCAGCTCGTTTGCGTGGTCAACGTACTATCCTGCTTCGCATCGATCCGAGCCGAGGTAAGTGCAGAGCCTGCGCACACCAAAACCACACAGAACTCAAAGCTGACGCTCGTTGCCTTTGCGTTCTCTTTTGCCTCAGCGAGTTGCCTTCGATATGATCGCAGCACGTCTTTCTTGTCTCGTTCTGCATCCACTCACACTGCATCTCAATCACAACACATCCATATCGAAAGGAAGGGGGTGTGGGGGGGCATAACTCAAATTGTCCATGATCAAGAGGCAACATACGGTCGTGGGGGAAATGCTGGGGGAGTGTGGAAGAGATGTCTAGCTGAGGCCAGCTGCGCTGGTGATGACGTTGAGGCGAGCGGGGGTCATGTGGGGGTATTCCCAGAACATCGCACCGGCCTTCCATCCGTTCTGGACGCCGACGTTGAGGCAGCCACCGAGCACGCTGGGGCGCATGAACCCATTGTCCGCATCGCCCGCTACAGCCGGCTTACCCACTACGATCTTGTCGAGGGGTACGCCGGCGTACTTGTTGATCTCAAACACGCTGGTGAGCGGGAAGTTGTCGCCCGAGTTCCAGATGAGTTCGTCGCAGGTATCGTAGTTCTGCTGGTTGTAGAACTGCACGTTGTACCAGTCGATCAGATTACCCACCTGGGCATGGATCTTGGCGTATCCCTCGGGGTACATCTGCTTGTTGAACCACGGTGCGACGGGGGCGTGAGTGATGATGTAGTCCGGGCTTGGAAGTTCAGCTCGCAAGCTGCGGGTGAGTTCAATGAGCCAGTTGGCGGACTTTCCCTGCGCAAAGAGGTCCATCTCTTCATAGTCGACATCGACACCGTCCAGACCGTTCTGCTTGACGAAAGCCGCGATGGTCTTGCCGAGCTTGGTGGCGTTGCGACCCATGCTCTGCGGCGTGTCCGTAGCGCCGAATACGGACACCATGAGCTTCATCCCCGCACCGGCATAGCGCGACTTGAACCACTTCTTGTCCGCATCGCTCTTGGCCGCAAACTTGGCCGCATTGTCCGCCACACCAAACTTGACCGTCCAAAAGGCGAGGTTGAACACGTTGAACCCCGTAATGTTCCAGTAGGGAGGGGCGCCGTAGCTCTGCGCGGCGACGTCCTGGTCACCGTAAAGGACGAAGCGCGGGGCGGCAATGCTGTCCGTGTCGGCAGTGGGGAAGCCCGAGTCGAGCATCTTGACGCCCGGAGCGGTCTTGATGATCTGCGCCGGGTTGTGTGACTGACCGAACATCGAGGTGAGCGTCGACCACACGCCGTGCGAGACACGGGCGGGGATGCTGTCATCGTAAAACTCGGCTGCGGGACCGGCAAGGCCGTTGTAGCCGTTGTAGAGCGACTGCTGATGAGGCATGCCCGATGCCGCAGGGAGGTTGGCAATCGCAGCTGCTGCCGCAGCAACAGCCACTACGGGTGCAGTGGTTCCAATGCGCATTGTCGAACCGGTCGAAAGCTAGGGGGAACACGAGTGGAAAGGAACGGAGATAGACGGCGTAGAGCCTAGAGTCAGGAACAAGGGGGAAAGGACTTGGAAGGGGGAGTGGAGTGGAAGAGCAAGGCTCGATGAGGAAAGGAATCCGAACGATCTACCTCAAAGGACGGGCTATATATGCTTTGCCATTCTTGCTGGCTTCAGACGAAGCGAGCCGAGATCGCGGCGGCTAAGGTCCGGCATACAGCATACAGCATACTGCGGGTGTTCAACTGCGCGTTGGCGGGTTGAGCGTCAACTTCTATCGGCAAGTGCGTTGCGAGCAGGAAGCAGCACCAACTCTACGGCGCAGCTTGACAGCCGCCGCCACAGGGGCGCACCACATGCACCGCACGTAAGCGCCGCGGTCCCAGCGGTAGAGTTCTTGCATGCGGAGCATGAATCTTTGCCTCGCCTCGACGACTAGACGATGCCGACCCCGTGTGCACCGATCGGTCACGTCGGCTTGAACGCCATGCACCCGTCCTAGCATAACCTGCCGAGCAGTCGAGCATTCAGGCCGGTTGTGGAAGTTGAACACCCGCATCCAACGCTCCCCCACGTCACACCCAGCATACTCCGCTCTTCCATCCAGCAGTGCTTTAAATTTTCCGATCCTCAAAAAGAGGCCGGCCGGTGGAAGCCCAACCGAACTTCTACAGGGTCCAAATGTTCCCACCCACTTGGACCTCGTATGGCTCTCACGCTCGCCCCTCCTCGGCAGCATAAATTGGCATGGGAGAATAAAAAGCGCCACCGCCGACGGAGTTTGGAGAACAATGAACAAGAGAAGCCGTATCAAACCCCTGACCATGCCGTTCGATTCGACGTTGGATCAAGCCATGCTGCGATGGGGGCATGTGAGAGAAGAGGCAGATACGCTTGCCGAGCTGAATGCGCATGGCAGGAGGTGGCGCTCTTTTTTTTTCGGCGGGATTTTCTTTTTTCGGTACCTTTTTTTTTGGACTCTCTCTCGGCTGCCTGATGGACCCCGTGGCGCTGATGGATCGACACCTGCCAAATTGAGCCAAATTTCCAAAAATCGACCGTGTTGAGCTACCTTCTCCCCCCACCACCCCGATGCACCCGATCTCCCACTCTCCCTCCAACCTGTCGTGGCGACCACCACGGCACAAGGCTCAGTACAGCAACTCAAGGCGAGGGTACGGCAGAACAAGTCGGGTGCGGATTTCATCTAGTGCGGCTTCTACTGGTGGCGCTGCTGCTGACGCCCGTGCGAGGCATCATCAAAGAGGCCGTGGTGGCTCGCCTCGTAGCTCGCCGACAGACCCACGGTGAGCGAAGCGTCGAGCGCGCTGGCGGCGCCTAGCTGTGCGTCCGTCTGTGCAGCGGGCGCGCCGTACGAATGCGGTGTCGCCGTGTCGTTCCGGTGTAGCGTGGGCGCTTGAGGCTGATGCGCGTTGCGATTCGAGCCATAGCCCGCCACCGTCCCGCTCGGCTCGCCGGTCTCCGCTGCGAACATGCCGTGCAGGTTCGGTCCGCCATTGGGCGCCGAGAGCATCTCGTTCGGCTGAGGTTGACGGTCAAGCATGTGCGAGGTATCGTAGGGGGTAGTTTGAGCTCCCATCGTCGTGCTGGAAGAAGCCGTCGGGTCGGTATAGCCGTAAGCCCAGCCGGCGACACCCGCACCCAATCCAAGATCCAGAGGGTCCGGCACAGATGGCGCTTGCACCGAGAACACAGCCGACGAAGCCGAAGTCGGTGGAGAGATCGAGGAGGCCATCGCCATGTTCGACAGCGCGCCCTCGGAGCGCGGAGTCCAGGCGCCGGCGTCGCCCCCGGACGTGCCCAGCAGCGCCGGCGGCCAGTACACCTCGTTCATCCCGGCGTCCACACTGCGACCGGCTGCGTCGTCCGACCACTCGCTTCCGCCCCTCTCAGAGCCTGTCGGTTCCGACCCCGTCGCTCCTCCGCCAAAGCTGCCCAGCTCGATGCGTGCGAGCGAGCCGTTGGAGTTGCGCCGCGCCTGCTTGCGCGAGCGGCGCTCCAAAACGCCCCTGCCCGTATCGTAGAGCTGCTCCGCCCGCCCCGGTGCACGGCTGCGCTTGGGGCTCGTTCCACCCCACCCGGCATCCACCACCATGCCCGCATCTCCCAAGACCGAGCGCAGCGCCTGATCCAGCTGGCCCGTCAGCTCGTTGGCCACCACCACACGGTTGCCGTCCGGGTAGAACTGCGGCTGGCGTAGCAGCCGGATCGCCTCGCTGATACGCTCGCGTGCGCGTTCGCGCTCCTGCACATGCCCCGCACCGCCCAGAAGCCATCGTGCTGCAGCCAGACACGCTGCACCCATCGACTGAGCACTCAGCCTCAGCATCGATCCGCCCTCTGGCTCCAGGATCTTGCTGCAGAACACCTCGAGCGTCTTGTACGCCAGCTCGGTAGCCGCGGCGTACCAGCTTGCATCTCCGGTCAGAGCGTGCAGCTGCACCGCCCTGGAAAAGCGATAGTACACCACGACAAAGCTCCCCTCGGCCTGACCGAAGCGGTCGAGCCCATAGCGCGGCACGTGCTCGTCGCCATGGGTGGTGAACCATGCCGCGAGACATTCACGCTCGTCGGCCATGAGCTGCTCGGCATTCTGAGAGAGGCTGCCATCTGGAGCGTAGCCGTGCAGTGCACCAGGATGCATGGCGAGGCGGTTGGACTCGCGCTGGACGAGCGCAAAGTCGAGCAGATACGCCAGGCGCGTTTCGTACGCGCCCAGCGTGGCATGGTGCTGGGCGTACCAGGCGCGCACGCGAGGGAAGTCGGCATGCGCGATGCGCTCCGGACGCTTGGCCCACGAGCCATGCGCATCGCTCTGCTGGCTGAGCTCGAGCAGGCACAGCTGCATCCACGTGCGCTGCTGCATGCGCAGCACCGTCGCTTGGTAGCCCGCGTGCACGTGCGGTGCCATGGGAGGCGTGTACTGCTTGGTCGTCGCGCCCACGGGCACGCCTGCATCGAAGCACAGCGGCAACCCAAGCTCGTACGCCTGCGCCAACGCCGACGCCAGCATCCCGTCCCTCGAAGAATCGCCCGGCGCTGCCCAGATGAGACTGACGATCAGCGCCTGCATGTGGTCCACGCTGCAGATCTTGCGCGCCGCCGCACACTTGAGCACACCCGCCGCCGCAGCTTGGCAGGCACCCGAGAGGTCGGGGCGGAAGAATCGACTGGCGATGCCGAGCATCGTCGAGAACAAGATCGGCGACTGCTCGCGCATGAACTGCACCGTGTGCACGCTCGGGTCGAGCAGCGCTGCCACCGGGTTCAGCTGCGTGACGAAAAGACTGAAGACATAGCATGCGTCCGTCCAGCTGCACGCACCCGTGCGCACCACATCGTCGTACACATCGCCGGCGCTCATGCCTATCGCGCGTGACGAAAGCGACTCTGGTGTCGAGCCCTCGCCGCGGTAATGCTGAAATGCTGCCATGTGTGCACCGCCCTGTGGGGTTCCGATGCTTGCAAGGGAAAGGTTGAGCGGGTAGCTGCTACAAGAGAGCACGTACTCGCATGAACGCCGCAGCAAGTCGGGCGAGAGCACCACATTGCGGCTCTCGTCTGCAATGACCTTTTCGAGCTTCTTGCCGCGGTGGTGTTCGCGAAACTCGCAAAAGAGGTCGAGCCGGTTGCACCGCGCGCACCGCGGGTCGTTCGGATTGCTCTTCCAGCACTTGACCTTGATGGCGCGGCACTTGAGACACGCCAGATTCGATCCTCGCTTGGCTCGCACCGCCGGTTCCTCTGCCGTCTCGCTCCCAATCGAGCTGCCCGAGGCCGGATGTGCGGGGTGGACGGGTCGCGCCTGGACCGAAAGGTGACGCGCGCGCGGATCGCAACCGTACGGCTGCGACTGGTGTACAGGCCGCCATGGATCTTGCTGTGCGTAGTTGTAGCTGCGCTGGCTCGAGGTTGGTGGCAGCGGTGGGGCGCCGCGCGAGCCGCTCGCGTACGAGGGTTGTGCCGACGAATGGCCTGCTTCCGAGAGGAAGCCGAATTCGTCCATGCTCATCACGATCAGTGGTCCGGCAGTGATACCCATTGACCAGGGACGTGCTGTGCTCGTGGATGCTGCGGTGCGGGTGCTGGACGCTGTTCAGGTCGGCGGTGGCTGGAATCAGCGCAAAGTTGATGTCGAGCTGAGGGCTTTGCTGCAGTCCGGGCGCGCGTCTGACGCTCCTCGCTGTTGTGCTTTGGGATGATGATAGGACGTGCGTCACGATATACGGCGAGGGAGCAGGAGCACCGTAAAGGATCAGATGTCGACTGAGGATGACGGGAAAGGAAGGGCGTCGACGACGATGCGGTTGGAATCTGGGGCCCTTTTCAAGCCTGACGGAATCGTGGGTGAGGCTCTGTGCGAGCGAGGTGCCAGGAGACGCAGGCACCGAGCGAGAAGACAGTTAGATTAGGAGAAGGAAGAGGTAGATGGTGGCAGCCGGGAGCGATGCAGGTACGCCTGCCAACCAGGTATGTCAAGAGCAGGGGGAGAGACGTAGCCACGCGAGAGTTTCGAAGGGTCCGTGGCTACATGCGTCTGAGATTCGTCATGTCGCACGGCCATGGTCAACGGAGGATGAAGGCGTCAGCATCGGCGCGAATGCACATCAGGTCTGGGTGCGGAACCAGGGAGCTGGGGTGAGATGATCGCTGCGCGGTTTGCAGGAAGAGACAGAGGATCCAGGCTTCGGAGCTTGGGGGGGGGGGGGGGGGGGGGCCATGCGGATTTAAGGTACGAGTGCACCTGGAGCGCCGCTACAAAGTACATCCAGGTGCAGTATCTGTGAGAAGATCAAAGTGGCTGCCTTGCACATGCGACCGTGGTCTCGAGCGGTGCACAAGGCGATGAGGCTCTGAGCCGCAACGGGTACAGGGACCGACTGTGCTTGAGCGCGTTCTCCCCCACCTCGGTGGAAGCCTCATCAGCCGAGACGTGGTGTGTTCGACGCCGCAAGTTCGCATGAACTCACCCCACCCCTCTTTTTCGGGTCGAACCGGTCGTCTGCCCGCCCTAATCCTAAGACCCTTCGTCTTCTTCTTCTCGCAAAGCAATATCTGGTTTCCACACGGCACTGCTCCATGGCAAGTCGAATGGATCCGGGAGGATGCCGTGGTCCGCCGTGCGGATGTCGAGGCAGAGGCAGAGGCGAGGCAGAGATGGGCTGTTGCGTTGCAACTTGTGGGAGGCCAACAAAAAATGGACTTTGATGGTCATGCATGCACGAGGATGCAAGAGTGTTTCAGAGACCGCGCGCGCTCGTGGACCGAATCCATGCCGAATGGCAAAGGCAAGCGAGATAGAGCGCACTCGCCGCGTGTCGGTGGTGAGGAAATGCGAGCTCGTCCGTCGGAGACCGAAACCGGCAATGTGCAATTCTTAGAAGTAGAGTGCCGGTGTGCGAAGTCAGGCAGCGGTCCGCCGCAACACCTGGCTGCTCTGCTTCGAGACAATGGAAACGTGGCCTCGCACCGCCATGTCTCCGCGTGCCGCGAGATTTCAGGGCTCGTTGTGTAGCAACGGAGTGCAGAGAACCGACCTCATTTCCATACAGGGCGGAACCATCCGCCGTGGTCCCGTCCGCTGTGCTCCCAATACAAGCCATGTGCATGATCGACTTGGACATATGTATGGACGTCAAGACGGACACTCGAAGAAGCTGGTAATGTCCTGAGCAGGGCGACGAGCAGCATGCTTACGTGACGTCCGACCGGCAAGGTGCATGAGATGAGGCTGGCCAGCACGGCCGAGCGGCGGGGCACGGTCCGGTGAGAGTGTTGCGGACGACGTCAGACGATGCTCGACGGGCGCATGTGGCTGTCGAGCGCTCGCAGAATGAAGACGAAATCAAACGCCGGCCGTGACAAGTGAGTAGTACCGCTGCGAAGTTGGTCTCATGCGAGTGTGTTGGGCGGTCCGCGGTCGGCCGAGCTGCACTGCAGCTCTCAACCTGCCTGCCATGCACGCTGCACCCACACTGCATGGAAATCGCAATGCTTGTCGCTCTGGCCTGGGCCCTTGACTCTTCATGCGGGCTCGGTCAGGCGGAGCAAGAGTGAGCGGGAAGCTTCGATGACGGCTCCGAGGGTTGAGGGTGCCTGTTTCGTCCGGCGCTTGCCAGTCGGTGTCGGCATCGGACCTGCGACGTTCCTCCCACATGCAGCTCCGCAGCCCAAGGAAGCGAAAATTCCCCATTTCCGCCTACATTCTCGTCGTGCTTCCAGACCGCGGAATTTGTTAGCTGTCACCTTTCAACCTCCCACGAGGGTCAGAGCACCGGACGAAGACGAGAAGGAGCGCAATTGGCTCGGTGAATGTCCTGGCAAATTGGCGAGCTACGGTAGCGACGAGATCTACCTTGAGATCCGTATCCAGTCTTTGGTCATCCGAGATCTGGACGTCGCTGGGAGTTTGGATGCTGCATTGGATCATGGAGACATCCGTTGCCTTTCCGAGACTCGATCCATCCAGGTTTGGAGCATCCATTCGTGAGCCGCACTTCCGACACGGGCGCAGGAACAGGAACCGACGCCGTTCCGACACCGACAGACTCGCCCGTTGATAACGGTAAACGTGGGACGCAACGGGGTGGCTCGGTGCGGAGGGGAGCCGACTGGGAGGGGTCGGTGAGAGAGAGTGGTTTCCATGAATGGTTGCATGCATTCGGGCTGCAAGTGACACCCCCGTCACAAAGCAGCAACTCCGATGTGCTCTGGTACACACTGCACACGATCCCGCCTGCGTCGGCGTTCGATTCGCCCGGCGTCGAAGCGTCGCTATTCGGCCAATTTATTCACCGAAACCGCCGTGCGAGCCTGAGAGCGTCGCTCCAGAAAACAAAAAAAAAAAAAGCCTGGAAATTCGCAGAAAATACCGAAAATCAGCAATTCTTCTGGCGGGGATGGTCGACGTAATCCCGACGTTGGGATGCCCTGCCCTCGAGTCCGTTATTCCGATGGCCACCAGATCGATCTCTGGATCTCGTCCGCGCACCACGGCCGCCTTCACTTATGCTGCATGGCATGGCATGGCATGGCATGGCATGGCATGATACCGAACTGCACTGCACTGCACTCACCGACGACGACACGTGCCATCACGGTCAGGAACCCAGCCGAGCGTCCAGCCCCTACGCGACTACGCACCGGACTCTCTCGCACGTAGCGCTCGCTGCCACAAGGTGCTCCCTCACAAAGCCGCCTTGGAGCATGAGCGGTCCGTTCCCTCTTTGAGCAGGGCATCCCGGGAAAGAATCGTCCGCGCATGAATGAGCCGAGAAAGAACAATGGCTCTGCGGCATGGCTAGGCGAGGTTGGCGTCGGTGCAGCTCGGTCGCTTCTTCTGACGTCCCCATCGCATCCAGGCGGACCCGCAGCGCATTCGGCAGACCGCTACGTACTTTCAGCATCTCCCTCACTCCACTTCGTGCAGAGAGCTATTGTATCGGGCAGTTCAAGGGCCGACCTACGTCCGTTCTGCAGACCAGATGTCACTTCCCGACACAACCCAGACCTCGACCCGGCGGACGCTTCGCCACCATCACCGCGATCCGACCGACCGGAGTGGGCCTAGAATGCGGTCCACAGACGCTGTCGCTCCGTTCCTGAAAGCCTGGTGGAGGAGCATTTCGATTGCAGCAACGACTTGACCGGCCCTGCTGCAACGCATGACCGAAGACAAGCGGAGCTCATGTTGCCATAGAACCAGATGCTTGGACCGCGGGTCCGCCCTTGGTGTGCACTCCGTTCCGAGTGGTAGCCTCGAAGCTCCCGGGTCTCGCCCGGACGTATCCCATCGCCGCCGACCCAGATGATGCCTGCCATGCTGAATGCACCCGACCCAAGCTTTGGGATGCTCACCTTCTCTTTCCGGGGGGTCCCGGCGTTTGCAACTGTCGAACTTCTCGCCATCTCATTCTCAGCATCTTTCGGAGAACATGGCGGACCTGCAAATCGAGCTGTCGACGCCAGCGTTGCCAGCTCAGAACGTCGTTTGGATGGTGCCACTGCGAGTTCCAGGCATCCTTTTCCGATCGTGACTCGAACCCATCGGATGACGTGCGCCTCTTCAGGCAGCGAGTGCTGGCGCAGTTGAGGGTTGTTCGCTCTGACGCGGAATCGGGTTGATCGAAGGACTGGATGCTCGCCCCAGGACCGGTGTCACGGCACCGCCATCCACTTCTCTTCGTGCTGGGGCCTCTCGAATGCGTGATCAACCGATGCTGCTGCGCCCTCCGCCGAAGGGATCGCAGGCGTTTGAGGCTGTCCTGGCGTTGAAATGGCGGGCGAGCCAGCAGGCGACCGGAGCGATGTCAGGTATTCGTCTTCAGTCATGGCGGAACCGTAGCGCGAGCCGAGTGGATCTCGGAAGTTGGTGAGCTGGCTTGGACGCTTCAGGAACGCGTGCTGAGCGCTGTGAGCATGCCCATCCGGCCCAGTTTGCATAGTGTGAGCGAAGCCCTTGCCAGTGCTCTGCCCTGGTCCCAGCGCCAGTCCCGAGAGACTGCGGTCGATATCCGTGTCGCCGTTGGATGTAACACCGTGCTTGCGAGCCTTCTGCGCCATCCAACCGCGACGGTTGTTCCTCTGATTCGGCGAGGCAGATCGCGCACCAGGCGCATCGCCTGCGACACCGCTGCGTCCCGTGGAGGCGCTTTTCGAGCCTAGTCGGAGCGCGCGGAGCAGATTGTCCATGGCTTCCTGCGCTTGGTCCTCGCTTAGGATGCCGGCAAGGACGCTGGTCATCTGGAGCAATCGCAAAGAGACCTGCTTGATGCCGTCGTCGCCACCGCCAGCCGCATGCGCATCCTCGCCAGCGGCAAAGGCTGGATCGAGCTCGGTGAGGTGCGCAAAGAGCTGGAAAAGCCGCTCATAGATCTGCATCAAGACCTGATCTCGGAAGACGACCATCAACACCTTGCGAACGTCGATGAGCTGCAGATCCATGCCCGTGCTTGGCGCTCCCGACAGCAGAAGAGCCGCACCCGACTGGGTGAGATTGCTGCCTGCGCTGAAGAGACCAGCACTGGAGCTGCTGGTGGCGATGCCACCGGCGCCGTTTGCTGCGCCGTACGACCCTGACGTCGCCACCAGGTTGCGCAGCGCGGGATCGGTACGCAGAGGCAGGAAGCAGCCTTCGCAGTAAGGAAGGACCTGGCCGAGGAAGAAGGTCCACACTTCGACCAGACGGAGCAGGAGGCGCTGATCATCGAGACCTTGGAGCTTGGAGTTGAGCGTCAGCGTTCCCGTCGAGGTGAGTGAGAGCAGATCGAGCGTGAGCGACTCGATGGCATGCGTCTGGCTGCGCTCGAGCGTCTTGCGGATGTGTAAGGTGACCATCTCGTTGAGCTCCTCGATGCTGGTTCGCAACGGCTCGCCATTGAAGAGAGGCAGGACGCGGATGCAGATCATCTGCCAAGTGTCGGAAGAGATGCTCGGGCCGACGTTGAAGCTCAGCGCACCAGGATTGGGGGAGGCGGCGCCTGTGACCGAAGCAGAGCCTGTCTGCGGGTAGGTGCCGAAGAGGGTCGATGCTTGCTGACCGGACGTACCAGATTGAGGTGCACCGACATGAGCCGGACTGAGTGCGCTTCCTACCGCTGGCGACGTGTTGAAGGCGTTCCTCTCGGTACCACTGATGCTCGTGTTGCCGGCCGATGCACCGAGCCCTACGGATGAAGTTGTTCGATCCGCAGCGAGCGTAGACGTTGAGGAAGATGAGGGATAGTACGACGAGCCTGTCGTGCCCGGGGCCCCCGCCTCGGAGCCCGAAAGCATGGCTGTGGCGCCAGCACGTTCGAGCTCCCGAGTCATCATGCGGGCGTCGTATGCGACCAGACTGCGCGCCGATGCTGGCGTAGTCGTCGAGTTCTTGCTCGTGCCGTTGGTGGCCTGAGAAGCGCCCGCGGCGGGTGTCGATGGCGTCATAGCAGCAGTGGAATGGGAGTGCGAGCTCGTAGCATTGGATGCGATGGAGGCGATTGTTGCAGAGGAGGGCAGGCCGACTGCTGCCGAGGATGTGGCGCCTGCCGATGCCGGCTGTGCTAGCGCCGACCCCTGTGCCGGGTTGCTGGCTGATGCAGCTTTGGAGGCTCCACCGCCAGCGAGGTGGGCCACGGCCTTGGCGGCCGAGCTCATCGAGGATGGCTGCGCTGTAGATCCGTGTAGATGGTCCGTCTGATTCTGGCAGAGAATCTTGACGTAGATCGGGCGTGCTGCGGCCTCGGAGCCTCCGAGACCGGATCGGTTGACGTGGAGGGAGGGGGACGAGAGGTCGTGATGCAGGACCGGCCGACCCAGGAGATCTGTGGACGCCTCGGAGCGATCATTTGGAGTGTCGCCAAAGTCGGCGTAGTGGGCGAACGACGTCTTGAGGGGAGTGGGTTGCGGTTCGACGGGGGACGTGTCGTCTCCTTGAAAGGGCACGGCAAGCTCCAAGCGTGACCAGCCGGTGTTCTCGAGCCGGACGCGTTGATAAGAAAGTTTTGGATCTGGCCACGGACTGTTGGGCGAGCCGTCGTGGAGGGACATGAATACGCGCAGGAGCTCGGCGATGGCAATGCCGTGGGCCACGATGCAGATGTGTCCGAGATCACCCGCAGCGTGCTGCTGAGTTGGCGGTTTCTTGCGAAGCGCTTCGACGCGCGGAAGGATGAATTGACGCACGGCCTTGGCGATCCTGGCATTGACCTCTTCGAGACACTCGCCCTGAGGAAAGCGGAACTTGCGGCCGTCCTCGCCGGTGGAGCCCTGGATCCACTCTGTATGGGTGTTGGTCTGGCCTTCTGCCTGGCCAAAGTTGATCTCGCGCAGCGTTTTGGACTGCACGAGAGGAGGCGGAGGGATGGATCGATTCGACTTGAGGATCTCGTCGGCGGTCATGGCAGCACGCTTGAGGTCGCTGCAGTAGATGGCGGTGAGGGGCACGTTGGCGAACGACTGTCCCAGGGCTCTTGCCTGGTTGATGCCATTCTGGGTGAGTGGAGTGTCGCGAAAGCCGGCCCAGATGCCCATTGAGTTGTCTTGTGACTCGCCGTGGCGGACCAAGGTGACAAGGAGGCGGTTGAGCGACATGGCGGAATTCTGGACGTTCTCGACGCCTGATCGCTGGCTCCTTTGTTTCGTCTTTGGCGCTCGGCACTTGACCTCGAGACGAGGCGAAGGCTTGTCGCCTTGCGGGCTGATTCTTGCGCTCAAAGCGAGATGGTCGGTATGCAGCACATAGAGATGGCGTAGTCGAGCGGCGCTGCGGGCTTGCGAGGTTCAGGAGTCGATGTGATAAGAGGGGACGAAGAAATGTGACGTTTCAGCAAAGCCTTCAGATGAACAGGGGCTGCCGGTGGAGCCAGGGTCCGTGCAGTGCAGCCGCCGCCTGTCTTGTCAGCCGCAGAGTGACGCTCCGCTCGCGTAAACCCAGACCCTGAAAGCCAAGACACCACCGCACGCTGCAATCACGGAATCGCGCGCGCTCCCCAGTCAATTCTTGAGCCGATTTCGCGCGCCCTGCGACTTGCTCTCAGGGTGTCTTGCTGACAAGAGCCCGCGATGCTGTTCTTAGGGAATGCTGTGTCGCCGAACCATATAGCCCTGGTCTGCAACCTCGTGCCCGGCCCTGTGCAGGCTGGCAGGTTTGTTTGGCGGTAGCAGCCGTGCAAGTTACTCCCAATCGTCGAAAGGCGAGGTGGTGAATCGGGATGTACCGATCTGACCCGATTTCCATCCCTGACACCAGATCTCGCGCTGCCACTGTGGCACATTCGAGGCGATTGCCTGGCGGCATGATCGAGTCGGGGCCAGCATGCAAAGGGCCGTCGAGAGCCAGTGAAGCTCAGGCTGCGGTTTCTAAGTTTAGCAGCGGCTGCCAAGTTGCTTTGGCCCAAGGTGGAGGCTTGCCTGCCAGCGCCGGCAATCCAGCGAAGCCCGGGAGCCGAGAATTGGGCTCGGTGGGTGCTGCCAAATCAGAGCTCGGTATGCAGAGCAGGGGCCTGGAGGGAAAGCAATACGCCGCCGCGCCACCCGTGGTCTGATCGCCGGATCCACAGAAAGCGCCGGAAGAAAGGCTAGTGCATGCGCATATCGTCCCCCGCACTTCCTCTTCCACCGTCCATCAACACCTCTTGACCTTCCCTTTCCTACACTTACACACAACACAGAGATGGCAGCTGCTAAAGAGTTCAAGGTGGTTCTTGCCGGCCAGTTCGGTTCGGGCAAGACCACGTTTGCCACGCGCATCAAGTCGGCCAAGTCGGATAAGAAGGAGATCAAGGCTCTCAAGACCACCCAGTACCCCGTGACGCTGCAGACCTCGGCGGGCCAGGTGACGCTCAACCTGTTCGACACCAACCTGCACGCCAAGGGCGGTCTGCCCGACGACGGCTTCTTCCGCACCGCCGACGCCTCGATCGTCTTCTTTGACCTCACCAATGAGGGCAGCTACACTGCCATGGAGGATTGGTACGACGCCGTCATCAAGGCCAACGGCCGCAAGGGCAGCGAGCCCCTCCCCGTCGTCGTCGTCGGCACCAAGGCGGACGACATCAAGGTGCGTAGTCTCTTGTTCCTGGCTCCCCTTTTTGCTGTCAGCCCGCGGCGTTTTTTGCTCACCTTTTCTCTGTATTCCCTCCGCTTCCTCTCTGTACAGGGCCGAGACATCAAGCCTGCGGCCATCGAGTTCCCCCGCAAGAAGGAGCACACCTACCGCGAGATCTCTGCCCAGGCCAAGTGAGTGTTCTCGCCAGCCCTGGCAATGACTTACGAGATGCTGACCTTTTGCTTCCACCGTCGACGCTTCTAGCTACGGCGTCAAGGAGCTGCTCCTGGATGTCTGCAAGGCGCTGCTGGGCGACTCTGTTCAGCTCACCGCCGAGGTCGAGATGGACAAGCCCAGCATCGACAAGGTGCGTTCTTTGCCGTGACAGCAGCGGCTCAGCTTTTAATATTCCGTCGTCTGTCCATCGCTGACCGTTCGCTTTTTTGCTCCTTTTGCTCGCTGCTGCAGATCGACGAGGAGCAGCTCGAGAAGCTCTTCGCCGAGTACGAGAAGGCTGCCTCGGCCTGATTCCGATGCGCCGACGGATCAGCGTGAGAAGCAATTTAGACGCTCGACGCTCGAGACATAGAAATCGCAGTCCTTTATCACCAGAGATGGAACACCGCGTGAATTCGTGTGCCGTCTTTTTGAAGCATCATCCACTTGGTTTCTGCATCTTCACATCAGCGTCCCGCAGATCCGCATCGCAAGAACGCCGAAGAACATGCTCACGTTGGCGTCGGCATGCATCCGATGCGACCATCGAAACGAAGCGGATGAGCAGTCAAGTGGAATCGGCGTCGCGCGCTCCGATTACGCGTCGATGCTGAATCACATTTGCATGCGCGAAGCTTAAAGCTCGCCGCACACAGTCAGCAACGTTTGTTAGGGTCGCGCCCGGTTGCTGAGCAATCACATCAACCCCTATTGGCTACACGTGCTATCCGCCATCCGCCATCCGACGTCGTGAGCCTGTCGCTGGAAGTCCGCTTGCAAGCCACCGACCTCCAGCACGATTGCCGCTCCCGTCCAAGCAGACTAGGGCGCGTGAAAGCTCGTTGGAAGTCGTGGGTTGTGTCGGAAGCAGGCCGACTTCGACAGTCGGAGGCTGCTGGGCAGAGGCAGACAATGGCCTCGAGACTGGAGCTTATCCTGGAGACCGTGCTGAGTCCATGTCTCCTTAACTCGCTTCTTGGTTGAAGCGCTGCTGCCAACTTGCTTTGTTACCACCATTATCACTCTTTCTTTCTCTAGCAATCTCTTTCTCCGCGACCAGGCTACCTTGCGACATCTCCAAAGTCTCGTCGACAAGATGCAGCTCAAATCCTACGGCGATTTTCCTCGCACGATCGACCTCGATCCCTTCTTCGACAACACCAAGCTCGTCTATGGAGATGCGGGCACGAAAGTGCCATACACTCCGCAGAACACATGGACGGACCCTAACGGCAGCGCCAAAGACTACCTCGAGAAGACCAAGGGTCTCACCACGCTGCAGAAGGTAGGTGCTGCCGCTATTGCTGACTTGTCGATTGAAACCCCAACGCTGACAGTATATGTGTCGCTGCTCGCGCGCTCGATGGCCAGCACGTGGCTTACTTTGACGGCGACTGCGACGGCGTGATCTGGCCGAGCGATACCTTTTTCGGCTTCTTGGCGATGGGCTTCGGCATTTTCCTTTCTGCCTTTGCCATGCTGGCCATCAACGGCGCCATGTCGTACCCGACGCTGCCTCGGAACAGCAAGTCGCTGAGGAACTGGCTGCCGGACCCGTACATGCGCATCTATGTGGCCAACATGCACCGCAGCAAGCATGGCTCGGACACGGAGTCGTTTGACCGACGCGGCCAGTTCCGGCAGAGCCAGCTGGAGGCCGAGCTGAGCGAATGCTCGAGCCGCTACGGCAAGGATGCGCTGTCGTACAGCGATGTCCTTGCCATGTTCCGAGAACGTCGAGACGTGTTTGACCTATTTGGAATGACGGCCTTCTTGCTCGAGTGGAGCGCCACCTACATGCTCATCTGGCCGGCAGATGGTAAGTGGGACTGCCCTAATCGAGCAACCAAAGTCAAATTCTGACCACTTCGTATCACCGCGCGGGCAGGCTATATGCGGAAGGACGACATCTTGGGCGTCTACGACGGATCGCTGTTTGTTGTGCTCGCCCATCGTTACAAGAATGGGCTGGGTGGAGGTGCCTTTGATTCCAAGAAAGGCGGTGTCTTTGACACCAAGAACGGCTGAAGCGGTGCATGACCCGCTCGAATGGCATTCCGATCCGTCTGATGTTTCCACTGCCACGACTGTGTCCAATCTAGCATGATGCCATCCTATCAAGGCGATTGTCGTTGATATCTCGATGTCCTCCAGCTGGTTTGCGGTGCGGGTAGACTCGGCTACATGCGAAGAGAGAAAAAAAAAAAGCGCCGGCGCGGTGACAGGTGCAGGAGCAGCAAGGGGTTTGCGGCTCAGCTGTCTGTTCGTGCGCTACATGCACAGCGTTGCTGCGAGGCCACCGGTATTGCTGTCGTGTCAGGATGTCATGGCTAGGTCGATGGACAGCTGCACAAGAGGCAATCATCCGGGGCTGAACAGGCGAGAGAGAGAGAGGATGCCGCGAGGTTGTGGCGGCTGACTGCGAGTACTGTGACTGTATGCAGGGGCGGGAGGGTTGCTGTGCATTTCGAAAAGTCACGTTGCGCAACCGGACGTGGGCGGGTGAGCAGAGTGGAGGCGTGCCACAAGGTCGGGTTCGGCGGTTGCACTCGGCGCGACAAGCTCCCACGCCTCCTCCCTTTGTGTGATGCCTTGGCTGCACATCCTTCCGGCTTTGAAGCTGCTGTGACGGCAGAGTGCAATCACAAATCGGCTGCATGTCGAATCGGACGCAGCAAGAGGCGCGTGCCTTTGCACCAAAGGAGGGGTGCGTGCGTGAATGCCTGCGTGCCGGCACAATGGACCGAACTGGCGTCTAGGCATCCACCGTGACTACAGCAAAATCACACGCCAGCGTCCGAAAGCACAGCATTAAGCTCAACGCATGCTCGCCCTGGCTCCGATGACCAACGGCCAATGCACTTTAGCCTCGCAAGCGGCTTGCGGCTTCGGAAGCACCGAGCTGGCCGACTACTGCATTTGCGCCAGGTCTCGAGTCGATGTGCGCGGCTCAGTCTGGCATGCCTTGCCCACACGCGCGGACCATTGTGCAAGACGCGCATACTCCCTCGACCCTTTCGCGACGTTCGCTGCTGCCTCGATCGACTACGCCTTCCCTGACGAGGAGAAGGCGGCATGCAAGTGGATGAACGTCTTCTTCCATCATGCCTTCCATGCCTTCATAAGGTGAATCAAGCCCGCCTCGCCAATTTGCGCTCAGACCCCTCGCTCGGCCCCGATCGGCGCTAATGCGTCCAATCCACGCAGCTGGTGGCTATTGTTGGCACGCTCCCTCCAACGCCATTCGATTTCGCCAATACCGACCGCAGACGCGTGGGCGTGACGAGGTCTCATAGGCCGGCCGTCCGATCCTGCATCCACCTAGGCCTCTCCAGCCAAAAGCTCGAACCCTTCGGCTAAGCTCAAGTCGTCCTTCCCTCGAGCCTTGCCCCTAGCCACCTCGGCCAGCCTCTTCTCGGAAGCCTCCAGGCGCAGCACATTCGCGTGGCTCGAGACCTCGCTCTTTCGAGCTCGCTCCCCTCATTTCTCGCCAATAGCCAGCCGCAAACAAATCAGGCGCATACGAGGTCAGGGCTCTGCATCCTCGCAAAGCTCGCTGCCTGACACTCACACACCTCCCTCTCGGTGCGGAATCGTCTTCGACCAAGGGAGGCGCTCGGCAACCAAACCTGCAGGCTCGACCCCTTTTGGCCATATTACCGTCTCGTCATCCATGGTCACCCATGCACCTCGACTAGGCAGCATGGCCAGTTCCTGACTATAACTTGGCGACCGCCGTCCATGATACCGCTTTCAGCCCATACCGTGTTTGTCCATGCAGCTTCCACCCGCCTTCATTCTTACACCCATCACTCGAGATTGCGTGGGTGCACATCGCGACGCTCGAAACGCCGCACGCTCTCGGCCCCACCGGCTTCATCTCGTTGTCTCGACACTCGAGCCTCTTGTCAGTAGCGCCAGCAAAGCCCACCCTGTACACAAGCCACGCAATTTCACGACCATCCCACCAATCTCAACCCAGCACTCGTATATATCCCTGCTCCTCACGCACCCACACGCCGACCAGCGCGCCTTCACCCATCCACGCACGCTACTACGACCTTTCACTCTGATCCAATTTACCAGCCTCTCTGGATACCAAAAGCTGCCAGAGTGCCTACCGCGTTTGCGCTCCCCAACAGCTGGTAGCCCAACCGTACGAATCGCATCCAGCCAAACGCCATGCCTGCAGCTCCAGGCGAGGCCACAGGCACGTCCGGCTCATCATCATGTGGTCCGCAAGGTCCACCAGCAGCGATCGAGCTTAACCTCGGCGCAAAACGGCTCGTCCGCTACTACCGCATGGCTCGCAGTGGAGATAGCGACGCCGCCGTCTTGGGCAAAGGCGGCTTCGGCTGCGTCTATCGCTATGCTCTCGACACGTCCTTCACCCCGCCCTCCTCGGTAGACCTCTCGCTCTCGCTTTCTCCCAGAGACGTCGGTCGACATGCGTCTGGTCGAGAAGTCGTGCCTGTCAACGGCGCATCCACGAGCAACAACACCCATTCTCTTGGAAAGGCCTCGACGACCCTCAAGCCGCCCTCTCTGGTCGCAGTCAAGCTCTGCCGCACTCCCTGCTCTGGCTCTTTTGACGAGCTTCAAAAGACGAGCCTAGTCGACAAGAGAACGCGCAGAGCCGAGCTGCAGGACGATCGCCGTACGCATGTGAGGATCGTCCGCGGCGAAGGTCGCATCTTTGAATACCTTCAAGCCGCTCATCAAGTATCCGAACAGTCGGGCGATGTGCCCCTTGTCAAGCTGCTCGCTAATCTCTCTCCAACAGGTATCGACGCCAGACAAGAACAGCACAGCAGCCTCAGCATGTCTGAAGACGAGGAAGATGGCCCGCCGACTAGGCTACTCGTTTTTGAAAAGCTGATCGAGCTCGATGCAGAGCCCACCCCTAGGGGATGGGCCAAGTCGAGAAAACCTTGGAGCCACGAAAGGGTCGAAAAGGTGGCGTTCGAGGTGATGCAAGGACTCAGGGTGCGTATCTAGCACTAAGCGTTGCCACACTCATCTACAATTGAAGGAGTCCCGCTGACATTGTGCTTGACTCTTGGCACCTTAGTTTTTGCACGAGCACAACGTGACGCATGGCGATCTGAAGCCTTCGAACCTCATGCTCGATCCTCGAACGGGAGTGGTCAAGATCATCGACCTCGGAGCCAGCCGTCGTTTTGTGCACCTTTCCAACCGGGAGCGCAACAATCGCCGCGCAGTAGAGCAACAAGACCGCCAGGCCCTGCTCAACGGTCGAGCCGTCCCTCGGTTGGCTCCCGAGCTTTGTGAGGGACTCGGCTCGCTCACCGGCTCTCCCTACTATATGGCTCCCGAAATCCTCATCCAAGCCACACGCTACATTGACATCTCGGGCAAGTCACGCTCGGTCTTGGAAGACTACGAGTACGACTATCCCTCATTCCTGCCTCGCGACCAGTGGTCCATCTTCCAGATCGGTCTCAGCGATCTGAAGCGGGGATGGGGTATCCGTGCCGACATCTGGAGCTGGGCATGCACTGTGCAGGCTCTGCTGCTCAAGACGGTGGAAGAAGAGCAGCGACCCAGCAGCAGCACTATTTCGCCCTATGACTTTTCCTTTTCGCGCCATCGCCACGAGATGACCGAGCCGCTCTATCAGAAGGCGGCAGGCGAGGACGATGTGCCCCGCTTTCACCAGTGGTGCCGTGTGCTGCCGCTGCTGATTGTGGGAATCGCGCTAGAGCCAATCTTGTTGGTTGCCCAGGCGGACGGCTGCTCTCCTGCGCTACGCTCAGCTCTCAAGGCGTCGCTGCGACACCAGGATCTTCGTCCCACTGCCGACGATCTTTTCAGCGCACTTCAATCGGCACGATCCTCGCCTCAGCGCACTAGCGACGCACGTTTGCATCCGGCAGACGGGATGGACGGGAGTCCACGACGCCAAGACAAAGCTGGACAGCTTGGTCAGCTGGGCGCATCCGAGGCGGATTATGGCTCGCCGCAAATTCGCATCTCGGAGCTCGAGGGCTCGAGGCAGACGACACCATCGCTGTCGCGAGGAACCTCGAGGACGAGCACACCGCAGCATACGTGCGAGACGATTGGCAGGAGCGCGTCCACTCGCACGCCCGATCGGCTGAACAAGGGCAAGGTGCGACTCGCTGCGTGCTCGATGGAGATGAGCCCAGATCGTACGGCGTCCAAGTCGTGTGGAGTTGACGACGAACGTGCGACGAGCGCCATGATGCTGCAGGGCTTCGAGCTAGTCAGCCCGCCGCGCAACCCCAAGCCGCGTTCGACTACTCTCGGCGACGCACCCCGACCGGCGACTGCCAACGCGCGTCTGCCAAGCCCCGGCACGTGGACACGAAGCGCCGATGCGCTCCGCGCGGAAGCGAATGCGCGCCAGATGCCACGATCGGCAAGCTCGGTTCGCGTCAAGACGAGCTCTCGACCAAGGACCAGTCCGATGCTGCCCGAGTTTGGCCGCAGTGGCGGATGCCTCAGCACACGGCTGGCAGGTCAGATGGAGACTGCGACGGCGACCGCGACGGGTGCTGGTGTCGAGTGGGTCTCGGATGCTGCGGACAGAGATGGGCAGAACAGCCGAACCGGCGACGGCGAGCTGCGGCCGCCTCTGTCTGCGCGTGCAGTGCCGCTGTCTCCCGGCGGTTCGGGCCTGGATGCGGCTATGCGGGGTCTGCGAAATCTAAAGCTCAGCCGACCGAGCCTGGGCTCGCAGAGGACGGGTGGGGAGACGAGTGCGCCGCACAGTCCGTCGTGGCACCTTCGAGGCTCATCGATGCCGGTGCTCGGACGAGGTGGAGAGAGCCGGGCTCAGGCGCAGGCTTGGACCACGCAGTTGGATGGCAGCGGTATCGGAGACTCGCCGCAATGTTCGCTGGGAGAGGGCAAGGCGAAGCGTCAGAGCAACCTGATGGCGACGCTCAAGGAGAAGCAGGTGCGACTCAAGTTTGGCACGCTCAAGCTCAAGGGGAGGCGCCAGGAGAGCGGCGAGGATGCGCTGGGTGATTGCAAGATGCAGCGCGGTGGAACGGACATGGTGACGGGCGACGTCGAGGTGCGAGTGGCCCAGCTGCCGACAATTCGGGGAGGTGAGGGCACTCGGAGGGAAGAGATGGCTTCGCCAATGGCAGGGCACGGTGGGACACGGAGCCGAAACACGGGCAGCCGGTCAGGCACAGGCACGGGTGGCTCGGCGGATGGCAAGCCGTCGTCGAAGCAGCTGCTGCGACGGCTGCTGACGTGGAGCGCCTCGTCGTCGTAATACTCTCGCCGGTGTTTGCATTGATTCTTACTGGTTCTGTCCATGCTTTTTACCTGCGTGCGAAGCGTGTGAGAGTGCGAAACGTGGGATGAGGAGGCACGAGTCGTTGAGAGTGTCGCCGATGTGTTGGCTCAGATCCTGGAGGCGCGAAAGGGCGGAGGAGACGAAAGTCACTCGCCAGTCTAAAAGCTTAGATTGACACATAGATTCGTGGTGTATTGTCGTGTAGCTGCACACGCTCCATCTGCGTTGAGTGACCGTCGCCGATGCGCTACCTTCATTGAGCCTGAGTCTTTGCAGCGCCAAAGGAATCAAGCATGTTTTAAACGAGAAGAAGCTAGACGCCTGGACTGTGACATAGATGCGCAGTGGAACGTCGTGTACATGCACCCGCTCCATCTGCATTGACGGACAGTTGAGCTGATGCGCTAACTCGTTCCAGTCCTTCCCAGCATAAAAGAATTCAAGCATGCTGAAGGAGGACAAGCTCGCTCGCCTAGGGGCAGAGACCCAGTAGTGGAGTGTCTGCGTATCTACAACCACTCCATCTGCATTGACTGACCTAAGCCCAGATCTTGGGAGTCGTCAAAAAAGATCCAATCACGCTGCAGCAGACGAGACTCACTCGCCAGGTGCAGAAGACTTGATGATAGCGTAGATGCATAGTGAGATGTCGTGTCTCTGAAGCCTCAACCTACATGGACTGGACCGTCATCAATGCGCTCAGCCAGCCCAGGTATTGAAGGCGCAAAAGGACCCAGTCGTTCTCCAGCAGACGAATCTCACCTACCGCGTCCGGAGAATCTAGTGTAGATCGTAACAAAGGGGCGCAACGAGATGTCTGCACCCGCCCTCAATCTTTGTCAACTGACCGTCGCCGATCAGCTACGTTACTTGAGCTCAGATGTCGAGACGGTGCTCACTCGCCAGTCTATTTCAAAGCGCAGATTGTCACATAGACTCGTGGTGGAATGTCGTGTATGTGCACACGCTCGAATTGCGTTGACTGACCGTCGTCGATACGCTTGCTCAATTGAGCTCGGATTTTCGGGGCGCAAGAGGACAGCCACACTCGGACAGAAGAAGCTCGCTCGCCAGGTGCAGTAGGCTAGACTGCAGCGCGGTCGAGGCCCATCAAAACGTCCACGCCCTGGCAAAGATGTCGGCCCTCGGAGCTGCGTTACGCAGCCATTGCTGGCGTCTTTCTTTCGCTGCCAGACTGCGCTCTCCCCCTCCCTCTGTTCCATGCAAACATCCGCCTTCCCTTGCGCCCACTTTGTCAGCGGTGACACACCCCTTCGGGACTCATGGCAACGCAAAGAAAGGAATGGTCATCCTGCACTCGGTGTCGTATAGCTTCATCTGCTGTGTGAGTCCCAGTACATACATACCTAGGGGCGCAATGAATGGTCGTGCATCTGCAGTTGATTGATCTGCTTTGACTGACCATCGTCCCGCTAACTGAACCCAGTAGTCAAGGCGCCAAAGGACCTATGCATGCTCGAATCGATCTCTTTTCTGCGTATACATTCTCTGCGTCTGCTCAGTGCGCTTTCTCTACCGACTTTGATTGTGTGTCGCCTTGCGTGGACAAAGCTCCCCTCCATCCCTGCTGCTTCTCTGCCGAAGCTGTCTTGTGGCAGCGGAGTATATCCAGGCTGAAGCATGCTGAGACTTGGTTTTCCGCACAACTCCACAAGAAGCCCCTTTGTGACTTGGCTTTTCATTTCGCAACCCGATCATAGACTCAGAAGCATTTGCACTCGGGTGACTCGCCGCTCATGCTCACTCGCCAGTCTAAAAGCCCAGATTGTCACATAGATTCGTGGTGGAATGTCGTGTATGTGCACGCGCTTGATCGGCATTGATGAGCGACCTCTTGGCAGATGAGTTGATCGAGCACGACATGGTCCACGCAGCCTTGACGCCATCTGCACTACTCTTTCACCGCACTTGTTCGCTTGTCACGCGGCGACGAAAGTATCCCAGTCAAAGGGACGACGAAGGAGAACTCGGCGCTTCCCCCCTGACCCTTTCCGTCAGGCATCGACCAAAGTCACCTGTCACCACCACCTGCTTCCGAGCCACAAGAGCAACCAAGGGCTAAAACAGACGAAGACCAAAGCGTTGACTAGCCATCGAATTGATGCCAGTGCTTGAATGAGAATCGAGTGATCATGCACACATGTTCGACCATTAGGCATTGGCTGATTGATTGATTGATGGGCGATATCGGTCTCGAGTCCTCCTCTCGGCCATTTTCCATCGACCATTATGACCCTTTGGCTCACCTGTCGCGCTTGATGCCATAGCAGAGTGGTGCAGCGTCAACCGAATCGAGCATCTCCAGACGGCTAGAGCGCCATCCATCTTTCAAGATGAATGAATCTGCTGATAGTTGGTGGACAACAAGCTCAGTCATCGCGATCCGACAGTCAAGAGACTTGCAAGAGTAGCCTTGTGAAGCTGCGGTGGGCCGAAAGCAAGCAAGCGCTGATCGGGTGCGATCGAACCCCGATGTGGGCGAATCTGAGCGAGTGCGCCGGCGAGATTTTCTGGAGGATGCACCGAGACGCGGAGGACAAACAGTGCGCAGCGGCGCATGCAGGGTTTGGGCGGCGCCACGTGAAAGCTTGCAAATGATTTGCAGCGTTCAACAAGGCGGCTCCCCCAAAGCTCCGAGCGGGGGCCTCTAAACAAAACCTCCTGACAGCTGCGAAATCGCCGAACCTTATCACACATCTCCTTGTCTGATGAGTGCGATCTGCTGTCATCACGCAAGCCTCTTCCAGCAGCCTCGCATCCATCAGCTTTTTGAACCACACGCCAGTTTTTGTCCTGTGCACAATAATCGATTGTTACAGGACTTTGCTGCTTTGCTCCCGTGTCGAGTTTTGAGCGTTGACTCGGCTGAATAGTGGCTGAATGCTGGCTGAGCGCGGGCTGAGTGCGAGCTGACCATGGTGTGACGAAAGCTGTGATGCTTAGGGACCGGCTCGGAAAGGTTGATCATTGGGCCACGGGCGGCGGAGGCATGAATTTTCCGGCAGCGCGGATTTCATTTTATCGCATTCACGCGCCTCCTCGTGCCAAACTTTTTTGGCCGAGCAGAGTGGCTGCTCAACACAAGCCGAAAATCTCGCCGAAATATGCCTCCACTCGCCCGCCAAAGGAGGCAGCCGGGATGGCATCAGTCGAGCTGCTGCGTGAACGTGGCCGGGTAGATATTGATATTGCACAGCGGAAAAACAAAAAAAGGTTGGCCAGCACCAGGCTTGAGCGACAACAACCATCATCCTCACCTTATCCCACACGCCCATCGCAGCTCAGGCCTCTTTCCGCCCAAGCCTTCATCACGCCCACTTCATATCCGACACGCATAGGGGTGCGTTGCCATGCAGGCCCCGAGCGCACACTAAATCAGGCGACACTCTCTTGCTCTTGACCAGTCATGGCCGACCAACAAAACACGCAGGGGGCAACAGCGGCCGCGCCCAAAAGGGGCCACCACCGCCGCACATCATCGCTGCTGCCCAGTCTCGGCTCGCTCGGCTCGTTCCTCGCAAGTGCAGGTGGGCTGGCTACACCCAACGCCAACTCGAACGATGCACAAGACGCCCCACGAACAGGCACCCTCCCAACCGACGCCGAGCTCGTCTTTTCTCACCCAACACCCACCGAGTGGGCGGACGACTCGCCCGTCAAATCTCGTCCGCCGCCTCGCTCAGCGCCATATGCAAACCTCAGCGACGAGGTGCGCTTCCGTGGCAAGCCCCAGCCGCAGTCGTCCATCGCTTTCCCCACGCCCACATCCCCCGCTGCCTCGGCTTCGTCGTCGGTCGCCAGCACCCCCCGCGGCTTGGACCCAGATGCACCACCCATGCTCTACAGCCCGCAACAGTCGAGCGCCGCGTCGTCCGCCGACACGCCGGCTACATCCGTGAGATACTCGCCCCGCTCCACACCCAAGGACATGCCGCAAGATTCGCTCTTGCTCGCCCCCACGCCACCCTCGGCACCGCCATCCGAGTCTACCACGGTCAAGGCAGATGCTGGTCCGTCTTACAACCGCTATTCCACCCTTCCGCGCTCATTCACACCTTCGCGCGCGTCGCCCGGCCAATCCCATGCTGACTTGCCCAAGTCGCGCACAAAGCCAGGCGCACATGGCCGAACTTCGTCCTGGAGTGCCACTTCGGGACGACGAGCAGCCGCTCAGCTTGATGAAGCGCTCTCAAGCGACGAGCAGTCCGTGCAGAGGCAGGCAGGCTTCCGTGCGCGCTCCATCAACTCCATTCGCGGCCTCGCCGCTGCATTCGTGCCAGCAAGGTTCGCGCCCGCATCCCAGTCGTCCAGCTCGGCTTCTTCCAACGACGACGCTTCCTCACTCGACCTCTCGAGTCCATACCGCCGCGACGAGCTTGCTCTCGTGCCCGCTCCCGGCGCCGACTCGAAGCGCCTCGTGCGCCACGGCGAGGGCCAAGTCAAGCGACCCGTCAAGCTCGACCGCCGTCGTCTGGACAAGGCCGTCTCCTTGGCTGTCGAGGCAGCGCAGGCGGCAGAGGAAGACGAGCGCATCTGGGAGCAAAAACGCACCAGAGCTTCCGAAGACGACGACGATGACAAGCGCGACAGCGACGACGACGACGACGACCTCGGTTTTTCGCTCGATCTCTACATTTCGTCGCTCGGATACCTCATCTCGGCCATCTCGGACAAGGAGGCGCCCGGCCTCAGCACCAAGCAGCGCCAGGACATCAAGCAGCGTCTCGAAGAAGGCATGTCCAAGCTCGGCTTTGACGCGCGCGCCGAACTCGCCGCAGCAGAGCAAATGAAGCAACAGCTCGAGCTCGAGAGGCAGAAGCTGCAGCTCGAGCGCGACCATGCACCCGCACCCACCGCCAACGTGGTGCACCATCACTACCACACTGCTGTCCCCGCCAGCAGCTCCATGTTTGGCGACGCCAACTTTTCGCGCGCCCATGCAGCTGCCAGGGCGTCCTCCAAGGGATCGTCGTCGCTCGCGGGCAAGCTCAGCTCGTCGGTGCTCGATATCGGACTGCACATTGGCGCAGGCGCCTTGTCTGCACTCTCGGCCAACTTGTCGGCGATCGCGCCGAAGGGCATGCGAAAGACATCCGGCGCGAGCTCGGCGAGTGGCGACAAGATGCAGGATCCCAGGATCACGGATCTTGATAGCGACGAGGAACTGCGCAGCCCTGGACAGCGTGTGGATCCACCTTCGCCGGCCATGACGCCGTCGCAGCCGGACAGTGGTGCTGCCACGCCGCGCACCGCATGGTCGCGCGCCATCAGCCAGAACAACAAACAGTGGGAACTTGCCGTGGCGTTTGCCAGCACGGCTGCATCCGCGCTTGCGAGCAGTCTGGGCGCCGTTGCTCGCAGCGATGGCACCGACTACCCCGAGTCGTCTCCAGGCTCGAGCGAGGTTGTACTTGGACCGCTTACGCTTGAGCAGCAGCAACATCTGGCGCGGTATGGCCACCCCGAAGGTGCGGGCGGGGAATCTGCCGAGGACCGGTTGATACTGTTGTCGGCATCGCTCGCACGCGCACTCAAGCGCTCTCCGCTCCCGACGCAGCTTTATCAGTTGCTGCGCCAGATGGTCTCGATCCTCGCCGCCATCGATGCCAAGTACCGCGTGTCGGAAAAGGGCACCCAGCTCGCACTGCGCGAAACGAGCAGAGCGCTAAGGTTCGTCCGAAGACACGACCTGCATGTCAAGGCGGTCCGAGTGGCTTGGGCCGCTGCAGAGGCCGCGGTTGCTGCGTTGGAGGCGTACAGGGACGAACCGGCTTGGGCGATCCAGGGAGTGGAGAGCCAACAGATTGCCGCTCCGGCAAGAAGGATCGAGGACCAGTTTGAACAAGGTGCTTAAGTATACCCATCCCTTTAACTTGGCAGGGACGAATGATACCATTTTCGAAAGGCGAGCGATTGCGTGTGGAAAGCTGATGAGATGAGGAAGGCGAGGAGGAGTGGCAGAACGTCTGCTTTGACATGCACGAGGCGGCTGAAGGGAGAAAGGCTGGCTCAGGAGCGCGAGAAGGTCGTAGTGAGTTAGCAGAAGCAGTTGGCTCGAGCCCTCATCGCGGTGGGCAGGGAGAGACCCGAATTCGAACAACTGGGTGTTCAGAGTCGGCGAGTGAAAGGGCGTTCATGCTTCACTGGCGTGCGGGGTGGAGCAGCTGTGATGGCTGCAGTGTGGATTCGCGCTAGTCTGCAAGCGAACGCTTTTGGTTGCAGGTCAGATGGGCCCTTGAACTCGCAGCCGCACAGCACAGACGCGAGGCTCAAGCTGAGGCAGCAGCCGATTGTATCAAGCCGCACTGGCTCAGGAGAACGAGCGCGCCGTACCAGTTGCCTACTCGAGCCCTCGCAGCGGTGCGCAAAATCATCCCGCTTCATACAGCGACATGTGCGCGCGTCAAAGTGGGCTTCGTTGCACGCCACTGTCGTACGAATGCGGAGCAGATGTGAAGTTTGGCCTCCGCGACGTGGTTTGCTGGTCTGCAAGTGGTCGGTTTGGATCGGAGGTTTAACGGGCCTCAGCACAAGTACAGAACGCTATGGGAAAGGCTGAAGAGGCTATTGTACGCAGAGGCGGTGGAGGAGTGGCAGCACCTCGATTTTGATGTGTAGGGGACGGCCGCAGGGAGACGCACTGACTCAGGAGCACGAGAAGGTAGAGGCCTTGTGGATAGAACGATGCCCGCACATGAAACATCGCGATGTCTTAATCGGCGCATCGTCTGCACGTCTCTGCGGGGACCTGCGAAACAACCAACTGCGCAGCCAGACGATGGCGCTTTGTTTGCGCGTTTCTCCATGCCTGGAGTGCGGGAGCGGAGTAGCTGTGGCAAAAAGTGCACAGCGTCCACAGCATGAGTCTGTGCTAGTCTGGAAGCGGGTCTGAGGGCTCACGGAACCGCAGTACAAGCTCGTGAGCACAGACCCGCTGTAGAGGCGATGCGAAAGGTAACCTCTGCTTTGGAGGACAGCAGATGCGCTGGTCTCAAAGGCAATCAGTAGCGTGTGTGGGGACACTTTGGCACAAAGGCGCAGCGTCGCCGTCTGTCTTCTGCGCGCTTGTACACGCAGCGATGACGAGCACAGGATCTCATGGCAGACTCGAAAGCTCAACAGAATACAGTCACGAATTTGCTTCACTCGTATTTGTGTCGACGCCAGGAGAGCGCCTACCATTTGTGCGTAGGTCGCCTGTCTCTACCAGCGTCCTACTGTCCTCGCTATCGCAGAAGACAACAGCAGCCAAACAGGAGGCGCGTTGCTGTCGCCAGGTTGATTCGTCACCTCGTCATCCAGCTCTCGTCACTCGGAACGGTGTACAAAGCGTGACGAGGCGGCCATTGCCCTGCCTCGCCCAGTGCAGCGGTTGAGCTGGTAAAGCGTACACGTCCCAGTTGGCGACGCACGACATGACGCGCATGCAAAAGGTCCCCCGTCGCCTGAGTAGCTGCGTTGCGCGGGTCGAGCACAGGTTGCAACGCCGTACGCGATGCCAGTGCCGCATGGAGCATCAACACCGCCACAAAGACCGAGTGAATCCAGCAAAGCTTTGTGGACGTCCGTCAGGCCGATCACAGCGGTGAAATGGATGCCTCGGCACCTCTCAGCCGACAAAGGTGTAGGCTGCTTTACTGGAACGAGTCGCTGACGGCATCGTGCGGCTCAATCTTGTTACATGGACGACCCAGCTGCGACAAGCGACGAGGTTGGATTGCAACACACGCCTCAACACGACTTGGTAGCCACCACACAAAGTTTGATCAACCTGTGGGGACAACGCTGCCAACAATGATGTCAAATTGATTGCGGAAAAGACTGAGCTAGGGATCCCACTCGGTGATACACTGGTAGAACTCGTTGAGGATGTGTTTCTGAGCCTGGTCGTTCTTTGCCTTATCCGTGTCGATGGCACGGATGACGGTGTACTTTCTTCCGGTCAGCACAGCTGGAGTGACGACGTTGAACTCGTCGCCCTTCGTAGCCCTTTCGGCATGGTCCTTGCTACCCACCACGGCTGCGCCTGCCTCCTGAGCAATGACGACTCCCGCACACACGTCCCAAGCCCAGCATCCAATCTCCCAATACAGATCCAGGTTTCCGCTTGCCACATGGCAAAAGTTCAGCGCAGCGCTACCCACGCTCCTGACGCCCTGGACCATCTTTCCTCCAGCAATACCGCCCTCTGGATCGCCGGTGATCTTACGGAAGCAGTCGAGCTTTCGTTCCAGCACCTCGACACGACGATCGCTTCCCCACTCGAACGCCACGAGTGCCTGTCGCAAATCATCCAGCGGCGTAGGATCTACCAGCGGAAGTCTGCGAGGAGCAGGGTGGTGGGGACTTGACATGAAGCTGCCCTTACCCAAACATCCCTGATACATTGTGTCCATGAACGGAGCAAAGACCACGCCGATAGTGGGGACGCTGTTGATGACGACGCCGATGGAGATGCAGGTGTAGGGGAAAGCATGCACGAAGTTGGTCGTTCCATCGATCGGATCCACGATCCAAGTCACCTGGTTGTCCAATGCATGTTCCTCTCCCGCCGCCCAGGACTCTTCTCCGATAAAGGCGTGGTCCGGAAAACGCGTGCTGATCTCCCGCTTCACTAGCGCCTCAACTGCCTGGTCGGTTTCGGTCACCAGATCCGCCGTATTCTTCTTGTGGTCAAACCCAGCCGCACTGGAGAAGCGGCGCGACGAGCCGTCGACAATCGCCCGCCCCGCCTTGCGTGCCAGCTCGATCGCAAATGCGTAGATCTCGTTGATCCCTGCTTCGTCCATCGTGAGAATGTTGCTGTGAAGTTGCAAAGTGCAAGGTGGTGCGGAAGAAAGTAGCGCGAGGTGGAGCTTCCAATTCGCGCCCCGTGCGCACGCACGCCAAGGATCGCCATCCGCACGTGCCCAATGCTCCTTCTGAAACCGGCTGCTATATATTCGCAACAATTGGTGCATTCAACATCAAGTCCCAGTTAGTACAATGGTTAGTATAGGGCACTCTCACTGCTCAGATCAGGGTTCGATTCCCTGGCCGGGAACTCTTTTTCTTTTCTTCACTGTCGGCTGTCGTACCTTTTCCTGCAAAGCCCTCTTCTTTTTTTAATTGATGCCTGCTATCTCAGCGGTATATGTATGCAATATTTTGAGCCCAATCTAACAAGTCCCAGTTAGTACAATGGTCAGTATAGGGCACTCTCACCTCTTCTTCGTCCTGCAAGGGCAAGAAGTTTGTCTCTGCTCAGATCAGGGTTCGATTCCCTGGCCGGGAAAACCTTTTTTGGGGGCGTTTCGTCTGCCGTTTTTTTTGGTGGCACATTTTCCACTTGATGCTATCTTCACTTCAGCACTCGTGCAACCCTTCGAATGTCCTGCCGAATCACTCGCACTGACGCCACATAGACTGCCAACGAGATAGAGATAATGCATTGCATCGGTCTAACTAGAATAAGCAAGGGAAGCCGAACGAGAAAAGAGCTCATGCGGTCTGGTCCATCTCTGGTTTGGCGTCGGAGGGGCTTTGTGCGGCGGACATGGCTGCGGAATGGTTGCCCATGCCTTCATCGTAATCATCGGCGTCGGTCCATCCCAGCGGTGCACCTCGGCCGGACACACTCGGATCGTCCGAAGGCGGCAGGCCGAGTTTCTCCCTGAGCTCGTGGATCTCGTTTCTGCACACAGCCAGCGCCTGGTCTCTGCGGTCGAGCCTCTTCTTGAGCCGGATGAGGTACTCGTTGCTGTGCCTGAGCAGCGCGACCTTGGAGATGGCCTTGTTTGCCGATCTTGCCATCTCGGGATCGCCCACGTCGGCGGGATTGAAGCGCTCCGCCTCGCGGTCCTCCTCAACACCATCAGGACCCAGCAACGAGCCGTTGGGCGCATCCTCGTCGAGCGTGATGGCGGGGAGCAGACCGCGCAGCTCGTCAAAGCAGAACTTGAGCGAGTCGCGCCGCTTCTGCTCGGCGGCCTTGTGCGATGTACGCCGCGACTCGAGACCGCCAGCCGACTTGTACGAGAGCCATGCATCGCGCTCCGCCTGCGACAATCCGCCCGGCTGGATCGGCATACCGCCCATCTGCGGCAGATTGAACGTCACCTTGGGCGCAGCACCCATGTGTGCCGCTGCCGAAGGGAACGGCGCAATGTTGGGATACATCTGATGCGTCGGCTGCGAAGCCATACCCGTGCCTTCCGGCTGCAGTTGCTGCTGCACCATCGCTTGCTGTTGCTGCTGCTGCTGCTGCTGCGGTGGCTGCGACCGTAGCTCGTCGCGCGCCTTGCCCTTGAGCGCGGACAAGGAGGCGGCGCCGGATGCACGGCTGTTGGGCGACTGTGCTTGCGAGCCGGGACTGGAGCGGATGCCCATGATGGAGCTGGGCGTAAGGATCTTATTGGTGGGACCGGACGGAGGCGGCATGGCACCGCCGCCCGAGAGGTCGATGGGCGATGGTGTGGACGAGGTGCCCTCGCTCTGCGCCACATCGGTCGATTGGTGGCGCGAGTGCGTCGCAGCGTCGGCAGCATTGGTGATGGAAGCACGTCGCGAGCTCGGACCCGAGGCGCCGCCATTAGCATGACCATTGGCATTGCCGTTCGCCGCCGCCGCTGCCGCGCCCGTGACGTCCTTCTTCTTCTTGATCGACGGACCGGGCACGGGCTTGATGAGTGGCGACGGCCTGACCTTGTTGGCCCTTGCCTCTGCGGTGGTGCTGCGGTTCTTGCGGATCTTGGACGAGCCCTTGGCGATGAGCGCGAGCGGCGATGCGGTGGGCGTAAAGCTGCTGGCGATCGGCGCCACCGCGGGCGAAGCGTGCATGGCCTGCTGGTGCGGATGCTGCAACTGCGCGGGCGGCAGCATGATCTCGCTCAGACTCGGTGGATGCGGCCCGAGCGCGGGCGAGGTGAGCGGCGAAAAGAGCTCGGACATGACGATGCCCGTGGAGCCGGTGGAGAAGACGCTGGCAGGCGTCATGGCGGGCGACTCGAGCGGCGTGTAGCTGCCGACGTAGTCGTGGCCGGGCCTCTGCTCGACGCCGACGCTGCCGGGCTGCGAGTTGGGCTGCATGGTGAGCGGCGACATAAAGTTGGCCGAGCCGGGCGGACACGAGGTGCTGTTGAAGGGACCCGAGCCCATGGGCGTGATGAGGCCGTACTGTGCGAGCACGCTGGCCTGGTCGCCACCGGCGCCCGATTGGTTCTGCTGCCACGCGTTTTGGCCCGGGCCCTGCTGCTGTTGCTGCTGCTGTTGCTGCTGCTGCTGGTAGTGGGCGGCTTGGAGGACGTTGTTGTGGGCGCTTGGGTTGTTACCGGCAGCAAAAGCGCTCTGGAGCGCAGCAAGGAGGCTCTGCTGCTGGCCTGGAGAGAGCTGACCCGCGCCGCCGGACAAGTTGAGTTGGAGGTTGGAGGAAGGCCCAGCGTTGTGCATGTGTTGCTGTTGCTGTTGCTGTTGCTGGTGCTGATGGTGTTGCTGCTGCTGCTGCGGCTGTTGTTGCGAATGCTGCTGCGAGTGCTGGTGCTGCTGCGTGCGCGCGAGCTGGTCGAGCTGCTGCTTGAGGAGAGCGGTCTGCATGTTTTGAATGCGCTCGGTCCTCTCGCGCTCGAGGAGCATCTGCTGGAGGTCGGCGATGGAGAGCTGGGGCATGTTGTTGTCGTGGTCGTTCATGTGCGACTGGTTGGAATGGGAAGGCTGCATAGCAGAACCGGGGGCGTGATTGCTATCGAGGTGACGGGAGCCTGCAAAGTTGATCTCGGAGCCGACGGTGGATGGCGGACGGTTGTGGCCCGAGTCGCTGCCGGCTTGATTGGCGGTGCTGCCCTGTGGGCTTGTGGAGGCGTGATTGTCGAAACGGTTGCGCGGGAAGGCGAGAGGCGAGCCAGCGTGCGAGGGAGCGTTGAGGAAGGCGGCGGCGGCGTGAGTGGTGGAGCCTGGCTGATGATCCGAGTTGTGTGAGGCTGCCGAGTGGTTGAAGGCGGCCGAGGGGCTGGGATGATGGCTCACCGGCGCGGAGCCGGCGTCCGATTGCGCGTTGTGGTGCGACGAGACGGAATGGGCCGAGTTGGCGGGGAAGATGTTGAGATCGTCGATGCCGGAGCTGGCGGTGGAAAAGTCGGGGTTGGCAAAGTCGAAGGTGTCCATGAACGAGTTGGGCGTGGATGAGGAGGGGAAGGGGTTGTGCGACGAGGCGGGACTGTTCTGCATGGTCCGTAGCTGTGCCGGCGTCGAGGCGAGAGGCCACGCTCGGTCCTAAAGTCCTAAAGTCCTAAAGCGGGGAAAGCGTGCAGTGACCGGCGGCGTAGCGAGCGATGCTAAAGGTGCTCGATAGGTAGGATGGCCGGCGAGCCTGACGTATGCTCGAAGCTATGATCGATCGACTGCCGAGGATGAGCAGGAGCACAGGATCTCGAGACAGGCGGACGTGCGTGTAGAGGTTGACGCTCCGAGCCAAGATCAAGTCGTGCGCTGATGGTGATGGCGGTGTAAGAGAGATGTAGCGGGGTGCTATATCCAGTGCGTCATGCGGCAGATGTGGTGGATGAAGCAGGAAGGGTGATGATGGAGATGGAACGGTGGGCGGGGATGATGGATGGCGACGGGCGAAGAAAGGTCCGAGATGGCAATCAAGATCCGATTGATTCCAGCCTTGAGAGCCGTGCCTGTGCTGTGTGCTGCCTGCAGTGGCAGTGAGGGAGCGGCCGATTTGAAAGGCACCGCCGAGACTGGCCTGAGCCGATGCGCTGCCGCCGCTGCCTCGCAGAGTTGCCCCCGCTTGGCCCCGCAGGCTGAGGCGCGGTGGGAGAGTCAACTTAGCCTCGGGCTGGGCTAGGGTGCCTGCACCGTTTTGCACGAAATTCCAAAAAAAAGTTGGGAGGGTGGAAAAAAGAGTCGGGAGGCCGCTCCTCGCCAAAGGGGCAACCCGGGCCCAGTCGTGCTCTTTCAGCCTCGACGCACTGCACTCACAGAAGACGCGAGACAGCGCGACCGCTTGCTCACCGACCGGCCTGTGGGTGTGGATCCGCTGCACCAGCCACACCCTACGGTCCACAAGGCGCTGAGACATCGAATGCTCGCCAACGCATCCACGCGCGGCATCACCGATCAACGCTATCAGCCTCTCGGAGACGCCGGTATAGAGTCACTCTCTGCCCTCACGGTCTTCATGTTTTCGTGCTCCGTTGCGTCGTGGGCGAGCGAGATTTTTTTCATCAAATTCCGCACTTCGCACCGACACCGACGGCGGGCGTGAGAAGCTGTTTATGCGAGTCAGAGAAAAGGAACAATAAAAACAAAGATCTGCGGATCCCTTCCGACAGCGCCGAGGGGCGCGCGGATAGCCGCGGACCGAGAGCTGAGCATGCAGGTCCACACACTAGCGATGGCAGCGACAACATCGATCGTCTGACTTGGTTCACGCACGCCCATCTCGCCGCTCGACCGGTTCGTCCGAGCCGCCGCTGGTGTGACTGAATGACTGGATGAGGATGCATTTTAGGCTCTCATCCCCCGGCGGCACTTGAAAACAGAGCTTTGCTTGCCCCCCCCCCCCCTTCTTGGACTCGCAGATCTCTCTTCCATGATCACCCTGGCTTGTCACACGAGCAATACCGGTGTGAAGCGAGTCGGGATGTCCGCCATGCATCTGCATGTGCACAGACGCTTCTTCGCTTGACCCTCAGCCGAGCCAGATCGCGGTAATCTTACTCTTTCGTTCGACTTGGAACGATCCGCACCTTCTCGCTTTCATCTCCCGAGCCCTTCCTGATGGTTCCCGATCGACCCTTCCGCCTCGTCGCCTCTCCCCGATGCCTTACACCACCCAAGCCGCTCTGACGCTCTGACGCTCGATGTTGATGATTGAGATGGTGGTGCAGGTTTAACCCCGCGCTGCCTGCTGTTGCGCGACCAATGAGATTCGAGCGGCTCGCAACGTGGAAGAGAGATGTCCAACCTGCATGGAAACATACCGGTACCTTCGATGATTGGTCGCCCATTTCGCAATTGCTTTCCCCCAACGCCTTCAACTTAGCCATGCCACCCGCTTCATCCGATCCCTCCGCCCGACATCCGCCAGCGGAATCCAAGGATCGACCATGCAAAGCTTTGTTTCAAATCTCTCCGAACGCATCAAACCGTGCAAGCTATACACATCACCACGGCTGAGCGAATGCCATACTGATACATTGTGGACAAGCCCTGTCTAGGGTGATCTAGGTGCCGGGACACTCGCTTGACCAATGCCCTTTTTTGCCGCATCGGAAGCAGCCGTCGTCCTTGCCGCCTCTACCGCCACTGCCGCCGCCTCGCGTCTTTCCACTCCCACGCCGCTTGGCACCTCCCCTCTTGGGTGCTGAGCCACGACCCGATGCGTTGGCTGTCGTGCGCTGCTCGTTCGTACAGTCCGATGCCCAGTGTCCGCTCTGTCCGCACCGATAACACGCTCCCGATGCACCTCCTCCACCACCTCCGCCCCCACCACCACTGCTGCTATTGACAGCTCGCGTGCTGGTGGTGGGGGATTCGTCGTCGTCCCACTCGAAGAACTTGCAGCGCAGCTTGATGCTCTCGCGGCCACAGGTCCAGAACGACCTGCCCTGGTTTGCGCCGCTCTTGCCGCTCGTGCGACGCACCGCCTGCAGATCGCAATCGCACCGTCGCACCGATCCAGACCCAGACCAAGACGAGGTCGAACGCATGTTGCTGGACCACTCGTCCGTGTCTGCAGGCACAGAGCGTTTCGCAGGAACCGTTCTTGGTGCCGACCCGTTGCTAAAGCCACTGCGTGTGTTGGCCGTGTCGGCCCACTCGAAAAAGTCGCACTTGCTAGGATCACCCATTGGCTTGGCACACGCGTAGAAGCGCCGGCCCTGGTTGGCTCCCGCCTTGTTCGTCGTGCGCTCCACCGCCGCTTCGCCGCACAGGCACGAGGGCGACCCACTGCCATCGCTGCCGGGACGCGCATCTTTGGAGCCTCCGTCATTGTCGGGCCCAGACCGGTCAAGTCGTGGCGCAGCTCGTCCGGCAGCCGCACCGCCACGTCCGCCCCGAGTGCTTCCACCGCGACTTGCAGCGCCACGTCCACGTCCGGCCCCTCGCGCCGCTCCCTGACCTCGTGCAGGCCCACCGCCGCCATCATCGCTGTCCCCATCACTGTCACTGTCACTGATCAAGTTGATCGCATCCACATCGTCGTCTTCATCGTGCTCTCCAATCTCGACCGCGCGCGCCTCCTGCCCGGCATTCGGATCGGTGAGGTAAGACAGTACCGTCTCTGCGATGCGGCCAAACTGGCGGTTGGTGAGCGCAAACACCTCGCGGTACTCGTTGACGCTCTCTGCGATCGTCTCTGCCTTGGTGCGCTCGCCGGCACAGATGAGCGACATGCGAAACTCGGTCTCGCGCCGCAGCACGGGCTTGCACAGCGACTTTTCGAGGTTCAGCTGGTTATACCCCTCGACGAGCCCAATACCGAGCGTCGAGGGCACCAGATAGCTCGTCTTGCCCTCTTTGACCGACATGACGTACTGGCGCTCGATCACCTTGGCGATGTGTTCGGCGATCGTCGCGTCGGTGCCGATGCCGTTCTTGTCCATGAGACTCACCAGGTCCGCCTCGGTGAGCAGCTTGGGAGGCGTCGTGGCGCCCTGCTTCATCTCGAGCCGCGTCGGCGTGAATGTCTCGCCGCGCACAAACGGAGGCAGCAGATTGCCCTCCCACTTGTCGTACGTGAACACCTCGAGGTAGTTGCGCTGCAGAATCACCAAACCAGACGCATGGAACTTTTCGCCCGCGACACTCACGTTGACCGTGGTCTGGGTGCCGATGGCGTCCGTCCAGCAACTGCCGAGGAAGCGCCGCGTGACGTAGTCGTAGACGCGCTTGTCGTCGCCCGTGAGATTGTTGGCGTGCGATGTGGGGTGGATGGGCGGATGCGCCTTGTCGTTGTTCCTGCCGTTGCGCGGGCGTTCGAATGCGCCGTCGAGCAGGCGCTGTGCAATGCCACCCCACGCGCCGTCGGCGGTCTGCTTGGCGATGAGCGCGTTAAAGTCGAACTCCTTGTCGTACTGGTCCGTCTCTGTGCGTGGATACGAGAGGAAGCCCTTTTGATACAGCGACTCGGCGATGTCGAGGATGCGTTTGGGCGTGAGGCGCAGCAGACGCGACCCCGACTTTTGCAGCTCGACCGTGGTGAGCGGATAGGGCTTCCACTTTCTGGTCTGCTTGCTGTTCACATTGTCGACCGTCGCCAGTGGGCTGGCGCGACAGAGGTCGCGAAGGATCTCTACGGCGAGCTTGTCGAAGAGATGGCCGCGATCCCAGTTGAACACCACCTTGCGAATCTGATCGGGCGGATCCTCGGGCGCGGGATCGCCGCCGGACATGCTGCGCGTCTTATGGAGCTGCAGCAGCCAGAAGAGTTCGGGCACAAACTCGATCACCTTGTTGTACCTGTCGACGACGAATCCAAGCGTGGGAAACTGGCAGGGTCCGTAGCTGATCACCTGGCGCGCCTCGTTGAGCGCGGGGATGTGGTTTTGGAGTGCGAGCGTCTGCATGCGGGTGAAGGCGGCACCGATGCGCAGGTCGAGCTGGATGCGCGACTCGACGGCGTCGGCGGCGCGCCAATCGAGCTCGACGGTGTTTTGGCAGGCGGCGTGGATCTGCGAGTCGATGATGGCCGAGAAGCGCGCACGCATGACGCGGATGTTGCGGCGCACCTTGCGCACCTCGGCGACGATCTCGCTGCCGATGTGCTCTCCCTCGCGATCGCAATCGGTCCAGATCATGAGTGCGTCCGCATTGCGCGCCTCGTTGCGCAGATTCAGGCCGATCGCCTTGGCATCGTCGCTGAGGTTGGTCATGATGGGCGCCGTAAAGAGGTCGGCGGGCGAGCACGAGTACCAGGCCTTGTACTCGGGTCCAAAGTCTGCATTGGTGAGATGGCCGCGCACCGAGGTGACGGTCATGTCGACCATGCCCTGGACGCCGGGCATGCGGTACTGAAAGTCATAGTTGCGGCAGAACTTGTCCTTGCCTGGACGGTTGGACGGATGGCCGCCGGCAAGAATTCCGGCGATACTCTTGGCGATCGACGGCTTCTCAGCCACACAGAGGATGCGCATTGTCTGGGCAGGCGGTGCCTCAGAACAGCAGCTTGTGCTCCCGAACGATCGACTGCCGATGTGTGAGCCAGAGACTGAACGGTGTGTCAGAGTCCTCAATCGAGCGGGTACAGGCCCAGAAAGTCGGACTGGGAAGGGACGAGTCGAGGGGTGGCGACACAGGAGGCGAGATATGCCAACGGATGCATGTCGTGTGATCCGCAGCTTGGCGGCCAGAGGCGTGCGTATGATGGCGGCACGTATGGTGTTGTTGGACGCTGGCAGCCTAGCCAAGCACCGCGAGCATGGCCATACTCCGAGTGTTTTTAATGATGTGAGCAGCGAGTGCTGAGCCGGTGGAACGAGATGGTGGGGCACAGACAAAGACTTGCGGAAAGGTGGTGCGGAGTGCGGGCGGTGTGGAACGGCGACCTTTGTTCGGAGGCCAATTAACACGAAAGCCTTTTGGGTGTGGCCACGGCTGAGTCGCGCTGTGCTGCTGCTGCCTCTCGAGGTGGCGGCTCGCGAGACGCGTCCGGCGAGACCAACACTTTTCGATGCATCGGCCGCTCCCGCTTCCATCTGAGAAGGAAGGGAGCCGATGCCGATCCGATTGCCTCAACTCTCGAAAGGCTCAGCAAGCCGTCGGCCCAGTCCGAGTGGGGCCGCTCAACTTCTGAGATCACAATGCGCAATCCTCACACCATCACACCGTCACACACGCCAAGACAGCATCTCGGACTGCTTCCGACCAGAGAGGAATGGTATAAATCGATCCAGCTTCCAAGCGACATTTCTAAGAGCAGCCACCTCCGCATCCACCGCGGCAGCCGGCACACGTCCACGCCTGCGCTCCGTTCTGCTTGAGCAGCAGCGTCACGATGCTCGCCGCACCCTCGCCCAGCACGAACCCGCTCGCTACGATAATAATGCCGATCCCCGCCAGCGCCGCAGGCGTCTTGGCCGCATCTACTCGGTGGCGGTTGCGGGCGTAGTACCAGTGCGCGATCAGCCCGCCCACCAGTCGCGCCAACGAAAAGTTGGGCGTGTTGAGCATGCCCACCGCAAACGCGATCCCGCTCGGCACCAGTTTGGCGATCTTGCCTGCCGTGCTGTTCCCCACCGTGCCTTGGTCGTGCAGCGCCTTGGTCCGCGCCAGCGTCTTGATCAGGCCCGACACGGCAAAGACGGCGCCAAACACGATCATGAACAGCTTCACCTTGTCCGGAAGGTGGCCTCGATTCACCAGCCTCGCCAGGTTGAGCCACACCGCTGCCGTCGGTGCCGGGAACTGCGGTCCAGGGATCTCGTAGGCGTCCGTATAGAGCTTGTACGCAAAGCTGCTGATCACGATGCCTAGCGTGCTGCCAATTAGCTGTCCCTTGAATTGCGAACGCGGCGAGGCGCCCACAAGATGGCCCGTCTTGTAGTCCTGCATCAGATCCCCCGCCTGCATCGCTCCGGCTTCCGAGATGCCGCCCGCGATCAGGTTGGCCACCACGTTGCCCGGCTGCACCAGCGCAAAGATGAGCTGCGAGATCTTGCCGATCCCAGACACCGGATTCAGGTCCGTCTCGCCCAGCGCCCGGATTCCCAAGATGGCGAACAGCGACGCCATGGCGATGCCTAACAATGTCGCCCACGGCGAGATGCCCTCAGCACCAAAGGCGACGTAGATCAACACAACGGCGACCACCGTCGATCCAACCAGCCCAACGACCACCCACGACGTCGGCGTCTGCCGGTGCGCAGGCTCGTGGTCCACGTCCACGTCCTCGTCTCCTTGGTCGCGGCCACCCGCACGATCGTACTTCCTTGCTGTCCAGCTCTTGAGATCGCGCAGGCCATTGCTCGCGACTAATGCCGCCAGCCCTACGATGCTCTCCGAGCACATGATCGCCAGGCTGATCCACAGGATCCAGCCCTTACTGCCCGTCTCGGAATCCAGCGGGTGGCCCGGTGCCCAGCCCTGGTAGTACGCCAACGGACTCAGCACGGCCCAGCCCACCAATGCGCCCGCCGTCATGCTCACCGTTGTCGGCAGGCCCATGATGATGCCTTGCCCGATGTAGTTGAGCGAGGGTGTGAACCAGAACCCCCACATGGCAGCCAGGTTGTGCGGCGGCAAAAAGTCGAACAGCGGCATGGCGTACAGCACCGGGATGTAGTACGAGAGCACGGTGAAGCCGGCCGATCCCGAAAAGGCCCAGGCGAGCGCCTTCCATCCCTTGGACCCGGAGATCGCATCGACACCAGCATTGTCTCTGTCGCTTGCTTCAGCTTCGTTTTGATCCCGGTCCGAGCTTGCTGGGCGATGCTGCGAGCTCAGCAGAGCGGTGCGCTCGTCATCTTCTTCTCCCGCTTCGGCTTCGTCCAGGGCATGACTACGGCGTCGGAAGCCTCTGGCCGTGCTTGCGCGCTGCGTGAGCAGAGGCTTGTTGTGGAGCACACCGATGAGCTGCGCCGTAGCCGTGCCCGAGGGGAAGGTGAGCTTCTCGCGCACGATCATGGGTTCGCGCAGCGGCGATGCGAAGAAGACGCCAAAGTACGCCAGCGCAAAGCACCATCCAAGCAGCTGCAGAAAGTCGAGGTCGATGGGTCCACTGCCGTCCTTGTCCCAGGTGAGCTTCTTGAGTGCCGGGATGACGCCCACCAGTCCCGCCGAGAGCGGCATCACGCCCACCGCTGCCGCCGTCGTCTGCACCAGCACATTCTCCTGCGGCGTGAACGGGCTCGACATCAGCACGAAGCGGCGTCCGACCAGGTTGATCTGCCGCGGAATCACGCGGAACAGCGCAAAGCCCAGCAGCGAGCTTTGCAGCGACATGATGCTGATCCAGCCGGACTGCAGGCCCAGATAGAGATTGGTGAAGGCGAGCAGGCAGCCGATTAACAGCCCTGCGAGCACCGCGCGCAGGGTGAAGTCGTCATCTTGCGCATGATGGGATTCTGAGGTGTCGCCGTCCTCGCGCGAGGATGTCGACGCCGCTGGATCCATTGCTGTTGTGTGCACCGTCCTTGTAGGATCCGATGGCGTCGTATCGGGTGCCGCTAGCCGAAAGTTGCCGAGGGTCCCGGCGACTGTGACTTCCAGTGCCGTCTCTAGCACAGTGTTGTAAGGGTCAAGGTGGATAGAGAGGAGACGAACGCTGCACCGATGATGTTGCCCACGATCCGGTTGAGTGCAGCTCTCGATGTCGGCATCCAAGGCTTCAGGGTCACGTCACACGGCCGCCCGGGCACGGCTGTGTATCCAGCCAAGCGGCAATCCAACGCAGGGCTAAAAAAAAAAAGCCCCCCTCCACAATGTTACATCGGGCCAAGCTGCCTGTTTGCCCAAAAAAAAAAGGTCGCGACGGGTCGGCTGGTCGGGAAGGGCTCAGCGTTCCGAAAAGCCGAAAGCTCACTTCGGCGCGGCCGTCTGCATGTGGGGAAGAGGACTTGCCCCAAGCGTCCTTCTCCCGACGCTATCTCTCACCACCGCCACATCATCCACCGCTCCTTTCCGCAACGCACGCCATCCACACGATCATGGACGCAGCGAACGGCATGCTCACTCCCGAGCAGGTGGCTCAATTCCACCGCGATGGCTACCTGCTCCTCCCTTCGTTCTTCGACCCAACGCCGCTGCTCGCGCACAGCAAGCACCTCGTCTCGTCGTTCTCGCTCTCCGGCCATCCGCTCACCAAGTTCACCACGTCCGNAAAAAAAAGCCCCCCTCCACAATGTTACATCGGGCCAAGCTGCCTGTTTGCCCAAAAAAAAAGGTCGCGACGGGTCGGCTGGTCGGGAAGGGCTCAGCGTTCCGAAAAGCCGAAAGCTCACTTCGGCGCGGCCGTCTGCATGTGGGGAAGAGGACTTGCCCCAAGCGTCCTTCTCCCGACGCTATCTCTCACCACCGCCACATCATCCACCGCTCCTTTCCGCAACGCACGCCATCCACACGATCATGGACGCAGCGAACGGCATGCTCACTCCCGAGCAGGTGGCTCAATTCCACCGCGATGGCTACCTGCTCCTCCCTTCGTTCTTCGACCCAACGCCGCTGCTCGCGCACAGCAAGCACCTCGTCTCGTCGTTCTCGCTCTCCGGCCATCCGCTCACCAAGTTCACCACGTCCGACGAGGCGCGTGGCGAAGAGGCGCACGTGGGCGACCGCTACTTCCTCGACTCGGGCGACAAGGTGCACTACTTTTTCGAGGAGGGCGCGCTGGATGCGGCGGGCGAGCTGACGGTGCCCAAGGAGCGCGCGATCAACAAGTGCGGGCACGGCCTGCACATGCTCGATCCCGTATTTGCGCGGTTCTCGTTCAGCCCGGAGCTGCAGAACGTCGCGCGCAGCCTGGGTGTGCATGCGCAGCCCAAGGTGCTGCAGAGCATGATCATCTGCAAGCAACCCAGCATCGGCGGCGCGGTGCCGAGCCACAACGACTCGACGTTCCTCTACACCGATCCGCCCTCGGCCATCGGGTTCTGGTTCGCACTCGAAGACTGCACGCCCGAAAACGGGTGTCTCTCCTTCCTCCCCGGCTCGCATCGATGGCCCAAGGACCAGCAACCTCCGAGCGCCGAGAAGCCGAACGTTCGACCTGCGGATGCGCACAATGAGCTCGGCGTCGCTCGCGGCGTTAATAAGCGGTTCGTGCGCAAGGATCCGCACAACCCCGACGCGGGCACCACATTCTCCCAGCTCGCTGACGACGAAGAGACGACGTGGAGCGATGCGGACGCGCGCGTGGCCGAGTGCGAGGCGGGCACGCTCGTGCTCATCCACGGCTCAGTGCTGCACAAGAGCGAGAGGAACACGAGCGCCAAGAGCCGATTCATCTACACCTTCCACATGATCGAGGGCGACGAGAGCCGCGCCGTGTACGACGAGCGCAACTGGCTGCAGCCTACGCCCGAGCATCCGTTCACCAGCCTCTTTGATCCCCCAGCCCTACCCTAGCGCGCACGCGGTGAAGCCGAGAAACAAAAAAAAAAAGCAAAGGTTGCGATGTACAAGATTGCGATAAAGATATGTGCGGAGAGAATGCAACGAGACGAGGGAAGAGTACAAGAGAGCGAAGGTGAGGTGTAGGGGAGGGGGGATTTTATTTGGTGGTAGGGACGCCTGCAGCGAGGAGGCCGTTCCAACCGGTTGCGACGGAGTAGGCCTTGATGCCAGCATGTCGGAGGGCCGAGACGGTGAGTTTGGCGGTATCGCCTTTGTAGTCGATGACGAGCACTTCGCGGTCGCTCTTGCGCAGACAGGCCATCATCTCGGCGAGATCCAAGCTGTTGAGTTCTGCGACTCCGTTCCCTGGGCACTGGTGGGGAACGCTGGGCAAGTCGACGAAACGGTTATGGATCTCGGTAGCCTGCGTGGCGAGCAGCACCGCATCTGCGTACGGCGAGACATCGTCCTCCCTAAGGGATGATAGCGGGACGCTCCTTGCGTGCGCGAGATGTGCCTGCTCAAAGTCGGTCCTTGCTCGGAGGTCTAGGATGGCCGGTCGTAGAAGTCCCGGTGAAGCGGGTGCAGACGCATCGGATCCTTCCTCGGACGGGTCCGATGCGAGTTCCGAAGCGTCCATCAGAGGCGCAGAGTTCGTGGCGAATCGCGGGTAGACGAGCATGGTCTGAGCCGAAGCCGCATCCAGGATCCAGCTGGTGGAGTAGGCGTACTGGTCCACACTGAACAGATGCTCGTTGACAATGGGCGGGAAGAGCGCCGCATCGCACTTGGAGAAGTACTCGTCCACGTACTGGAACGGCAGATCACAGCACAGGAACACCGCCTTGACCGGCTCGCCGTCGTTCTGCTGACGGAGGTCCTGCAGCGTTCCAGCTCGTTTACGACGTTCGAGCACCTGGAACAGTCCCTGCAGTGAAAAGCCCGAGCTGGGTCCACACACGATGCCGTATCGACAAAGCTGCATGCTGAGCGTATAACTCTCCCTGCTCGCGACATCTTCAACATCGTCCACGAGGGCCTTCCATGGAAAGTCGACCGGCTCCAGCAGCTCCCTTGGCCTCGGACCGGGCACCTTATCGCCGCGCGCAACGCACACGCCCACAACGTGACACTTTGGCTGACTCTGCTTGAGCCTCTTTGCCGTCCCCGTAATCGTACCTCCCGTCCCCATACCTCCAGCAAAAACGTTGATGTCCGGCATCTGTTCGAGGAGCTGTTTCCCCGTCCAGCGCTCGTGGGCTGCGGGGTTGGCTGGGTTTTCGTACTGGTTCGGATTGTACGCGCCGGGTTGGCTGCCTTGTGCGGCAGCCTTGGCGATGCCACCCATAGGATCCTGTGGTGGCGACTGCGACGGTCCCCCGAACAGCGCAAGCTCGAGTCCAAAGAACCGCATCAGCGACGACTTTGTCGGCGACACCTTGTTCGACATCCACGCGCGCACCTTCTTGACGCCGTGCTGACGTGCGATCATCGACATGGACGTCACCGTCGAGCCGGACGACGACTCGGTCACCGTATGGATCGTCTGCGCCGCACGCTCTTCCGGCGTCGAGTCGAGCGAGATCACCCCACCAGACTCGAGTAGCGACAGAGCTGTACCAAGCAAAAGAGAGCGAGAGCGAGAGTGGTCAGGATCGTTGCACAACTTGACGGCCGGTGGGGCGAGTTAAATAATGTTACGTCGGGAATTTCCAACATAGCGCAGGTAATTTTGGCGAGTGAGGAGGAGTTGGGCCGAGGCAAAGTGGGAAAATGGCGTGATCGGACTGGTCGCATCGCGCAAAGTCGAGCCAAGGCGAAAAAAGTTTGCGTCCAGCGTCTCTGGAGCCCGCTTGAGCTGAGCGACAGAGCGTCTGGCACCCCTTGGAGCCCGCTCAAGCCCCCTCTTCGCCCCGGCTCGGGACTCTTGCGTCTTACACCGCCGCCTCGCACGCCACCCAATAGCAGCTGCATCGCAATCGCAATCGCAACACCCCTCCTCAACTTGACCGACGCCATCGAAGAATAAGATGCCCATTCTTGCTATCTTATCTCTCGCATGCCGTGCACGCTGAGATCCGTGCGTTGGACGCCTATCTTATCTAGGGTTCTTTGAGAAGATCCGCAAAGATATAAGCCGAGACCTTCCCGGCTCGCCCAACTTGTCTCCACGAGCCCCTGCACTTCCTCCCCAATTGGCGACGTACGAGAAGCCCCCCTCTAGGTGGGACTATGTTGGGGGGAACTTACCTGGTAGACTCTTTACATTCGTCGCGGGGAGGGCGGTGAGCATCTTGGCATAGATGCGTACGCCATCGCCATGGAACGGATTGAGCTGGGGCGGCAGTTCCACCAGCGGCAACGGCGCGTTCTTGTCCGGGTTAAAGTAGTCGACCAAAGAGTTGGGGCCTGCAAACACGTTGCGTGCGGATGGATCGTAAGTCGTCGGCATTGTCAAGTACTGAAGATATGATGGGATGACGAAAGGGTGGCAGAAAGTGATGGGCGGTGAAGACGAGATGGGCGCATGTTAACTTCTTTCTCGTCGCAGTGTTTGACTCGCTCGCACGGACGGTTTGATGAGTCTGCCAGTGCAAAGGCGCGGCAGAGGGGGCGGAAAGGGTAGCCCCTCGATGGGCGGTGGTGCCCTCCGATCCATACCGGAGCTCTGCATCCGTCAGGAACGACTTTCAACGTGCAGAGGTGGGATTCCGGGCAGCTCGGCGCGCGACGGCAAGTTCGATCGGCGCGCGCAGAACCCTGAAATTTCCCGCGAGCCACATGCACGTGAAGCAGCCAACACCGGGCGTCGAATCGGGAAGCCTCGATTCCCGACACGCGCGTCATCCCGATGCCGACACCGCCGACACCGCCAACACCGCCAAATGTGCAGCGGGCACTCAGCATGCAAAGTTGCTCGGCCTGCACACTCGGCACTCCCATACGCAACATGAAACAATGCATTATCCACGGCCTTTCGAAACCTAATAGCCACGACGTATTCGGAGCAGCAATGACTACATGGACATGCTCCTGATCCTGCTTCCCATCTCGGTCGGTTCTCTGCTCCGGCCCCTCTGCATACCTGCGGCCTTTTCGGCGGCAATGACGTTGCGTTCGTCGGCCAGCTGCTCGCGTGGGTCGAATGCCTTGGGGCTCTTGAAGGTATACCCGACAAACGCGAGCTGCTTGCGCATCTCGAGCAGCTTGGGACCCTGTTCCCTATCCCTAAGCATTGGATCCCTTGGCTGGTCGGCATTCGGATTATCCGCCGCACCAGGTGCCGGGAGGGGTGCGTCCTCAATATCGTCTTCAAAGTGCTTGGTGTCACCGGCATGGCTGAGGGCAGGTCGGAAGGGTGGACGCATGCGGTGCAGATTATCCCAATCAATCCCACGGAACCACGGATGCGCCATCAGATCCTCCACACCATCCTGAAGTCCACTCCCACTACTCGCCGTCCCATTGTTGGTAAAGCCAGACCTGCGCGCGCTTTGCAGGTAGCTGTTGGGTCGACTTACTGACGCAGAAGCTGTGCTGCCGAGCCGATCTTCGCGCTCGCATACGAGACGCGCGATAAAGTCCTGTCCCTCGCGCGAGATGCGCGGCTTGGGTGGGAAGCGCAACGTCTGCTTCCAGTTGAGGATCTTCTGCCGCGTCAGGTGGCGCGACTTGGACACAAACGGCGGATAGCCATAGAGCATCTCGAACACGATCACGCCCAACGACCACCAATCGCACGCTTGATCGTACCCCAGCCCGCGAAGCACCTCGGGCGCCATGTAGTTGTTGGTACCCACCACGCTGTAGGCGATCTTCTTCTTGTTCTTCTCGCGCCACGTGAGCACGTGCGTCATGGGCGTGCCGTCCGCATTGCGATCCGACATGATCTCCACCAGCTCCTTGTCGCTCAACCCCGCGCCTGCCTGACCAGGCCCTCCTCCACCTCGACCTGTCGCCTGAGCTCGACGACGCATGCCAGCACCCGCATGCGAGTCGTCGAGGTCAATACCGTGCTTCTTGAGCAAGTTCTTGCGCTGCTGGTCGTAGTACGCCCCATCGTGCGCCCAGTGGAACGACTGGCACAGTCCAAAGTCCGCCAGCTTGATGTGGCCATCGGAGGTGTAGAGGAAGTTGTCCGGCTTGATGTCGCGATGAATGTAGCCAAACGAATGCGCCTCGTGGATGGCAAGGATCATCTCGGCGACGTAGAAGCGCGCAAAGTCCTCCTCAAAAATGTCCTTCTCAATGAGCAGGTTGAGCAAATCACCGCCGCCCATGAACTCCATGATGAGGTACAGATGGTCGACGTCCTGGAACGAGTAGACGAGCTTGACGATCCACTTGGCGGAGGCGCTTGCGCTTGCCGAAGTCATGAGGTCGCGCTCGGCACGCACATGGCCCTCCTGACCCTTGCGCAGCATGTCGGCCTTGCGCAGCTGCTTCATGGCGTACAGCTGGCCCGACTGGCGCTCCTTGCACAGCGCCACCACGCCAAACGCGCCGTGCCCGATCGTCTTGAGCTTGAGGAACGAGTTGACGTTGACGCGCGCACGCAGGTCGCGCAGGTAGCGCGTCTCGTTGGCCATCCACGCCTCGCGGATCTGCGCCTTGCTCGTCTCGGGGATGCGCAGCGCCGCCAGCTCCGCCTCGAGCCCCGCGCGGCGCGTGTCGCGCGCCTTGGGCTTCTTCAGGATGCCGTAGTACAGATTCTCAAAGTAGATCTTGGCCGCCACGCTCTTTTCGACCGTCTCGAGCGAGGGGCGCACCGCAGCGCCGATGGGCTGCGTAAAGTCGGCGAGCGCACTCATGCCCGCGGTGTCGATGGACCGCAGGCTGTCGAGAATGACCATCGAGTTGGGACGCTCCGCGTTGGCGGTGGTCGGCTGGAGTGCGGGCGGCGTCTCGAACATGGCGTTGATGGCGTGGGGCGCACCGGCGGGCAGACCGTCGATGTTGCGGCTGTTGCGGTTCGATGCGCCGGGCGTGGCTCCGTGCGGCGAGGGAGGACGGTACTGCATGTAGTCGGGGGTAGGCGCGTTGCCATCGCGTGCGACGGGCGGCGAAGGGTTGACGAGCAGCGTGCCTGCGGTGTTGGTGCGGAGGGTGGGCGGCTTGAAGACGGGCTGCGAAGGCGGTTTGCCCAGCTGGAGCTGCGCATGGATGGCTGCCTCGAGCTCGGTGTCGGTGGACGTAAGCGGTTCCTCGGCGATGCCGGCGAAGGGCTTGTTGTCGCGCGTGGGGGAGAGCGCGGGGGGCGCGGCCAGAGGAGCGCGGATGGTGGTGTTGGAGAGGGTGCTGTGGCCAGCGGTGGCGGTGGTGGTGGTGAGCATGGAGATCTGGCTGGGCGCGCCGTTGACAATGTGGAGCTGACGCGGGTTGTCGTGGATGAGGCTGTCCTGGTGCATGGCGGCCTGGACCTGGGCGATGGCCTCGGCCTGGTTCCTGGCAGCCTGGAGACGGAGCGCCTCCTTGATGGGCTCTACCCAGGAGGGATCGGCGACCTTGCCGACGCCGTCTCTGGACCAGCGGTTGAGGATGACCTCTGCCTGCTCTGCATCGCTCGCATGGGCGGCGTGGACGAAAGTCTGTGTCTGGGGCGAGCCGACCATGTCGATGCTGATGCGCTTCTTCTGTGCGCGCGGACCCATGACGGCGGGGGTGAAGAAGTTGAGGGCAGCGCTGACCGCCGAGGCGTTGGCGGTGTGGGTGGAAGGCGAGGCGAAGGAAGGGCGAGGGTAAGCACCGGGCACGGCGGCGGTGGAGCCATCCTTGACGGGAGAGCTGGGAGTGCGCGGCGAAGCATTGCCGGTGAGGGGATAGGCGGCTTGGGCACCGTACTCGGGGCCGGCGTGGAAGCTGTCGTTGTTGTTCTTGCGCAGAGCGCCCGAGGCCTTGCTGAGGGTGGCGCGGAACTTGCCGGGCGACGAGGGCCGCTGTGCGTTGTTGGGTGGAGCGAGGCGGTTGGGAGAGGGGCCTTGGTTGTTGACGAGCGACATGATGTCCCAGAAGCCCTTGTGCATGAATGCGCTTCCCTTGACGGTGGAGCGGGGTAGCTCGTCCGAGTCGCGGTAGTTTGGATTGGCAGCGAAGCGGGAGGGCGCGCTGTTGAGGTGGGGGTTTGCATACTTTGCCGAGGGCGAGGGAGGCGGGCGTGACGACTGCGAGGGGGCAGGATGGGCGTGTCTCTGAGGCGACTGGAGTTGCTGGTAGTGCATAGGCTGCTGCTGCTGGGTATACTGGAGATGCGGAGGCGGCATCTGGGTGGCATAGGCAGGCGAAGCACGCTGCTGTTGCTGCGGCTGCTGCTGGTGCACCGGGTATTGGTGTGTGTAGGCGTGCTGTGCGTACGCCGAGGGGCTTACGGGCGGTTGAGCGCGGGGTTGAGCCGGGTATTGCTGGTTGTAGTGCAAGGTGGGCGCGAGGGGCTGAGGAGCGTGTTGATGGATGTAGGACGGACGCATGCGTTCCTCGTGCTCGTACCAGGCAGCCTCCTTTGTCGACGTTGCGGCGAAGCCAGGTTGGTTTGGGTAGGACGTTGCGCCTGGATTGCCTGCGCTTCCACCCGAGGACGAGGAGGCGGAGGGCATGGGTCTTGCGCCCTGGGGACGTGCGATGGCAGCGGCCATGGTGAGCGAGCTTGACGAGGATGGAGCTTGATGCGATGCGAGCAAGGACTCGGAGGGATGGTGGAAGTTGGCTGTCAAGGGTTGTTTCTGTTGGGGATGGTGGAGAGGGAGAGGCAGAGGTGCTGGTCAAGGCGGGCCAAAGGGAGGAGCAGCAGCTGCAGCCAAAATAGGAGGCCGCCGCGCGCGTGTTTCCTCCTGACTTCAAATCGAGGAAATAGAAATTCAACCCCTGCTGGCCGGACCCTTTCGCCCCTTTTTGACACCCAACAGTTGCCTCTTGCCTGTTTGGGATGTGGAGCTGAGACCAACACTTTGGCGGCATATGCATCTCCACGCGTCTTCTACACCGGCCTTACTCGCTGCCACTTCCTACATTGTGCAAGACGACGACAGCATCGACACAGCTCAGCTGAGCTGGCTATCCAGTGGATACTATCGTACGCCTCTCTGGGCTGTCACTTTCTAATTTCATGCACAAAAGAGTCACAGCGAGTTGATGCGCGATGAGCCAAGTGGGGGTGCTGCTCAGATGCACGTCGCACAGCTCGGCCCCTGTCTTGGCTCAGGTGAAGCGGAGTTGCAATCGAGCCGATTTTTCAATCAATGTTACGCCGTCGGTTTCCAGCACAACTCTGAGGAAGTTAGGTCTAACAATGTGAAAATGGGCTTTTCGGCGCTCTCGGCGGTTTGCGCGGATTCGCATCGGGCTTCGCTTGCCCACCACACCTGGCGACGAGCTGCCGAGGCTCGCTAGGAGGCTTCTCGGTGCGGTTGTCCATCATTCCGAGGCGTGTGGTGCAACAGTGCGATCCGTGCCCATGCCTGCCCAGCAATCGGAAGAACGAGAGGCTGCATATTGTCCATTGTCTGTCCTTCACCATGCGGTCGCTCGCAATCGATCGGCCAAACCTGCTTGATCAAAGCCAAGGGGCCCCAGACGGAGGTGCCCCGGACGAAGCTTTGTCAAAAACAATCTCCCCGAGATCTCTCCGGTACTCTCGTCTAAGCTCAAAGGGTTCCGCCGAGCACCGCAACTCGTCCGACGACGGCCTCACGTGTAACCACAACTTGCTGTCCGTCGCCTCGTGTCCTACAAATATTCACAACTTCGGTCAAAGCTGGATCGAGCTCTTGCTTAGCATGTCTGTTGACTGGCTCAATCGACGTCCGGGTGTACCGCAATGGACAGCGCTGGACGGAGCAATGACAAACGGAGCGCAAGACACCGGCATGGCTACAGCCGGATGCCACTCGTGCCGAACGGATTTCGCATCCCGCTGCCTTGTGACACCGCGGAGAATTTCGACGGATTGAATCGCCGCACCGCTGGTTGCCATGACGCTCGAGTGCAGTTGTGCTGCTTTTTTCGGCTGCCAAGTGCGGCGACAAAGTCGACACTCCGCTCTGCAGATCTGCGGCTCACTGTTCCCTTGCTCACTGTGCTCCACCTCGCCCTCGCTCGTTCGCGCCTCGGTGCGTCTCGCCAAGCGACAGCCTCGCCTCATCTCGCATCGCATCGCATCGCCGTGCTCTGCCCGGCGGAGACTGTCCCACTCATCTCTGCGATCCGCCGCTTTGTTAGCCGCCCAGTCCCTCCGGGCGCTGCATCTTGTCGCCGTGGGGGAAAAAGATTCGTCAAGCTCCCAAAGAGAGAAAAAAAAGTCTCGCCGAGCAAGCCGGCACAGATGCCGTCCTGTCAACATCCGCCACTGCCGCACTCCACAGCTCCGCAGCGGGGTTTTGGAGCCCCGCTACACGCCCTCCTTCTCTCCGCACTGCAGTCGTGCCGCCAAACAGTGCACAGCGGGCGTTGTGGAGCCCCCTCCCCCCTCTGCCATCCTAGAGCCATATATAGAAGCATGCCTCTGAGCCGGTTGCACGCTGCCATCCCATCCCCATCCTCAAGATTTCCCCCCCTTCCCCCTCCTTATTTGATCTGATCAAGATGCGGTCCATCAAGGCGGCTTCGCTGACGCCTCTGCTGGCCGGCTTGCTCGCCACGCTCTCCTCCACCGCCGCGCTGCCCTCGTCCGTCTGGGAGCACCAGCTCGAGACCAACATCCTCCAGGCGCGCGCCGACTCCAACACCTCCACCATCGCGCCCTCGTTCGACGTCTCCAAGTGTCCCGGCTACCAGATCGTGGGCGAGCCCAACCAGTCGCAGCACGGCTTCACCGCCCAGCTCGCACTGGCTGGCGAGGCGTGCAATGCGTACGGCGTCGACATTGCCAACCTCACGCTCTCGGTCGTGTATGAGAAGAAGCACCAGCTCCACGTGCACGTCTACGACTCGGACAAGCAGCAGTACCAGCTGCCCAACGGCCTCATCTTTGACCGTCCCAGCGACAGCCCCGACGAGGTCCAGGACGCTTCCACGGCCGACGACAGCGATCTCGTCTTCCACCACACCGCCGAGAATGGCACCCAGGCTGAGGGCTCCGCATGGGCCTTTTGGATCGCACGCAAGGACTCGGGCGACGTCATCTTTGACACGCGTCCCGCCAACATCCCCACCTACGACTCGGGCATCAACAACGTCTCTGCCGACACCAAGCGCAACTCGACGGCCATGCCCAAGCACGAGATGGTGTTTGAGAACCAGTACCTCCAGCTCTCCTCGGCACTGCCCGAAGGCGCCAACATTTATGGACTCGGCGAGTATGTGACCGGCAGCTTCAGGCGAGACCCGGACGAGACGCTCCAGCCCTTCTTTACCCTCGATGCCGGCACGCCCGTCGACTCGAACATGTACGGCTACCACCCCATCTACACCGAGGCGCGTCGCGGCAGCGACGGCAAGCTGCGCACGCACTCGGTGTACCTCCAGAACACGGCGGGCATGGACGTGCTCCTTCGCAAGGGCGTCATCCAGTACCGCACCATTGGCGGCACGCTCGACTTCCGCTTCTTCTCGGGCGACTCCACCGAGGGCAACAACAGCCCGAATACCGCCATCCAGCAGTACGTCAACTTTATCGGCAACCCGGTCATGCATCCGTACTGGTCGTACGGCTTCCACCTGTGCCGATGGGGATACAACAACGTCTCGGACACGCAGAAGATCGTCGACGCGATGCGCGAGGCCGACATCCCGCTCGAGGTGCAGTGGAATGACATCGACTACATGCAGAACTTCAGGGACTTTACCACTGATCCCGAGCGCTTCCCCAAGGACGAGTTCGCGGCGATGATCAAGGGGCTGCGCGATAACCACCAGCACTACATCCCCATCATCGACATGGCCATCCCCAAGGCACCCACCAACGACTCGGACACCTTCTACCCGGGCACGCGCGGCGACGAGCTCGACGTGTTTATCAAGAACCGCAACGGCACCGAGTACATCGGCGAGGTCTGGCCGGGCTACACGAGCTTTGTCGACCAGCAGGCGCAGAATGCGGGCCAGTGGTGGACCGAGGCCGTCCGCAACTTTAGCGAGATCGTCGACTTTTCGGGCATCTGGCTCGACATGAACGAGCCCTCGAGCTTTGTGATTGGCAACGCGGCGGGTGCGGAGACGAACCTGTCCGACACGCCCGCCTACACGGCCGCCACCAGCGTCGCGGGATGGCCGCAGGGCTACAACAACCTCACCTGGGGCAACTCGGGCAACATCACCGTCAACGGCACGTACACCTTCCAGCGGGGAGCCGTGCAGAATAATGATGCGATGCAGCGTCGTGCCGCCGTCGTTGTGTCGCGCGAGCACGATGTGCTCATCAAGCGCGCCGAGGGCGGCGACAAGTTTGGGCCGAACGATCCGGATTACCAGTATGCGAATGCGTCGCAGAGGTACCTTTCGAATCCGCCGTATGCGATCCACAACGGCATCCACATCAGCGAGACGCCGCTCAACGTCAACCTGGACAAGAAGACCGTCGCCATGGATGCGGTGGGCGTCGATGGCCAGCGCGCCTTCTACGACGTACACAACCTCGACGGCACACTCGAGGAACAGCACTTCTACAACGCACTCCGCCAGATCCGTCCCGACGAACGACCGTTCCTCATCTCGCGCTCCACCTACCCCGGTGCGGGCAAGTTCACGGGCCACTGGCTCGGCGACAACTACGCGCTCTGGACCATCCTCCCCGGTGAGGAGGCGTACAAGGCGGGCGCGGGTATGGCACAGAGCATCGACGGTGTGCTGCAGTTCCAGATCTTTGGCATCCATCTCATCGGCGCGGATATTTGCGGCTTTAACCGCAACTCGGACGAGGAGCTTTGCAATCGCTGGATGATGTTGGGTGCGTTCCTGCCTTTCATGCGCAACCACAACACGATTGGTGCGATTGCACAGGAGCCGTTTCGATGGGACTCGGTCGCCAATGCATCGCGCATCGCCATTGGCAAGAGGTACGAGATCCTGCCCTCGCTCTACTCGCACATGGGCAAGGCATCGGCTTCGGGTGAACCAGCAGTCCGTGCACTCTGGTACGAGTTCCCCGAGGTGTTTGAACAGACCAAGGACTATGCACACCAATTCCTGTTTGGCGATGATCTTCTCGTCAGTCCCACACTCGAGCCGAACGTGACCGAGATCAAGGCACTCTTCCCCAACGCCGGTGGAAAGTGGCGCAACATCTTTACGTACCAAGCGCTCGATGTCGAGTACAACAAGAACGTCTCCGTTCCCGCACCTCTTTCGACCATCAATGTGCATCTGCGCCCCGGAAGTGCATTGCTCACCCACTCCAACCCGGCATACACGGTCTACGAGACCGCCCAGTCGCCCTATGGTCTTATCGTTAACCTCGACGACAACGCCACCGCCAACCAGACCTTCTATCTTGACGACGGCACTTCTCCCGCCCCGACTCCCAACTCGACGCTGTCCGTGCAGGCGAGCGAGGGCATGGTCAAGGGTAGCATCGATGGAGACTTCAAGGTGTCGCAGCCCCTGTCGTACGTCGTGGTGCTGGACGTCAAGAGTAAGCCCAACCAGGTCCAGGTGGGTGGAAGCGATGCGCAGTTCACCTACAACGACGCCATTGGCGCGCTCAACATCACCATGGCCAGTGCCGACCTGAATGGCGAGTGGAGCGTCAACTGGTCCTAAACACACGCAACCAAAAGGAATAGAATCACCTTTTCGCCCCCGCGCTCTGGCGTCGTATCCGTGTGTGAAAGGCTGCCGCGTAAGACAGTAAATGCGGCTACGGTTCGTATCCCTCCAGCCGAGAAGGTGGTCATTCAATCCCCTTGCCGCATTTCGTACGTGCAAGAAAGATTGGCGCTTCAACCGAGGCTATCACGGGCCTGTATCACACAGTAGGCGTTTACCGATGAGAAGGAGAACGAGATGTGCCAGAATGTGCGCATTCGCCCACAGCACGTGTAAGATGAGGAAGCTGCTTCGAAGCGCTTCGACTATTCATCGCCCATGTTTCTGGAGATACAGCGAGTGTCCACCGCAGCCCCAGGGCGATGAGAGTGCAAGCTGGTCAAAAGTGGCTGTGGTGAGCATGATTGGTTGAGGTAGGTTTGATTCTGAATGCCAACGGCCTTGGCTGTTGGTAAGGATCTGCGGCATTGCGGTTCGGCTTGATGTCGGGGAGGATTCAGACCGGACCAAGCTTTCCGCACCCGTTGTCTTGGAGCGAGCTACCAGCCGAGAACAGGACTCAAGCGCAGCGCAACGATGAGAGCGAGTGCAGACAAGGGCATGTTCCGGCAAAGCGCAACTCACCAACACACCTGCTAGGATCAGAGTGGGTGCTAAACGAGCATGAGTTTGTACCACATGGTTGCTGCCCTCGATGCAGAGCCGGTCTGTGTGAGTGCATGCGTGCGGCTTCATCAAACCCACCGGCTCGAATGGGTCGATCGACGTGGGCTGCGTCCGCCACTACAATCCATCGCCCGCGATTCTCCACACTCGATCGTCTTGCGGGCCAGACCAAAACGAGCATTGCTGCACATTTCACACGAACATGATCATGCGCCAGCGAATCGAGTGGTCGCAGCACAGATGAACAGTGCCAAGTTCGACAAGCGGCTGTGACGACAATCTTCCTTGGACTTCTGCAGCTTGATCCTTGGCGGCTCCACAACCCCACCTGGACCTGAGATGGAAGCAAACAAGCACGCGTGCATCAACTCCCGAAGAAGAAAGGCAGAGGTGGCACTCGCCCCCGCCTCGGAATTGACTCCTTCTCCCCATCCGGGAAAATTTGACCCACCTCCTGCTTCCCAAGATCGAAAGCACATCGTCGCTACGGCTAACATCGACGAGTAGATGTAAAGAAGAAGAGAATCATCTTGACTCCCCGCACTCCCAAACCCAAGCACACACCATAGAAAAGTACAATCATCCATGCAATCCCAATTTATCCTCCCAAGGTCCTGCCGCCACCAAGGCTGCGTCGCCCCCTCCCACCTCCAACATCCGCCATCCACACCAATTTACCCCTTATTCCGTCCTTCCACTGTATCCTCGTCAACAGCACACACACAGTAACTTTCACACCAACCACCCTCGCAGCATAAAAATACTATAGAGACACCAACGACCGGAACGAAACTGAGAGTACACTGCTTGGAGAAGCATATAAAAAGGGGGATGAATCGGCATCCACCGCCGCCTCGCCTCTGCCGGCAGCCAGCGAGCGATGGACCTACCTGTGCACCACGGAGGCCACACTCACGCGCGCCCGCCCACGCTCTTCTTCTGGCTGAGCAGCGAGTGCAACGTACTGATGAGCTCGACCCTGCGGATGGGCTTGCTGACGTACGCCGACATGCCGGCCTGCAGACACTTCTCCTTGTCGCCCAGCATGGCGTGCGCGGTGAGCGCCACAATGGGCACCTGCTCGTCGCCGAGCGTCTTTTCAAACTCGCGGATCGCCATGGTCGCCTCGATACCCCCCATGACGGGCATGCTGACGTCCATCAGGATCACGTCGTACTGGCGCTTCTTGACCGCCATCACGGCGAGGTGACCATTGTCCACCACGTCGACCTTGTGGCCCTGGTTGGTGAGGATCTTGCACGCCAGCTTCTGGTTCACCACATTGTCCTCGGCCAACAAAATGTCGTACGTCACCTCGTTGGAGCCCTCGGTGGGCGTTGCTGCCGAGCTCTCGAGCGAGGGCAGCAGCGCGTAGTACAGGTCGGCGGTCGAGGTGGGCGTGTTGATGTACGAGCTGATGCCGTGGTCGAGGCAGTAGGTGAGGTTGAGCGTGAGCTGCGCGGGCGAGACGAGGTTGATGGGGATGTAGCGCAGATGCTCGACGTTGCGCAGGTCCTCCACCACGGCGAGCGAGTCGGCAATGATGGCGTCGATGCGCGGCATGCCGCGCTTGCGGTGCGAGGCCTCGTCGACGCTGTGTACGGTGAAGGGCTTGAGACCGAGATCCTCGATCATGGCCTGCACGCCGGTGCGGTCGTGCAGCGTGTCGAGGTAGAAGATGTTGCGGCCGGCGTACGGTCGGATCTTCTCCTTGACCTGGTCGGGCGAGATCTTGTCGAGCTTGACGACCATGGTGAAGAAAAAGTCGGAGCCCTTGCCGTAGTTGCTGCGCACCCACAGGTCGCCGCCCATGAGGTTGACGAGCCGACGCGAGATGGACAGACCGAGGCCGGTGCCGCCGTACTTGCGCGTGGTGGAGCCGTCCGCCTGGCAAAAGGTGTCAAAGATGACGTCGAGCTTGTCCTGCTTGATGCCGATGCCCGAGTCCGAGGCGCAGAACTCGAGCATGGCGAGGTTGCCGTTGATCATCTTGGAGAGCTTGCACTTGAGCGCCACGCGGCCGCCGGCGTCGGTAAACTTGACGGCGTTTCCGATGAGGTTGGTGATGATCTGCTTGAGGCGCAGCGCATCGCCGATGAGCGGGTCGGGGCAGTCGGGCGCCACCTCGTACATGAGGTTGAGCTTCTTCTGCGTCGCACGCACCGAGAGCGTCTTGAGCACGCTGAACACGATGCCGCGCAGCGAAAAGGGGATCTCCTCGACGTTCATGCGGCCGGCTTCGATCTTGGAGATGTCGAGGATGTCGTCGATGATGGCGAGCAGGTTGCCGGCGAGCGTCGAGACGGTGACGAGGTTCTCGCGCTGCGAGCGCGACAGCTCGGTCTCGAGGGTGAGCGCGGTCATGCCGATGATGCCGTTCATGGGCGTGCGGATCTCGTGCGACATGTTGGCGAGGAACTCGGACTTGGAGCGGTTGGCGAGCTCGGCGGCCTCCCTGGCGGCGGTGTTCTTCTGGATGCTGTCGCGGAGACTGTAGACCATCTGGTTGATCTTGGTCTTGAGCGAGTCCATCTCACCGGACGCCTCGACGGTGACGAAGCGGGTAAAGTCGCCGTCGGTGGCGGCGGCGGTGATCTGGGCAAAGGCACGCACCTGCGAGGTGAGGTTGTTGGCCATGATGTTGACGTTGTCCGTGATCTCGCCCCAGGTGCCCTCGATGTCCTTCTTTTGGGCCTGCACGCCGAGCTTGCCCTCGGTGCCCACTTCGCGAGCGACACGCGTGACTTCGGAGGCGAAGAAGCTGAGCTGGTCAATCATGTTGTTGATGGTGTTGACCAGGTCGAGCATCTCGCCGGAGACGGGGATGGTGACCTTTTGGGTGAGGTCACCGCGCGCGACGGCGGTGGTGGCGTGTGCAATGGCTCGCACCTGAAGCGTCAGATTGGCAGCCATGGTGTTCACCGAGTCTGTGAGGTCCTTCCAGGTTCCGCCGACGCCGAGCACGGTGGCGCGGCCTCCGAGCTTGCCTTCGGTACCGACCTCCTTGGCGACTCGCGTCACCTCGAACGAGAAAGTTCGCAGAGATTCGACCATGTTGTTGACGGTCAACTTGAGGTCGAGGAACTCGCCGCGCACCTCCACGTTGATGGTCTTGCTGAGGTCGCCGCGGGCGACGGCGGTGGTGACGGTGGCGATGGACCGGACCTGTGTGGTGAGGTTGCTGGCCATCATGTTGACGCGCTCGGTGAGCACCTGCCACTGACCCTTGACGTCGTTGACCTTGGCCTGACCGCCGAGGCGACCTTCTGTGCCGACCTCTACCGAGACACGGATGATCTCGTCGGAGAGCGTCTTGAGTTGACGCACCATGTTGTTGACGGTGAGCTTGAGGTCGAGGATCTCGCCCTTGACGTCGACGTTGATGAACTCGGTGAGTACACCCTCGGCGACACACTTTGTAACACGTGCGATCTCTCGCACTTGCGAGGTGAGGTTGTCGGCCATCTTGTTGACGTTTTCGGTGAGGTCCTTCCAGGTGCCCTCGACGTTGGGGACGTGCGCCTGACCGCCGAGCTTGCCGTAGGTTCCGACCTCCATGGACATGCGGATGACTTCGGAGGCAAAGATGCGAAGTTGACCCACCATGGAGTTGACGGTGTCCTTGAGCTGCGCCATCTCGCCCTCGGCGTCGATGTCGATGGTCTTTGTGAGGTCGCCCTTGGCGACGGCGGTGGTGACGACGCCGATGGAGCGTACCTGTCCGGTGAGGTTGGAACACATGCGGTTGACGTTGTCGGTGAGCTCCTTCCAGACGCCCTGTACGCCGGGCACGTTGGCCTGACCGCCGAGCTGGCCCTTGGATCCGACTTCACGCGAGACACGCGTGACTTCGGTGGAAAAGTGGCGGAGTTGATCGACCATGACGTTGATGGTGACCTTGAGTTCAAGGATCTCGCCGTCTGCCTCGACTTCGATCTTCTGGGAGAGGTCGCCGCGGGCGACGGCCTTTGTGACGAGCGCGACACCGCGCACCTGGTTGGTTAGGTTGGCGGCGAGACGGTTGACGACATCCTTGAGCTCCTTCCAGGTTCCTTCGACGCCGTGGACCTCTGCCTGACCGCCGAGTTTGCCTTGGGTTCCTACTTCGAGCGAGACACGGGTGACTTCTGCGGCGAAATGCGAGAGACGGTCGACCATCTGATTGATGATGTCCTTGAGTTCGACCATGACGTGACCTTGGACGGGGACGGTGATGTGCTGTGTGAGGTCGCCGAACGCGACGGCTTTGCAGACGCGAGCGATGTCCTGTACCTGAGCCTTGAGCAGCCGCAGCTCTTCCTGCGCCGAGAGGCCGCTCTCGTCGTTGTAGCGTTCGAAGGAGGCGATGGGATCGTCGGTGCGGGAGACCTGTCCGCCGAGGAGGACGGGACCGTTGAGGCCCATGCCGAGCGGATAGCTGAGCGGGTAGCTGGAGCTTTGGGGCTGAGCGTGGGAAAGAGGGTAGGGGAAGGGCTTGCCGAAGAAGAGGTTGCGCGGGTCCTTTGGCGACTGTTGGGCCGAGTCCTCTTCGGCGCCTGGGGTGCGAACGATCTCTTGGCTGCGAGCGACGACGTCGAGGTGGTCCTCTGCCTGCCACAGCCTGGCTGCGAGCCTGCCAATGTTTTCCTCGATGGCTCTTGTTCGGTCGTCGCTGTTTGGCGAGGTGAATTGGGGGAGAGGCAAGCTGACGGTGCCGTCGAGCTTGTTATCCGGCTCGTCGAGGTCGATGGAAGCGACGTCGTCTGCGAGGTCGTTGCCGTTGGATTTGCGATGCGCGCCGTTTTCATTTTTGCGAGTGGGATCGCGAGACATGGCGCGGAGGACGGCGGGGGGAGGTTTTGAGTTGACCAGAGTCTGTGTGATGAGGAGGAGATGGTCAAGAAAGTCGGAGGGGAGGGAGGCGAGGTCGGGGAGCGGGGAGGAGGTGTTGCGCGACATGAATGCGGCGGTGACTGGCGACGGCGAAGCGCCGTTCAGTGTTGCGGCCATGGTGGATATCGGCAAAGAGGTTGATTCTATAAGGTCAGGTGGGGACCAGCGAGCGATGCAAGATCAAGCAGAGGGGGGCCGTTGGTGATGGAATCTGTTTGCGCGATGATCTCAAAAGACGGGAGACGCTGTAGATCAAGTTGCAGGGGCGAATGGCATCGTTTGTCGATACGAGCGCGGAAGGAGGTACGGCTGATGCTAGCGGCGGCTGAGGACGAGGACGAGGCGAAAAGGGACGCAGGCTTGCAGACGGAGGCTCGGACGAAGGTGATACACACGAGATGCTGGCCGGAGCACCTTTCGATGCAGAGAGACGCGGGATGGATGGTCGAGGCGAGATGACCGACGAATGAAGGCGGTCGATACGATGAACGCGGCTGGAGGCAAGCAGGGCACGGGGCGTATGCGGTCGAACGAGGCGCGTGCAGTGTGCGATAATGAAGGCACCCCGAGGAGCTGCTGAGACGGCGAGTCGCGAGCTAGGATCTACCCAGGCTGGCTGGGGGTGAGGGGAGATGGCGCGGCGGAGGTGAGATGAGGAGGTGAGGAGGGGAGGGGAGGATGATGGTAGTACACCGATCGTGCGAGGACTGGAGAGAGGGTCTCTGGTGCTGAAACGGAGGCTAGGCGAGCCACTCTCTCAGCTGACTGAGGTGTAGTGACGGACTGGCTCGACGCAGACGGCCCAAGCGAAGCAAAGCAAAGCGACGGCGGCGCGCTCTAAACAGGCAGAGAGCGGGTGAGCGAGCAAGAGTGGCCAAGTGCCTGCGAGTGCGTCGAAAGGGTGCAGCCGAGCGTGCCGCGAGCGTGCTGTGCTGTGTGCTGGGCGTGCGTGAGTGACAGCAGCAGAGGAGGTTGAGTGAGGCCAAAAGCTGAGCGCGTCGCTGCTCGCCAAATGCTCATCCACAGCCGCCACGCTCGCGCCACCCTCCAAAAAGAAAATTCAAATTTTATTCATTCGAGCCAGCCAGCCAGCCAGCCCTTCCGTGGGGCTGCGGGTGATCCGACAAGGGCGCGGCTATAGTGGACCCTCTCTGCTTTTCTTGGGCCTCTCCTCTCCCACCCGACGGCGGCGCTTCCGACTCTAAGTTGGCTGCTGTTCCCCCAACATTCAGCCGGCCTGAGCTAAGAGTGAATCGAAGAGCCCGGAGACGGTGCGTCGAGTTGTCATCGCACGCTATCCGACGCTCGACTCTAGCGCTGAACCGACAGAGACAGAGGGAGGGCAGTGGCTGGACCCTAGGGCGCGTGTGTTTGTTGATCGCTCAACCTCAGGTACAAACCCAGTCAAAGCTCAAAAAAAAAAAACGGAAATCCACACCTCGCGACAAGCAAGAAAAAAATACAGGGAGCAGCAGCGCGAGATAACGGGCATGCAAGCGCAGGTCGGAGATTCTACAATTCCAAGTCAACTCACTGTACCGCAGCGCGACGGCCAGCTGGCTCGAAGCCACAAGAGATTGATTTGTCGCCTTGCATGTGCGCGCCATTGGCCGGTCAGCTGCTGCAGGCCAAGAGCAGCCAGCCGCAGCCCGGCACGCTTTGCCTTGCTGGGGCGCTCAACACCTTGGCTTAGCTCGGGTGGCGTTTCTGCAGCCGTGCACGCTGGTCTACCGCTTCCCACCGCGCGCAGCTTTTCTTCTCCTCTGCCTCTGGCTCTCGCAAACCACAGCCAGGCGTGATCGCTGATCAGCTTGTCTGCGTTGCGCTGCATCCCGACGCCGCTGCACGCCCGGCTTTTGGCGTTCTCGCGCTCGCTAAGTCCGGCCGGCCCAACGCTCTCGCCTTTTTTCGCGGTGCCGAATTGAGATCACGAAGGCGGCCTAACAAATTCATGCCCCGCCCTCCATCACCGCTGATCGAGCGACGATCCCATTCATCGTCACGCATCGACGTCTCCAAGCCGTGTCCCATGATGTATCGCCTCAGCCGAGCTCCATAGCGCCGAGATGCTAGATGGATGCATGTCGTTGTTCCCTTGGTGCCTTCACGTCCGCAATGAAGCTGACACGGCTTGGATCGCCTCTTCAACCCTCGGCGCATTCAACCTCGGGGCCTCCCCTCCTGACGCATGTCTGAGGGTCGACACTTTTCAGATGGACTGCCTCTTGCTGAGGATCCAGACTCGATTGCAAATGCGGATTAGACACGGATCCGCGCGCCACGTGTGGCACAGACCGCGTAGAGACGACGCTGGCCCTTTCATCTCGTCGCTGCCCCTTTGAAGCGGTGCACGGAGCGCCAAGCGTGGCGATCGAGGGATCCGTGCCACACGCCGTCTCAATGGCGCAACCAAGCCAACACACGCATCCACGGGTGGGTGCTGTGCGTTAGTGGGTGCCGAGCACGCTGTGCTGCAGCATTCTCATCTCTTCGCATGGTGGCAACCTCTGCTCGCAGCCCAATTCTTCCCACCCTCTCCTGGAGCCACTTCCATATATACCTCCAGCAGCGCGATTCCACAGCCGCCCCTCACCTCATTCCCCACCATTGCACACAAAGCGTTGACGAGATGGTCAGGCTCACAGCGTGGCTCGCAGGCAGGCCGGTAGCGATGCAGCTGCTGGTGTGTATCGTGATTGGCCTGCGCATGGTCTCGGCCACCGTTCAGGCGTTCACCTGCAACCTCCGTCAGAACTCCACCGTCGCGCAAGCACAAGAACCCCACCAACTCATGGCAAATAGCTGGCAGCCGATTCAGTATGACAAGCAACCATCCAAAGTGCAATCTCGGGCTGTGAGGCAGCGGCCACAGCAGGTCGCGGCCGACTTTTCGGAGCAGAACCGAAACGTTCCCACCGCCGCGTCGCTCCACCAGCAGGACGATGCACCGTCCAGCAGTCTTTCAACCGGGCCGTCGACGGGTTCAACCAGTTCAAGTCTCGGCAGCCCCAGCAATACGGACTCCTTTAGCAACTCCAATTTGGACTCGGATGATCTGGACCAAGACGGACCGAGCAGCACCAATTCGACTTTGAGCGATACGCCGCTTCCACTCGCACCGACACCAGCTTCAACGGCATGGACCCCGCCCCCTACCTCTTCGAATCTTCCCCCACCGAATTTTCCTGCTCAACAATTTGGCGGTGGCCAGACGAACTCTACCGCGTCCAATCCACCGAAGAGTTCGAACACCACCTCGCAAGCACATCCGATTCAAGGACAGCAGCAAGGCGGACCCTCACGGTCGATGTCGCATACGCAGGGGATTGTAGCGGGCGTGACGGTGCCTGTGGGCGTAGTCGCATTGGGGCTGGTAGCCTTTCTGATCCTGCACAAGCAGCGCCAGCGACAGGCGCAGTCGTCAGAAGCGCAACGCAATGTTTCCGACCCCGAGCAGGGCCAGCCTCCCAACAGCACACCCGCGGATGCAGCGACTCAGCAGACACTTGGCGAGGCTCACGGTGCGGCTGAGGAGACAGCCTCCGAGGCGTCTACGGTTGTGCCGCATGTACTGATCAACGAGCCCATCGAAGAGCTGGATGAAGAGCATGCGGATGTCGAGGTCGCTGTTGGGGGCTCGCCGCAGAGAGGAAGATCGCCAGTCGGGGTGGCATCGGAAGCAGAAGGCAGTAGGGGCGTTGTGGGTCGGCCATCACCACCGCAAGGCCGAGCGCGTTCGCTCAAACGCAAGCCTCCGCCGCCACTCACCGCCTCGATCGACGCAATGCCCTCCCGACCAACGCCACTTCAGCAGGATCAAAGTCGAGCCCAGTAGGCAATCTAGATCTCGTGATGGAAACAAGGCTGGGATTGTGACCGTGTGACCGTTTGAGAGAAAGGTGGGGGTTGGGCGTGTGACTATAAAAGAGGCGAACGGGTGGGTTGGGGCAAAATGCAGGGTCCAAGAGCAGCTGCACGCTCGGATCCCGCCGATGCCGCGCCAAATTTTTGGGTGAGCGTGCGCCGAGGTGCCGCCAAAATTGCGACTTCAGCCTGGTTGCGGGGGGAGGAGCGGATCTTGCTGCGGAACCATCATCGCCATCTCTTGCCCGCTCATTCCCCTCACCCTGCATCGACTTTGGAGCTGCGTATCGCACTGACATTTGCGTCCGCATACTACGACTCGATGTAACGCACGCTGCTGGGCGGCAAGCTGCGCCAACCATGACTTCGTCCTCTTCGCCAACCGCACCGTCTCTCTCCGCCTCTTCCACCTCGACCTCGTCATCCCCACCACCTGCGCTCGAGTGGCTTCCCCGCTCCACTCCCCGCTACGCCTGCGCCGACTGTGGCGCGCATCTCGCTCTTCAAGTAAGCCGACCCCCCCCCCCCMCCCCTTGCCCTCTCCCCTTTTACTTTCTCAAACATTTGCTGACTTTACTGTATCGTGGTCGCAGGACGAGTTGATTAGCAAGAGCTTTTCGGGGCGCGACGGCAAGGCCTACCTATTCGCCTCTACGATCAACACCGCTCTTGGCGCACAGGAGGAGCGGCACCTGCTCACGGGCATGCACACCGTGTGCGATCTCAGCTGCCGCGGCTGCGGCCGCACGCTCGGCTGGTTCTACCTCAAAGCGTGGGAGGCCTCGCAAAAGTACAAGGAGGGCAAGTGGATCATGGAAAAGGCGGGCCTGCACAAGATCAACGCGTGGTGAAAATTGCATTTCTACACGCCAATGTTGGTGCCGCGGTACACGGTGATGCGCTTATCCTTTCCGCCCGCCACGAGCTGCTGGCCATCGTTGGACCAGTCGAGCGCCAGCACGCCCTCGGCGCCGGCGGTACCGAGCACAAAGAGCGGTTTGCGCGACGAGCGCGTGTCCCACACCTTGACGTGCGAGTCGGCGCTGCTGGCGGAGGCGAACATCACCGTGCTGGTCGGGTGGGCGCTGAGCGCGTCGACGGCTCCACGGTGCGCGTTGGTGATCGCCACGCCCAGCGCGGCAGTGGTGGCGTCGGTGCGAATGTCAAAGATCTGCATGGCGCGGTCGGTTGCACCGGCCACCAACGCCGTGGGGCCCAGTTGGGCGAGTGCGGTGATGGGGCGCGTTTCGGCGGTGGAGGTGGGCATCGAGAGCGACGTGTGCAGCGTCCCGCCCGACGAAAGGTCCCAGCCCTTGAGCCCGTTGTACCCCGCCGACCAGGCGCGGTTGCTGTCCCTGCCCGCGGGCGTGCGCTCGAACAGCACTGAGCTTACACGCGATGCCGAGGTAAAGACGTTCTTGGCTCCGGTTGCGGCGTGTGCTGCGGGAGCCGCGTGCCACAGAACCATGGTCGGCTCCTTTGTACCGGCTGTTCGGGCACCGCGTGTGGATTTCGCCGCGCCGCTCGCCGTCTTGCGACGCTTGGCGCCATCGTCGCTGTCGTCATCGTCGTCGTTGTTGCCGGCGGTGGTGGTGGAGGCTACGTCGTCCCAGAGCGCCACGATGCCATCCCAACCTGCACTTAGCACCGACACGCCCGCAGGGCCCTGGGCCACATCCACATCCGCCACGGGCGCATTGTGCGCGGTGCCACCCCATTTCCTCGCGCTCCTCCATCCGTCCTCCTGCTGGACACTCCACATCTGCACGCCGCCGTCCATGCCGCCCGTGACAATCTCGCCCTGTGGGGTCCATTTGGCCTTGGTGAGTGCGGTATTCCTTCCGCCCTGAACCGCGGCCTTGTTGACGGTGGAAAAGGTGTGCACCGCATTCTGTGCATCCGTCGGTTCGAATACACGTACGCTTCCATCGAATCCGGCAGTCATGTACAGCGCGTTCCTGGTGCAATCGACGCTAGCTACCCAGTCATCGTGTTCGAACGCCGCGAGCCTTGTCGGGGGCAGAGTCGACCTCACATACTCGATGGCGAGGGTGGATTCGGCGGTGAGACCCGAGGATTCGAGAAACTCGCCGAGGGAGGAGCGGAGGAGGGTCGAGTCGATGATAAAGTCGAACGGGACCGTGGTGAGGCCCGAGGAGGAGGAGGCGACGAGTTTGTTGACGAGCGTCGAGAGGTGGGTGCGTCGCCAGGAGACCGGGACCATGTAGGGGCCGGAGGGGATGGCGTATTCGTCGAGGGTGGTGGTGAGCATGATGGGCACGGTTGCTTCCGCCGCAGCGGTGGACGACGATGCCATTGGTACGTCGCTGAGTGAAGTCATGCTGAGAAGTGGTGATGAGGTGGAGAGGTGGAGAGATACAAGAAGCAAAAGGTGAAGGGAGCACGGAGGAGGTTTTTTTTCTTCTGCCTTGGAGTTGCCAAAAATTTCTTCGGCTCGCGACGCACATCCGAGATCCGAGAATGCACACGCACACACCTTCATGCGCAACCCTCTGCGCATTGGCCACTGCAATTGCTACGCAGGTACATGGAGATCCACAATCACCGGCCTGCAAAGCCCAATGTCAGCTCTTGTCCTTCCTGTCCGTAGTTGAGCTGCGACTTACTGAGCGACAACATCGTACGAGACTGTAATCCCCCCCGGTCACACGCATGTCAGCTTTTGCAGTCCCCATTTTCGGCTCGGAGGGGGGTTGGGTGGCGACTTACACTTGCGCTGCGTGTTCCACAGGTCTTGATCGTACTCGACCAGTGCCGCATTCACCAGCACCGTTTCACCCTCTTCATGTTGTAGCACATTGGTGCCACGGGCTTCGTGAATATGGCCGAATACGTGCAACTTTGGACGCAGGGCGTCTTTGTGGTGGCGTGGGGCGGTGAGGCGGCGTGTCAGCTCCTTGCACCCCACCGATGTGCCGTCGTGGATCTTGTCCAGCCCACCAAGCTCGTACGGCGGCGTATGGGTGATGAGAATATCCACATGGCCGACCGACTCGTATATCTCTACAAAGTGTCAGCCGGTACGATTGAAAAGGGAAGGGGGAAGGTTGGGGGGCTTACTTTTGGCTTGCGCGGGGGTATAGTTCCAAGCCCACCGCTCGAATTCGGGCGACCACTATCCTAGCCCCCGTCAGCTTGTGATCCAATTCAGGAAGGAAAGAGAGGGGGGGTTGGGGGACTTACAGGACTCCCATATACGCTCCACTCATAATGCCTAGTCTCCGGGCGTTCGACAACAAACGTCGATGTGGCACCAAGAAGAACCTGCATCCCACATGCCTCCAGCATCCTCGCTGCCTTGAGCGGTGCAGCTGCATCGTGTGCGACACCGTACTTGTTGTCAAGCTCCCGCCCTCGAGTGTCGTGCCAATCGCCGGGAGCTGTGCAGAAATCATGATTCCCCGCAGTAATCACCTTGACGCCATGTGGCAAACTCCTACAACCCCTCCATCAGCATTCTGCTCAAGGTGGAAATGGCAGACAAAGGGAGGCAGGTGCGACTTACTCTAGCCACGCGATTTGACGCTCGAGATCCGCGGGTTCGCCGAGTGTGGTGAGGTCGCCTGCGTGCAGTAGCACATCTCCATCAGGCACGGCGGTCGTCTGCGAATGCGTATCCGAAAGCAGCACGAACCGCACCCATTCCCCACCTGGAGCAGCGGGTGCAGTGGTGTAGTGTGTGTACACCCGTGGCTCCGTCATCGTTGCTGGTGGTGGTAAGATGCATAACCCCCACAAAGTGCAGCTGCGCAACCAGGATGCCTCCACCCCAACACCCTCACCTTCCCCCGCGCCATTTTCCCACCTCACCCACCTTGCTCGCACGAGCCAAAAGCGACAATGCATGCAGAAACAAAGATCGATACAAATACAAAAAGTGCACCACGGGGCTAGGCTAAAAGTACACCCTAATCGCCTGGTTGACGTAGCTCTCCGTGGGACAGTAGGGGCACTTGAACCGCCCATTCCCCTTAGCCAGCCGATTGAGCGTCTCGAGGCACAGCACATGCCCACACGCCAGCATCATAGGCGGGTTCTCCTCCGTCCCCTGCTCCTTGCTCACGGGACACGCGAAGATCGAGTGGAACCTCAACCTGTTGGGCAGCGGGATTTCGATCGGTAGTTCGTCGGCTTGGCTCCACTCGTTGCCGCTCTCCTTCATCACCGCCTTGACCTTGATGATGCGATTCAGCGCGCCACCTGCACCCACCTCGACGCCAATCGCCAGCGGCGCCTCCTTGGCGATCCGATGCCGCGCACAGAATTCGAGCTTGAATAGAGGCTCTAGCAGCGGCGCGTGCACCAGCTTGAAGTCCAGTAGAGGTCGGTAGATAAGCGGGACGGTGGGGATGAGGTGCTCGACGGGGACAGAGTCGACACCTTCAGGACCATATGCGGGCGCAGGCAGGAACGCGGGCAGGAAGGCGAGAAGCGTGAATAGGCGCTGTATCTCCGAAAGGTGCGTGGTGCGGAACGGTTTAAAATGCTCGCGCCCGTATGCGAGAGCCTGCTCCACGTTCGTACGTGCCATTGCCACCACCGCATTCGACGGCGCCAATGCAGCCGCAGGCAGTGCGTCGATGGATGCGCTGAGCATCTCGACATTCTCGCCGTCCGGATCGCGGTTCTCTGCCCCACCCCCGTCGCTTCCCGGCAGGATAGTCCCCGCAGCGATGCGGATGAACTGGCTGCGGTGCAGTGCGAACTCGAGTGCGCTCTTGCGCAATTCGAGGAACGGCCTGTTCTCCTGCGCCCATTGGATCGCCGGCCTCAAGTCTCCACTCCCCATCGCCGCGGTCACATTGTGCAGCTGCACGTACAGCCGCTCGGTCTCGGACGACAGCGCCAGCCCCGCTTCGCCGGCGAACTTGAGTGCGGTATCCCAGTCGCCTGTGCGCTGGAGGTGGTTGAGAACCACACGTTCCAACGCCGCCTGTGCTTCCGAGCTCGAAAACAGCGCCGGATCAGCTACGCCGTCGATGGGGATGGGGAACTTCTTGTCCAGCGTCTTGGTCGCCTTGCCCAGCGCAGCGTGGAACTCCTTCTGCCGGTCGAGGATCGACTTTTGCGCCGACTCGACCGATGCTTTGAGCTCTGCCACCACCACGCCCGGATCCGCGGGGGAAGTGGAGGAGAGGGTGGCTTTGGCGGATTCGATGCGTGCGATCAGTCGGTCGATCGAGTCGTGCACCGTCGGGGTGGTGGCAGCCGCTTTGGCGGACGAGGAGGAGGAATGCAGCCCCGGCGCACGCTTGGCCACCTGCTCGAGCGACTTTTGCACCGCCTCCATATCGCGCTGCTAGTCGGTATTGAATCCAGGCTCAGATGGCAGTGTAGAGGTGATTGAGCGAGATGGAGGATGTGAGGTGAGGGTGAGCGGGCGCTGGCTCAGCGGGTTGCAAGCGCGCGGCCAAAGCGTCCGCACTGATGCAGCCGCTGCTCGCCTGCTGCACGCCTGCATGAGGCGCCGCGCCCAATTTCACGCAATTTGGCCCATCAAAAAAGGGCGGCTCGATTCGCGTCACCTTTCTTGGAGAGCGTGTGGAGTAGCTCAAGCCCGGACCCTGATCCACCCTGATCCTCGCCCCGCACACACACACTCCAGCCCTGCGAACCAGAAACGAAACAACTTGATAGCATTCCATGCAAGATAAGGAGCAATGAGCGACCGCTTCAGTCCACCACCACGTACCGACTCTTGATCGGCCGCTTCTTGACCGTGCCCGTCCTCGATCCGCCCGGCGGTGGCGCAGGCGGCGACGCGAGCCCCGCCGGCGTCGAGCTGCCCGATCCCCTCGCGCCCATCGGCGGCTGCGACGCAGGCGGCATCGAGTGGTCCGCCAGATTGCTCCTCGCCCTCGTCAGGCTGCCCATGCCCGGCGGTCCCCTGCTAGGCGCCAATCCCGAGCTGCCCTCGTCGCGCCCCTCGCTGATCGGCGGCGTCGCCCGCCCCATCGTGAAGCTGCCCGACGGCGGGCCGCGCATCGGCGGAGCGCTCGACGCACCCGCACTGCGGTCCGGCTGCGACGCAGGACTCGCCGTCTGCGCACGCGCCGGAGGAGGAGGCGGCGGCGGAGGCGTGCTCGCAGCACCCGCACTATCGCCCACCTTCTTGTTCACCCAGCGCTTGAGCTCCTTGTCGTACACGAAGCTCGTCTCTTCGCCAAGGTGCGCCTTCTTGGCCTTGGCCTGCGCCTGCTGCGCCGCACTGTCCGTCGACGAGCTGCGTCCCCACAGCCGCCCGAACCACGACGCAGACGACTTGAGCTCCTGCCTCTTCTCCTCGGACGCAGCGCCCGCTCCGTCGTTGCTGCCGTCGTCCTTGCCCGCCGCGCCGCTCGTCGCGCTCGCCACGCTCTCCTGTCGCGAAACATCGCCGCCGGCCGAGCCCGCATCGCCGTCTCCCCCAGCCGCGTTGCTCGCCTTGTTGCGTCGGCTCGAGTTGCCCAGTCCGAGATCGTCGTCATCGTCCAGATCCTCCTCAACGGCCTGGTTGCGACTGTACGAAGATGGCGCATACTGGTTGGCTTGCGGTTGCGGCGTGCGGCTGTTGGAAGACAGCGCATCGAACGGCGACACGAATCCGTCGCCACCCTCGAGCGCATCGGCGCCGTCCACGTTGCTCACAAACTCGGGCTTCTGCGCACCGTGCGGGTCGTAGCCGTAGAAAGGCGCCTGACCAGGAGCAGAGTAGCCGCTCGTGTCGCCTCCCTCCTCGCCACCGCCTTCCTCCGCCTGCGATCCGCCGTAGCCGCCGTACCCAGAGCCGCCTCCGTAGCCTCCGTAGCCGCTGTAGTCGCCATAGCCGCCGCCGTAGCCCGCTTCCGAGCCACCGCTCGGGCGCGCCGCATCCGTGCTCGGTCGGCCAGAGCTTTCCGCCTCGCGTACACTCGCGCCGCCGTGCCCAGGCCACGGCGCCGTCTCGGACGTGAAGCTCGTCTCTGCACCTCCGCCGTACGTCGACGAGGCCGTCGAGAACTCGGAGGTCTGCTGGCCATGTCCAAACCCTTGCCCGGCGTGCAGATTCGCCCCGTAGCCGTACGCCTGGCGCGGCGCCTCCGAGCTCGATCGGACGCTGTCGCGGTCGTAGTTGCTCCCGGACTCGTGGCCGCCATTGCCGTTGAACGACGGTCGCTGCTGCGGCCAGTCGCCGTACGCTTCCTGGTTGAGCGGGCGCATCGAGAGCGCCGATGACGCACGGTGCTTGGGCGACGCCGCACGCTTCGTGGCGTTGCGGAAGTCCATCGCCGATCCCGCGCGCGACGACGGCCCGCTGGGCGAGCCTGCGTGCAGCTCGGTGAACGACTGCTGCCGCGTCATGCCGCCCGACGCCGCATCCGGCGTGATCGCGCTGTAGTGCGAGAACGGCCCAACGCTCGACGACACCGAACCCTTGCTGTTCTTGTTGGGCGACTCGCCCTCCGTCGCGCCATCCTCGCCGGCGATGAATTTGGTGAAGCGGCCCTCGAGCGCGCCCCACACGCCGTCGAGCGTAGGGCGCTGCATCTTGCGCGTCATCCAGTTGCCGCCCGGACCCGCCTGCGGTGCGCCCAGCAGTCGATCCGACAGCTGCTTCGACTGCGACAGCAGCGTCGGATGCAGGTACGGCGACTGCTTGGTCTGCTTGAGACACTGCGCGATCGCCTCGCAGTACTTTTGCGCGCGGCCCACCTCGCCCAGGTCGGCCAGCTGATGTGCGTGGACCAGCTTGTACGCCTGCAGATGCGCGATGCCCGCAAATGGCTCCTGGCCCTTGACGGCAGGAACGAGGCCCTGTGCGAACTCGAACACCTCGGTCAGCAGGATGCCGTCCAGGTCCTGCACGAACGCAGCCGACGCTTTGGGGTTGGTCTGGCCCAGCAGCGTGAAGCGCGCGCCCGTCGTATCCGCGCCGCCCATCGGCGACGTCTGCGGCGACAGCAGATAGCAAAAGTGCGCCGCTTCGAGCAGGCCGCGCGTGCACAAGCCATCGCCGATCGCCGTCAGCGCCGCCGAGTCGCTCGGGCTGCGGTGGCTCGCCACGATCGCCGCCGACTCCTTCCAGCTGGGCAACGACGCCGATGCAGCACCTGCATCCGCGGCGGGTGCCTGCAAGCCGCCCGCCGGCGCCAGCTGCGTCTTGGTGCGGAAGAGGTCAAAGATCGACACGGGGTCCTGGCCCGAGAAGACGTTGTAGGCGACCTTGAGACCCTGCAGGTCTCCGCGACCCTGGCCGCTGAGCGAGGTCTCGGCGGCGCCGACCTCTTGCTCGATAAAGTCGCTGACGACCTGCTTCCAGCACTCCTTGTCGACGCAGCTGGCGATGGTCATGGCGTGCGCCCACATCTTGTGCGCGACGGCGTACTCGACTGCCTGGCGCCGGTCGCCGCGCAGCAGCATGCCTTGCAGCTTCTGCAGGAAGCCGGTGCGAAGCTCGTGCGACGTGACCACGCTGCCATCTGCCTCGTCCGTCGTTGACTCGCCTGCCACGGACATGGCGAAGCCGCTCGAGGTCGCCGAGTCCGGTGCGTCTGCCACGACGATGAGCGATCGGACGCCCTGCTCAAACGCCACCGAGCTCGTCTGGCCGTCGTTCTCGACGAGAAGCTTGAGCAGACGCAGAAGCAAGATCTTGTCCTCGGTCCTGCGCGCGTCCAGCTCTGCATCTTGTTCGGGGGCGCCTCGGTTGGAGCCGGCTGTCGGACCGGAGAACGACGGCCGTCTGCGCAGATAGCCCACGCCGGCGGAGAGCTCCTGCACGCGCTCGTCGAGATGCTTGATTAGCGCCGCCTTCTTGGTCTTCTGTGCGGATGAGGCGCCAGTCGCCCTCGACAGCGCCGTTGTACCAGCAGCACCTTCAAAGACAGGACCCGGGAAAGTGAGCGGGTCGAACGCAGACGCATATGCCGACGACGGGACAAGCGACGACATGGCGCGAATGTCGACGGTTGTCGGATAGCTCGAGGCATTGTACGAGTACGATCCGTAGACGTTGGCATCGTTCGCGCTTGCGTTGGCATCGCCACTCGCGCCGGCCGTGCCGCGCGATGTGGGGAAGTAGCTCACCAGCTTGCCGCCGATGCCAAAGCTGGCAATGGGGATGGTGGCGCTGCGCATCGTCTGCAGCATGTCGGCGCTCGTGTCGGAAGCTGCCTGGGAGCGCGTCTCGCTCGCGACACTTTGGGCGCCCTGGTCGACGCCAGCCGCGTTAGAGCCGTACTGGTCGTGCGGATCGTAGGGAGAGGGCGGCATGCCGTGGGTGTTGCCGTACGAGTACTGCTGTGGCGACGACGCGCGCTGCTGTGGGTCAAAGTAATCGGACTCTTGGGGCAGATCGCGCTGGTAGCCACTGGCGGCATACGGATCCTCTGCTTCCGTGTGCTTGAACTGGTGTGCAGGGGTGTGGCTGGGAGGGGCAGCATAGGGGTCCGCAGCTGGGTCTTGGGCAGCAGGAGGACCGTATGGCGAGTGACTCGAGTCAGGGACCGCAGCGCCGGTGACGCTCGGAGCATAGGGGTCGCTGGAACCCGCCATAGGACTGTATGCATCCGATGAGCCCTCATTCGCAGACTCCGAGTTGGGATCGAGCCAGCTGCCGGTCTCGCCTCGCGAAGCGAGCGGTGTCCTGGCATCGTGATCCTCTTCTCCAAAGGCATGATGCGCTGCAAATGGCTGCTCGCTGCCGCCAGCGTTGGCACCGCCCTCGGCGTCGTACAGAGAGGCTGGGTGGTGCTCATTCGCATTCGGGTGCTCGGCACTATAAGCGTTGTAGCTGTCGTAGCCCTGGTGTGCGGTAGGAGGAGCGTAAGGATCATAGCTGGTGGTGGAAGACGGCTGGTCTTGCTCGCCGTAGGCATTCCAGCTGGAGCCTTGCGCCTCGCCACTGGCGGCCGAATCAGCGTTCTGCGCATCGTAGGCACCTTGTTGGCGCTCAGCCACGGGCGCATAGCCGTCTGCGTGCATGCTGTCGTGCTGCTCGTGGTCGAGGTTGAGCTGATCGAAGGCGTTCGTGGCGTCCTGCACATCGTCGTGCTGCTGAGCAGCGTAGTCGCCGTGCTCGGCATCGCCGGATTCGTCGGTGACAGTGAGGGTGGGCAACGAGTCGTCACCGGACGATGGCGGCGGAGTGGCGGCGGCCTGCTCGAGCGAATCGACCCAGGCGGAAGCGGGGCGTTTGTAAGCGGGCGGCGGCGTAGCAGCAACATCTGGCTGCTGCTGCGGTTGGCTCTGCTCGGTGGCAGCATCGTTCGACCATCCAAACTCTTGTGATTCTCGCTCGAGCGAGACAGCCGGGGCATGGCCGCGTGCAACGGAAGCATCCGCGGCAGGAGGAGTGGACGTTGCCGAGATGGAATGAGCGTTGCGCGAGGAAGTGCGCGAAGATCCTCTGGGCGGACCACGCGGCGGACCCTTGGGAGGACCGGAGGGAGGGCCCTTGGGCGGTGGTGGAAGCGTGGCAGACTGGGCAGATGAGGAGCGGGCAGCGTACTGGTTTGGAGCATCGACGCTGGGCGAGGTTGCAGCCGGAGGGTCATACGGGCTAGGGGCACGTGCATAGGCAGCAGCGGCAGTGGCGAGGGCGCCCGCGCGGGAGGCACCGGCATCGTGGGCGGCGGCACTGTAGTCCGTTGATGACGGAGCAGCTGCTTCTTCGCCGCCGTAGTTCTGGTGCGACCAGGCTTGTGGATCGGCGTGCTGCTCGGTGCGCGGCGGATGCTGCTGCGGCGCGTAGAGATCGTAGGCGTATGGATCGGAGCTCGCCTGCTGAACTTGCGTGGATTGCGGTGCATGCTCGTCGGGAGTGTACGCAGAATAGGCCGACGTTTCGGGGGCAGCCGTGACGGCGGCATACGAGTCCTCGGTGGCATGAACGGCGTATGCGGAAGCAGCGTAGGTCTGGTTGGAGTCGTAGCTCTGAGTCTGTTGCCCGTAGTCGTGCGCTTCGCCGTAGCTGGTGGCGTCGTACTGCAAGCCTGCCTGGTCGTACTGCGAGCTGGTTTGAGGGTCGTACGCCGAGCCGTCCTGGCCATGCTGGTCGGGTGCATAGTTGGAGGTGTAGGTCTGTGCCGAAGCATCGCCGTTGCTAGCCACGGGAGCGTACGGATCGGAAGCTGCCTGGTTGGCATACGCCTGTGGATCGTAGCTCTGCTGCTCGTGTGATGGTTGTGTGTAATCTGCCTGTGCATATGCGGAGTTGTGATCGTAGCCCTGCTGGGCGTATGCCTGCTGATCATAGCCTTGCGAGCCGTATACCTGCTGATCGTAGGCTTGCGAATCGTATGCCTGCTGATCATAGGTCTGCGCATCGTAGCCTTGCTGAGTGTAAGCCTGCTGGTCGTAAGCCTGCTGATCGTACGCCTGCTGGCCGTAGCTTTGCTGATCGTAGCTCTGCTGATCGTATCCCTGTTGCTGGTCGTAGCCCTGCTGCGCGGCATACTCGTCCTGCTGCTGATCGAAGCCATACGCTTGCTGCTGGTGGTGGTCGTAGCCCTCCTGGTCGTAGCCTACGATGTCCGAGTCAGGCTGTCCGATGGGTCTACCGTAGGCATCGTACTGCGGCTCTTCGCCAGCTGGGAGCTGCGAGTCATCCTGGTTGAGCCAGGTCAAGGAACCCTGACCGCCGTCGGGAGCTGCAAAGGGATCGGCTGCGGCATCGGTATGGGATTGGTCGGCGCCCGATGCGAGCCAGTCGTCCTGGTAGCTCGAATCGGCAAACAGACCACCTGGAGAAGCGGGACCCGACGATGGACCGCTCGTCTTGCCATCGGCGGTGGGCACAGCGAGAGTGTCCCCAACAGCGGTCGGCTCAGCTGCGCCAAAGAGCGATGCGACCGGATCAGCCGATGCCGCCGGATCAGCCGCGACGGGCTCGTGTGCGTTTTGGATGTCGGCAGCAGCCTCTTCTTCTTCTTCTTCATTTTCGGTGAGCTGCGAGAGCGAAGGAGCGGCGTTGGAAGCGGAAATGCTCGAAAACGGGTCGTCGTCGCCGGAAGAGCCGAAGAGCGATGCGGCGATTCCGACACTGGGTTTGGGTGCGTGACCCTTCTTGAAGGCCGTCGCTGGTGGTGGTTGGAGCGAGGACGCAGACGCGCCACCCTGCTCGCCAGCTGGAGCGCCGCCATCGACCATGTCTGCTGCTGAAATGCTGATCTCGCTAGCGATGGCTTGCGCCGCAACTGGCATCGACGCTGGCGCTGAGGACGTGTTGTCCGATGTGGGTGGAGGGCTGCTCATGGTGGTGATGAGAGGGTCATCGGCAGACGGTGCAGCAGCGTCTCCTTCTTGGATCTGAGCTCGGCGCCAATGCAATCGAATCGAGGCGGCGATGTGGTGAAGGTCCGAGGGATGATCAGCTGGAGAGCAAGAGCCAACGCGAGATGTGCAGGTGGTGGTGGCGCGTGCTGCATTCGAGGATGCGCAGATGTGATTCGGCGCAGAGCATCGACCCGCACGGCTCCCGTCTGTGGGTCTCTCTTCTGCGCTTTGAGAGCGGTCTCGGAGCCCTTTGGTCTGACGAATTTGACTCTCGGGCCACGTCGAGCCCTTCTGCTTGAAAGCTTTCTACGGCCGCTGCTTCAGCCGGGCGAGCTTCTGCCGCGTTTCCCCCGAAGCCGTGAGCCGATTTTTCAGATCTGTTAGCCTTCAGTGATGAACATGCAGAGCCAAAAAAAAAACCAACTCAGCCTCCACTTGGCGCTCACACTTCCTCCTCACTCTTCGGCTCAGCCAGGCTTCCACCTTCCCTACCAAAGCGCAGCTACGATTGCATGGCTTGACACACCTCCAGCGCCATGGCAGCCATCGCCTCGGGATCGTCCGTCACTCTCGAACACATGGATGCCGCCGACCGCGCCTGGGCCATCCAGGAGAATCGCTTCCGCGCCAAAGCTCGACTGCGCCTCCAAGCGCGCGCACGCAAACCTCGCAGCAAGCCCGCCGCACCTCCCGCTTCCTCCACCGCCACTTCTTCCGTCGCGACGCAGGCATCAAACGGTCAGCCGCCCAATGGCGCTGCGGTCCCCTCCATCGGTCCCAACGCCAACCTGCGCTCGGTACCTTCCACGAGCCGCAATGCGCAGCTCGAGCCGGGCCAGCTCAAGGTTGTCGGTAGCAAGGGCAACGCTGCGCGCACGCGCAAGGTCGACGAAGGCGAGATCCCTCTGCAGCGAGACAAATCTCTTGGCGACTACATCGAATTCGACCTGTCCAAGCTGCACAATAGCAAGGGTGGATTCTTGATCGATGACGACGACCCTGCGACGTCGGCCAAGACGGCGGAAGAGCTGCGCAAGGCCAAGGAGCGCGAACGCCAGCGTCTGCGCGATTACGCCGAACCAGGCATCTCGCTCGACATCCAGAGCCGACCCGTGTGCGAGAACTGCGGCAGCCCAGAGATCATCGACCACCCGTTCAAAAAGGTGTTTGGCATCCTCGTGTGTCGCAAGTGCGAGCGCGACAAACCCGAAGCCTACTCGCTGCTCACAAAGACCGAGGTGAAGCAAGACTACCTGCTCACCGATGCCGAGCTGAAGGACGAAGAGCTCATGCCCCATCTGCTCAAGGCGAATCCGCACAAGGCGACGTACTCCAACATGATGCTCTTTTGCCGCAAACAGGTGGAACAGTTTGCCTTTGGCCCGGGCAAGTGGGGATCGGAAGCAGGGCTGGATGAGGAGTTCGAACGCAGAGAGGAGGAAAAGGCCAAAAAGCGCGGAAAGAAGTTCCAGCAGGGTCTGGCGGATCTCAGGAAGCGCACGAGGGACAATGTGTGGCAGAAGCGCAAAGATCAGGAGCACGTGCATGAGTGGGAGGAGGTCGAAGTGCGTGGAAAGGCCACCCAGCGATGCACACAGTGCGGATACGCCGTCGAGGTCGAAGTGTTCTAGCCCACATGCTCATCGTTTGCGAATGGATCTTGCATTGCTTCTTCCAGAGATACAGGGCTAGGGGAAGATTTCGGCCATCATGAGCGCGACTGTGCTGGACCACCCAGTAAACGGGTATCCTCTCTGGCCGTGTCCATCCGCAGGGTTGTACTGTTCGAACACGTAGCCGGTTTGGGTGTACTGGGTGAAGGTATTGTTGACCACGTTTTGGCGCAGCGTGTTGTAGATCTGCTGGGCTTTAGCCTGGTGTGGACCGGAAGTTGTGGCGTACTTGTTGCGCAAAGCTCGCAAGCAGAGGTAGCTCATGTGCACCCAAACGGGACCGCGCCAGTAGTTATCGCCCTGACCAAAGAACTCGTCCTTCGGACTGAGACTTCGTATACCGAAGGGAGACCAGAGATGGTCTGGATCCGCAAGCAGGTCCAGCACATGCCCCAGATGGGGGGAATCGGCCGGAAGCAATTCGAGCATCAGAGGGAAGAGCGATACGTAGCCAGCGTGGCACACGTGGTACGACTGGTCGCTCTCATCCACACTGGCATCGCAGTACATCTGCTTCGCCTCACTCCAGTGCAGATCCTCCAGATTCGCCACAATGTCCGCATAGTGGCGCTCGTACTCGTCCACGTCGTCGTCTCGTCCGAGCACGCGAGCGATCTTCGCCATGGTCTCGGCGAAAGACCCCATCCACGAATGCAGATCCACATGGAGCTCACCCGTATGCGGCACGGGGGCGCGCGGATAGTCGTCCAACCCACTCGCAAGCACATGCTCCTTCGTGCGTCCTCGCCAGCGGTACGCCTCGGTCTTGGATCGCGCCTCGCGATCCCACTCGCGAATCTCCCCCCGCTGCGTGCGGCGGAACCACCGATAGTGCCTACGAAGCTTGGGGTAGATCTCGTGCAGGAACGTCTGTCCGAGCGCAGCCGATGCCAGCATCCTCTCGGACATCGGCGCATCATCGAGCGCATCAAAGTCCGCCACCACGTGCTGCTGCGATAGTGTCGCCGCGTCAAGGCCGCGCTTTTCGATGCGCGCCACCAGCCGGTCGACGTACGCGCTGACCGCCAGGATGAGGGTAGGCGGATTGCCGTACTGCGGATACTGGGTCTGGAAACCATCGGGCACGCGCGACCTTGCCTCGTCGCCCAGAATCTGCTCGCGTGCCACCCATCCATCCTCGTCAATCAGCCGGATCCAGCTGCGCAGGATGTCGAGGCTCAGATCGTTATCCCACGCGCCGATGTGCGCCAGATGGAATCCCTCGTCCCAGTAAAACCCGCGCGGGAAGATGTTGCGGCACGGCGTGGCGGTGAACAGCTGATCCGGCTCCGTCGGCTGCGGATCCGCCTGCCCATGCACTTCGGGATCGTACACGCCCGAGCCCACCTCGGCATCGTACTCGTGCCTAAACGCGCGGTCCACAATGGCCGAGCCGTGGTAGAAGCCGATGCCGCCCGTGATGGACGAGGTGAGGTCGCGCGCAAACTCGATCTGCTGCGGCGAGTATCCCTTGGGCGCGAGGCGCAGCGTGCTCTCGAAGCGACGGTCGTACGCCTCGCTCGCCGCCCTGAGCGCCTGCGTCAGCCCCGCCGACGAAAGCAGTGCACCCTTGGGCGTCGTCGCACTGTCGTAAAAGACGTCGAAGGTAAAGTTGCCCGAGAACGACTTTTGCACCGCAAACAGCGTGGAGCCCGGTGCAACTTGGTCCGAGAGCCGCAGCGTGACCGCAGGGTCGGGCATGTTCTCGTGGCCAAATGTCTCGGCCGATTGCTGGAGGTTGATCATAAGGTCGTTGAGGATGACGTCCTTTGCCTTCCACACCGACTCGGTCGGGATGCGCTTGCCGAACACGTGCGTCTTGCTGGCGGTGTCGGCAAAGTCGCCAGCTTGCGTGTTGGCGGACGGTCGCCCGATGAACTGGTTGCCGTCGGTGTTGGCATTGCCATGCGCAGCATCGGGCTCCTCTATACGCAGGACAAAGTCGCCCAATTTAGGCACCGTGCCAGCAACACGAACAGGTTCTTGACGCTCGATGCCGGATCCCGGTTCGATATCCGTCTCGAGGCCGAGCGAGCTGCCGAGGCTCTCGATCGCCGTGTACCAGAAGGTAGTGAGCGCGGCAGGCTTGGCCGGGTCCATGACGATACCTGATACCCGCGCAGCCCAGCTGCCGCCATTGCTGTTGCTAGTGTCGACCTTGAGGAAGCTGGTCTCTAGACGGTAGTTGTTGACGTTGTCGTTGATCTCCTGGATGCCAAATTCGCGGCCGTCGTGGTACTTCCAGGTGAAGCCCTTCATGCCGTCCTGATCGCTGCACTGGTGGCGCATCTTTTGGAACCCGCTGTAGTCCTGCAGCCCGAACCACGCGAGGCCGGTGAGGAGCGAGTCGGGCAGACGCGGACGCAGGCCAAAGTAGATCTGCGGACGGTACGTGCCCCAGAGCAGCGAGGCGTCGGCGTCAGCCTGCGCCTGGACAGCCTCTGGACTCTTGACGAAGCTCGGTATGCTGTCGTCGCTGTCCAAGTCATCGTCGAGGTCGTCTTGGTCGTAGGCACGCGCGCTGTCGGTTGCCAAGACGAGCAAAAGCGCCAGCGAGGCAACTAACAGAACCGCCAGGGTGCGGATCGGCCTTGTTGACCGTGAGCCGCAGTTGGTGGCCATGGTGCAGCGCGAGCGGCAAGATCAGCTGCCGTGTCTTGCGAGTCGATGCTTTTGATGGTGGCGTAGAGGAGCGACTCTTCGTGTTGCTCTTCTCTGCTCGACGCGAGCCTGACGTGGAGGCTCAGCGAGCGAGAGCTGTTCTTCCTGTCCTCCTCGAGCAAAGCGCTGAGTGCGGCTGATGCCCCGTGCGTCGCTTAATCTTCGCAGTGTTAGATTCAGCCCGCTCGCGTTCTGAGATTTCGGCGCCGGGGCGATCGACGGCACAGAAGCGTGCAGCTGTTTCCCTCCCAGACGTGGTAAGGGGGCCTCCATATGAGGAGCCGCATGAACAGACCCAAGACGAGCGCGAGAGCCCAGCTGCATTGGCAGCGCTGCCAACCTCCAAACGCCGCATCTCGGACGGGCGAACTTCACGCGATGATATCACACGGACCCGTTGTGCGGGCGGGCTCGCGACCAACTCATCTACGGCTGTTCAAGATGGACTCACTGTCCTTTTAAAGCGAACAAAAGCTCGTTGTGCTGCTGCTGGAGCGAGCGCTGCATGATCTCGGGGATTTTGGTCCGGGATGATTGGCTTGATGCACATCCCTGCCTGCTGCTGTGTTGCGCTGGGATGGAGCCGAGGCGAACCAGAGAGCGAGAGCGAGACAAAGGGTCGTCGCATCAGCGGCTGCATCAAAGAATGGCAGCAGCACGGTCTCCACCTCGTGCAGCTTCCAAGAGCAACGGAAATGCGTGGATCGGCGCTTTCCCCCTCGACAAGCTTCGCTGCCATTTTCTTGGATGGCCGATCTTGAAATCCAAACAAAAATCCCACCTCGCCGCGCGCTGCAGAAGGTGCTTGCAGATGGCGGTGCGTCGGTGCGTCAGGTGCGTCGATTTGCATCAACGCGCGGTTGAGCTTGTGCGTGTGGATGTGTGTGTGTGTTGTGGGTGCGGTGCGGTGTGGTTGTGAGTGGGCCGAGTCGCGCGTCTCGAGCCAGCCAGCCTGCCTGCCTGCCAGCCAGCGATGCAATTTTCCAAATGCGCACGCACTCACTCACACTGCAGCCCCGCGCCCCTCGGAGCGCACTGAGCGCAAAGTCCGCTTGGCTGGCTGGCTGGCTGGCTGGCTGGCGGGCTAGCTGGCTCACTCTTTTTGGTGCGCTCGGCCTCGCCTCGCCTTGGCTGCGTGCGCTGCCACGGGGTGTTGGATGTCTCGGGCGGCCGGGCGGAGAGGGAGCAACCCTTGTCTCGCTTTTGGATCCATCGCTGCCCAGCTGCTCCATCGGCCCCCACCACTGCTTGTCCTCTTGCCTCCTCATCGCTGCCGTCTGCCTGCCCCTTGGTCCGCTCGAGCAGTCATTCGACACAGGCCGATCGTCGCGCCGTTCGCATCATCCAAGCAACGCGCGATCCCGCTCCATACGCTCAGCAGCTCAGCACGGGCATCCTGCAACCACCACCACCACCTCGGCAAGTCGATAGATCGCTGCCAGCATCCAGCCCGGCGCTGACGAGGATCCTGCATCCACACGTCTTGGACAACATTCGAAGCTCTCGTCCATCAGTGCCAAACACTCGAGCTTGAAACCACACCGACCAGGCAGTACTTCTGTTCAGGACCGTCGTCGGAGCATCCGAGACAGCCACCCGCGAGCGCATCCGCACGCCGCCAGCACCCTTCCATCTGCTCCGGCACTATTCCATAGCAGTCGTCAATCACATTCCAGGCCCGACAGTTCTCGTTTATCAAGACAACCTCCGACTCCACTCTCTCTCTCTCTCTCCCTATAATCACACACACGCTCCCTTCATGATCGCGCAGGTAAGCATCACACATCCTTCTCTGCGCCCTGCTTCCAGCCTCGACAATTCCTCTGACTCTCCGCCTGCCCCCCACCGCCAGCAACGTCCATCTCCGGCCATGTCAGGTTCTTCGTTTTTCTCACAGATCTCCTCGTTCTTCGGAGCCAGTCCCAACTCCAATTCGCGGTCCGGCGCACGACACTCGTCTCCCTTCAGCTCGGGCCTTCCGTCCTCGTCACGCCGCGGTCCACCTCAAGCGCTCGACGCCAATGCGTGGTCGTTGCCTTACAGCAGCCGCAGCAGCATCCCCGCCTCCCCCGCCTATCCCACCGATGCCCCCAACTCGGCCACCGACGGTCACTATCCGCCGGCCGCTGGCATCGCACGCGCCTCCTCGCCCTACGCCCACGACCATCCTCCCATCTCCACCAGCTCCGTCGCAGAGTTCAGCAACATGTATCCGACCGCATCCACCTCCACCCTCGTCCCCGGCACGGCTGCCAACACCCTCAGCGTCTCGGCCGGTGGTTCGGTGCCCACCACCGCCTATCCACCCATGCGCCACACCTGGAATCGCATCCGCAAGTGGTGCCGCAAAAACTACCCCGAAATGTCCGACACGCTCAACTGGCCCTGCACCGAAGACGCGCTCGACGAGCTCGAGATGACCATCGGCTACGCGCTTCCCTCCGCCGTGCGCGAGTCCTACCTCGTCTACGACGGCCAGGAGCTCGAGTCCAACCAGTCGTGCCAGGACGGCCTCTTCTTTGGCGCCGCCCTGCTCAGCCTCGAGCAGATCGCCGAGGAGTGGAAGTTTTGGCGCGCCGTCGACGAGGATCCCGAGACCGCCGCCAATCCGCACGTGCGCAACCTCATGGCCAGCTGCCCGCACAAGTGGATCCGCCCAGAGTACTCCTGCCGAGGCTGGATCCCCCTCATCACCGACCACGCCGGCAACTACATCGGCATCGACCTCAGCCCCCATCCCGCCGGTGCAGGCTCGCCCGGACAGGTCATCATCTTTGGCAGAGACTTTGACACCAAGGTCGTCTGCTGGAAGGGCGAGGGCGCCGGAGGCTGGGGCCGCTTCCTTCAGTCCTTTGCCGACGAGCTCGACGCTGGCGAGTTCTGGACGCTCGAGGAGCTCACCAGCGCCAGCGAAGACGAGGAAGACGTCATCGGCTACCAGAGCTACTTTAGCGGCGGCGGCGCCGGTGCAGGCCAGGGCGGTGGTGACCGCGGAGGCGAGGGCGCTGCCGCCTTCCGACTGCAAGGTCAGTACAAAGGCTGGCCGGTGCTGGAAGCGTGGGCGGACCGATCGGTGCGTCTGTGGGAGTCGGTCGGACTCGCGCCTGGCAAGCCGGTGGGCAACGCGCAGCAGCCCGCGCAGCCTCAGCCCCAATCCGTAGTCAACCGGCAGTCGCAGCTCTTTGGCGACGACACGGGCATCCCGCCTTCGGTGCAGGCCGTCAACGAGAACGGCGAAGCGATCGATGCAGAGGGCAGCGGGTCGCAACGCCCCGCCATCGCCGTCGGCAAGGAGCTGGCCGGACAAGTGTCGGTCGATGGCCCCGCGCATCCACTTGCGGATGCATCCCTGGCCGGCGACACGAGCGCCGAGGTGCTCATTGCTCCTGCGGATTCCACGCTTGCCACTGACGCAACCACAGTTACCGTCGACACGCAGGCCGCCGACGCCAAGGAGGCCGACGGCAGCGTCGATGTGAATCTGACGCCCACCAACAGCACGCGACGAGTGTCGGGCATGCTGTCGCCTCCCTTGCCCGAGACCAAGGCGTCGTTGCGAAAGCAGAAGCAGCGCGAGGAAGGTTGGGGATCGCCCATGCTCAATCAGTCGGTTGCGATGGGGCAGCAGCCCCGCCGACCCGTGCGACCGGCGCCGGCCCCCGCTGCCACGCTGGATCTGCCCACGATCGAAGACGTCAAGGCGATCCAGGCGGCGGCGCTGGCCGACGACGGCAAGTCGCACAATGTGCAGTTCGACTCGCATCCTCAGGCGCGCAGCTCGTTCACCAACCTCGGCTTCCGCGATCTCGCGGGCAAGATCGGTGCGCCCGGTATGGGGCTTGGCGGCGGCAGCAACGGCAATGCGGTGGGCAGTCCCCAACAGCGCTCCGAGTCGGTCGAGCTCGAAACGAGGAGCAGCGTCGAGAACCGCAGTGCGAACAGCTACATCGTGGGCCAGCGCGGGCGAGCGCGTGGGCTCGGACTCGAGGCCGGCGAAGATGAGGCTGCCGCGGAGGCGTTCGGTGCGATGTCCGTCTCGGCCGCCAAGACGCGCGAGATGCCGTCGTTGATCGATGCCTCTTCGGCGCCCGGTTCGCCTCTGGTCAGGGGTACACCTAAGCTGAGTGAGGCCGAAGTGCCCGCTGCGCTGGCCTGAAGGGCTTTGTGCACATGTGCATGCCAAATTCCATCGCGATTTCTTTCACCCTCTCAGTTGTCTGTTTCGCGTTCGTCGGTATGTCTGAGTGTGGATGTAGTGGTATTGCGCGTCGGAAATGCGGTTCGAAGGATGACAGGCATTACTTGCCGAAGCCAGGGAAGCATTCGGCGAGGGTCTGTGACGGCCAAAGATGATCGAGGCAGGAAGAGGGGTGAGTACTTTGATCGTACCAGACATTTGTGTGTGAGTGTGGAGGGGGGGGGCTTACCTTGTTGTGTCTGTCGGATGCGTGTTGCTGAAGTGCAGGTTCACGGACGGTGAGGAGGAAGGTTTGGCGGCACGTCATGCACATGACGTTCTTAGCCGCCTCGTTGACCTTCTTTTGCGACTTTGCCTCGCCTCCTGCCGCCTTTGCGTTACGCTCGCGTTTCTGCTGCGCCCTAAACACCCACCCACCAACAATGTCAGCAATCCTATCCAGAACCAACGAGCAATAAAAAAAAAGAGGGATGGGGATGGGACTTACTTTGCACCGTTACCCATGATGTTGTTTCGAAAAGGAGAGAGGTTGAGGAGGATGGTGGAAGAACGTCAAGATCCAAAGGCTCGAGACAAGGGTGCAAATGGGTGTCGTGCGTTCGAACTTCCGAGTCCACGTTTTTGCAGACCCTGAACCCGCGCTCTGAAAAAAAAACGGAAACTGTTACATCGCTACTTTTGTCGGTATGGATTATTCGCTCAAGCCTGCCTATCGAACATCCTTGCCTTGCACCACCTTCATGCTCAGATAGCAATCCAGCTTGATCGGAGGCTGCTTGTGCGAGAAGCATCTGAAAAGCTTGGTGTACAATAATGCCCGAGTGAAACATAAGCTGTGCAGTGGTCGCAGCAGCAAACGGGTGCACCGCGCCTGGCTAGTGTCGGCTAGGCAGAATCGTGACTGGGCAGCTACTGTAAACCACTTGACGAAAACTCTCGAGAGCGGCAAGACTGCAACCTGGGTGCCATGAATCGTGGCCGCCCATGAGCGAAGTTCAGCATAGCGAGGGCAATGCACAAGGCTAACATTGTGCTTGGGATCACACGCAAGCTTCCGCTCGAGCAAGGCGCTCCGTTCGAGCAAGGATGGTGGATTTCGCAACACTCGAAGCGTGGGAATGCCTCCGTCGCAAATCGGAGTGGGGGTTGCGCTGGCGTGTCATGTGTCTGCTCACCATCCGTCACTCGATAAGTTCCAGGACGGATCCAGCCGGATTGAGCACCCGCCGCATCTTCTGTGAGCTGCGAAGCCTGTGTGCCGAAAGCTTACAGCCTCTTGAGGGGGAGGCGCAGCGACGTGTATCGACCCTGCATTTGCGATATAAGCCACGCCCCGTGTCCCTCCTGTGCCCGCTCGTTATGAGCAGCCTCTTCAAGAATGTGGCACCGGGACAGTGGATGCTTCACCACCGAGGACTGGGTCAACGACCTTGTAGCCCGGCACGATGTCGACCAGACATCCACGGCACCCGTGAGCTTCGAAAGTCTACACCTGATCCAAGAGCACCAGGCAGCGCAACTCGAACACGAGGCCTTCCAAATCCCAGGCTGCGAATCCATCCTCTATAGCGATTTTGTCATCGACGGCAATCACGTCAACGCTCGTATCGAGTTCGACGTGCCCCAGCTCATGCTAGCTCCCACCCTCGAGTTGATCTCCAGACTTCCTGGCTGGATCACCATCAACTTCTAGTCAAGACCCGCATAACATTTTACAGCAACATCTTCACTCAAGATCACACGCTCAGCTCTACCCAGCCGAAAGTGGTTGATCGACGAAGGATGGCTGCATGAGCTCGTTCTACCTCTCACCTCGAGAGAGAGCGCGAGCGACTCCACTGACCTCGCCTTGTGCATCGCATCTGTGCGTCCCCATTCGCCAAGCGCAACGACCGGCACATTTCGCCAGGCACAGGTCGGAGCCCTACGTCCCAGTGACGCTGCTGACTGTGCGCTAGCATGTGGTTCGACGTCAACAATCAATGCCACTGATGTCGCATATGTCGAGCGAGTGGAAAGCATTGAGCTGAATCAAAGGTCTCAAAAAATAAAAATAAAAATATCGGGAGCAAAAAATGGACCCTTTTTTGAGCGTGGTGCGAAGCTTTGAGCGCACAGATCCGCACCCAAAACGTGCAGTCCAACACTGTCAACACACCACCATCTCGCGCACTCCCCCCACCAGCAACCGCCAGCATGTCGCGCGCCTCGCACCGGCCACTCCGGCGCAGCAAACGCGCTCTGTTCTCTCGACTCGCATGCGTCGCGCTCGCTCTCTTCCTCCCCGCCGCTGCTGCCACTGCGTCGGAATCGCTGGGCGAGCAGCTGCTGCTCAAGCCGCTTGCCGACGGCCGCGTGTTGGCGTCGTTCGAGTTCACGCTCACCTCGGCGTCCGCAGGTACGGGGAGCTATGGGCTCATGCCGCGCGCGCTCATGCAGCCGCTCGACCACTTTGGCGTGAGCGAGCTGCAGCTCGCGCTCAACTCGGGGCGGTGGAGGTACGCCTCGTGGGGTGCACCCGTCACCACGCTCCGGCGCCGTTCGAGCTATGAGGAAACGCAGCCCGGGCGCATGGGTGTGGGCGAGGAAAGCGTGGCCAGTGGCGCCGAGCTGGTAGCACGGTTCGAGAGCGAGCCGACATCCGAGCAGTGGAAGGGATTGACGTCGGCACTGGCAGGGTTGTTTTGTGCATCGCTTGCGCTGGATGAACGACATACTACGCGGCCACAGTGGGCGTACAGACAGGAGGATGGAAGGAGGACACTGCATGCCATGCTACCCACCGAGGGTGTGTGCACCGAAAACTTGACGCCGTTCATCAAGCTGTTGCCCTGCAAGAACGCCGCGGGCGTGGCGAGTTTGTTGAATCCGCTCGCGCTGTTTGGCGCGCCGTTCCATGGGCTGGCGGTGCATGCGGCGCGCAGGGAGCTCGGCTGGGAGGTCAAGTTGACCTTCACCACCGTCTTCGCCCCGGCGGTGACGAGGGACATCAGCGTGCGCGACTGGTCGCTGCAGTCGCTGTTCGGAAGGAGCCTCGAAAAGGCGTGTCCGCTGGCAGACAGCGCGGTTCTGCGCGTGCTTGCGCCACCCAAGACCGACGGCGCAGTGGCACATGTGGTGGCGCCGCTACCGGAGTGGCCAACGTGCTCGGCGCCGGGAGAGAAGCGCGCTCGCGAGTATGCGCGGTTCTTCCCCGTGCTCGACGACGAGGACGAGGTGACGGATGGCCTGGCTGCATCCGGCTTGCTTGCATTCGAGACCGACGAGGAACGCAATGCGTATCGCGACCGGCTGCGCACGCGATGGGCCCACTACCTCGCGCACACCGACGGCGAGTACATCTATGACGTGGCGACGCTCACGCGCGCATCGTCCGAGTGTCAACGTGCGGCCGACTCGGAAGGGTCGCTTGACATTCGCATGGCCTGGCCGGATGAGCAGCGCTTCGCCTACCCGCTCAACACCACCTCGCCCCTGCTCACTGCGGACCGCACCCTGGTCGGACACGACCAGCAGCGTGGACGGCTCGAAGTCGTGCTCACCAATGCGGACACTGTGCCACAGCGGGTGGTATGGTTCGAGGCGCTGGGGAGCTTTGTCGTGCCGTACCTGCACACGCGCACGCACACCACACAGTTCCTCCCCGGTCAAGCGGAGAACGAGCTGATGCGCGGGATTGAAGATTTCGCGGATCCGGTCGAGCAAGTGTCGTACCAACCTCGCTCGCGCGATGCGGCGTTTGTGCTGGAATCGATCGTTCGCATTCCCCCGCGCTCGGTGGTCAAGATGAGCATCGAGGTGGCAAAGGCCTTTGTGCCCTACTCGCAACACCCACCCGATGCGCATAGGGGCTTCGACCTTGCCCCCGCCATCTTTTTCCCCTTGGCACCAACAGACCCGCGAGCCAAGGTCGGTGCGTTGCAAAAGTACAATGGCGCAAAGGTGGTGCCCAAGACGAGGGGTAGGATATATACCCTGCCGAAACTGGTCGAACTCGCAACGCCCGACTTTTCGTTTGTGTATACGAACATCATCTTTACCAGCACGGTGGTGGCGTTGTTCTTTGGGTCCACTTTGAATACGCTCCTGCGCACGTACACCGACTTTGTAGTCTAGATGCACACAATACACAAGGATCCTTGGTAATCATACTGGCACGGCATGCGTGCTTGCAGGCAGCCTCGCAACGCGGCTTCTGATGGACTTTGTGATAGTACCCTCGCGCACCTGGAAGAGTCGCAGTTCTTGGCCGTGAACATTACCAGCACCTGTTAGCTTGATCGTCAAGACAGTGTGGGGACATTGCTTGTTGGCAACGACTTTGGCCGCTTTGATGCGCTGCGTCGACATGGCCATGCAGGAGGTGGGTACTGATCTACAGGCTGTGCCGAATCGAGGCGCGGGGCATTGAGATGCACACGCGCCGAGATGCGGTGGCCGTCGGTGCAGATTGGCGCGCCCATCACGACAGCTGCATAAGCTCGGGCAGGCGTGTGGCTGCGGAGAGCAGGTTGGCGCTGGTGCTTTGCTTGCTTGCGGCGAATCTAAACGACGGCCACCAGATCTCCCTCAGACCGCAAGCTTCAGTCTTTGCGGCTGAAGCGTGGCCCTGAGGCGCAGATGCCAGATACAGATGCATTGATGAGAACCGAGCTAGCCAGTGCCCATCGCACGCTGCTTTCTTCGGGCCAACTGCGTCTGCGTGCCCGACACGCCCGCGCCACAAACCAGCGCAAAGGAATCCACGCATGCATCGCACAGTCACCACGTTGCTTCAACAACAGTCGGCAGTGATCACGCAGCTGCGAGACACATCGTCGGGAGCAAGGTCGAGCGATCCGCCACATGCGCTCCTCCAACACCAACCGCCCTAATGGCTCTACGCATGCGTCACGAGCCAGCCGCAACAACTCTGCTTCGATCTCTGAGCCTCCTCTCGACACTCGTCATACAATCCCATCGAAAGAGAAAGGTGAGGGACGTGTTTGCGATACAGATCATACCCAGGCTCAACCTCAACACCCAGTTTCGTGGGAGAGTGGATTTAAAAAAAAAAAACAACTGTCCATTGAGGTATGTGAAGTGCTCATCCGCCCCATTCGAAGCACTCGCTGACGACATTGACGACGCCCCTTGTATCGCCCATCCTGACCTTCTTGGGGTCAATCTGCTTGCTGACAATACTCCTCAGCACGATATCGAGGCTTTTTGGACCACAACCAGCCACAAGCGTCCTGCCCTGGCTACGATCCACCTCCTGCCGAATGATGCGGTCGAGTTTAGGATGCCCGGGCTGGGCGAGCTCTGCCACGACGCGCAGGTCCACATCCTCCTCGGCATCCAGATCGATCGGCGCATCCTCGAGTGGAGACTTGGCAGACGCCACTGGAGCCACAGAGGTGTTGAGCAGGTGCAAAGTAGACCCGTTCCGAGGCGTACTGCCGCGCAGAGCCTCAGTATCGTCGGCAGCTAAGAAGCCAGAGTGCGCGGCGTCAAAACTCGCACTGTACGGCGTGGCGAGAGGCGATGCTGCGAAGCGTGGCGTACTCGAACCCGATGCACCTCCACCGCCGAATGCAGGAGGAGGCACAAGATCACCGTTCGCAGAACCGGGACGCGATGCGCTAGGCGACATGTACGCCGACAGCGGACCCAGATTCGAATCGGTCGTGCCGTACGGTGCGGCTGGAGGCGATGTGGTTCTTCGACTATCCATGTGTGCACCACCCGGCTGCAGCCGCCCTGTCTGCACAGGCAGCCACGTCGAGTCGTTGTCAACCTCGGCACCGTCGGCCAGATCCTGCTCCACGGCAGCCGCGCGTCGCGGTGGATAGGCAGCGCCAGGTCCTGCAGAAGGATGAGAAGGTCGCTCGGGTGCTGGTGCAGCATTGAGACGCTGCGGCCGACCGGAGCTGATGCGCCCTTCGTACATGGCGCGCTGCGACTCGATCACCTGCTCGTCGCGATCCAGCTCAGCAGGTGCTGCCTTGGCGCCGCGACCTCCCTTGCGCTTGACCGTATTGCGCCTTGTCTTGGCGCGTCGCAGCTTGCCCTCGGTGCGAATGCGCTTGTTCATCTCCTCCTCCATGGCGGTGGGTGCACTCTGGTCCTCGCCGTCAAAATGCGTAAGGTCGTAGGCGGTGAGGTCGTACTCTTCCTGCTCGGGCCCCTCGGTGAAGCGAGCCGCCTTGGAGAAACCGCCGTCGGCCTCGGCACCTGCTCCCCATCGCTGGCGGCTGTCGTACGTGTTGGTTCCGAACTCGGATGGCGGCGGACCAAAGTCTTGGCTGCGTCCGCCTCGACTCGCACCCCTGGCTGCATCCGCGAGCGCCGAGCGGTGGTTAAAGTGCGTCACGTACAGATCGACCTGGAGGTGCTCGGGCGGGAGCATCTCGATGCATCGTCGGAGCGCGGCGGCGACCCACTGGAGGTGCGAGAACTCGCGCATGATCCACACGAATCGCACGCGCTTGGTCAAAAAGTGCTTGCCGCCCTTGCCGTCCTTGCCGAGCTTCATGGCGCCGACCATGCAGGCGCAGAGATGCTCGAGCACCGACATGCCGAAGCTGACGCCCGAGCCGCCGCAGACGATGACGACGGTCGAGTGGATGTTCCAGTGCGTGCGGTCGGCCGAGCCGTACGGACCGTCGACGATGGCACGGATGTGCACGCCGGTGGTGTCCTTGCCGAGTGCAGGCACGGCGGTTGTGCCCGGCAAGCCGTGCACGCTGGCGCCGTGCTGGGCGTCGGCAGCGGCTTCGATCTGCATCTGGCGCTTCTTGGCCACAAAGTTCCACAGATGGCGCGTAAAGCCGCGTCGGCAGCGGACGAGCAGCACCATGGTCCGCTCTTCGCCCTTGGCCTTCTGTACGGCGAGCCCCTTCTCGTGATCGGCGTCGACAAACTCGGTGGCGACGGGGAAGTCGGCGTCGTGGGCCGAGGCGATGGTGAAGGGATGCGACTCCCAGAAGCGGACGCTGGGGATGTTGAGGTAGACCCACTGGCCGGGCTGCCACGACATTTTGTTGGGTGTGCGCAGCGTGAGTCGCAGCGTCTTTCCTGGCAGCAGCTGTACAAAGGCAAAGCCAGGACGGATGACGGCAGCGACGTCGGCCGACATGGCAGGACGTGGTCGCAGCTGTCGAGGCATGGTGGAGGACATGACGCTAAACATGGTGGATGGTCTGGCGGAGAAGGCCGACGATGGCTCGCTGCGCATGCGGCTGGGATGGGGCGGGGGGTAGGCTGAGGCATGTGGAGCTTCGGCAGGATCTTGGAGCGAGTACTTTGCGTCGTAGCTCGGTTGCGATGCGTATTGCTGCGGCAGCGCGGGCAGAGGCTCGGCTGGGGGAGGCGGATAGACGTCTGCGTTGGAGTGGCTGGAGGGGATGTAGTCTTGGATGAGATCGTTGACCGGATCGTACCGCGCACTTGCGCGCGTCGCCCTCCTCTCGAGCGACTTTTCGCCGCTGCGTTCAGGACTGTGTTGGTGGCGCGTTTGGAGTGGGTGGGCTGCGCCCGTTGTGAGAGGCTCGCCGCGGCCATCGAGGGGCGGCGGGCTGGAGATCTTGCGGCTGTCGGCATCGGGAAGAGATTCGACGAGCGTGTGCTCGTACTCGGAGCTGCGGCGAGACTGGGGAGCGTGCCTGTGTGAAGATGCGGAGCTGGCGTCGAAGGCGGTGGGAGGGTGTGAGGCGTGGTGAGTGTTGGGCGTGAAGAGCTTGTCATCGTGGTAGTGGTACGATTGAGGGCAGGGACCAAAGGATGGATGGGCGTAGGGAGAGCGCGGCATAGGCGGGCGCTGAGAGTGTGAGTAGGAGCCTTCTGACCAGGCGGCCGAGTGGGAGTGGGACATGTGCGGTTTGGGAGCCAGTGCGAACTGCGGTTTGCGACCGGCAAAGCCGAGGCCGTTGATCCATGCCACCTTGAGCGCTCTTGTGAGACGTTCTGCGATCCACCAGGCGAGAGGGATGTACATCCATTGGGCCAGGGGCGGGTGGTGAAGCATGGCGGTGATGATGAAGCCGGCGACGGTGACGACGTGGGCGATGTAGAACCACTCGTAAAAGTGGTTGCGGATGGGACCGATGGAGAGGAAGGTCATGGCGGTGAGGAAGCCGTAGGAGGCCCAGCCCCAGCGGAACTTGGTCCACATGAAGACGAAGCTCCACACGGGCTCGCCGATGCGCGTGTCCTTGTTGAGTTGGATGCACCAGGTGACGAGGTGTGCGGTGCCAAAGAGCCAGATGATCCTGCCGCCCCACTTGTGGAGGAAGGAGAGGCGGTCGAAGGCGTAGCCACCAAAAAAGCGCGTGGAGAGGAGGGCGAAGGGGACCTGTTTGAGGGCCATGATGAGGACGATGGGGACGAGGCCCATGGTGATGTCGCCTGTGCGGTCGCCGGTGGTCCACCAGGTGCGGTAGGGGAGGGTGCGTACGGGCGGGTAGGTGGTGACGATGGGGTAGGAGCCCTGACCCCAGATGATGCGCCTGCGGAGGAGACGGATGGCGCGCCTGGACATGCCGACGGTGTTGGTGGTCTGGGCGGGCCAGCTCTGGGAAAAGTCAAAGACGCCGTTGGTGGGGCCGATAAAGTCGGCGCCGACGAGGGTGAGGACGATGGGAACGGCGATCATGAAGAAGAGGAGGAGGAGCCTGCCGAAGCTGGGGAAGGAGAGCATCTTGCGAGGCTTGAGCGGGGCATAGGCGCGGATGAAGCCGTGGTTGTCCTTGTGTACGGGGTTGCCGTGGATGTCGACGCGCTTGCCGAGCTTGTAGACGCGATTCTTGGTGGCCCAACGCTTCCATTTTGCGCCGATGTAGGATCTGTCGCCGAGGCCGAGCATGTGGAAGGAGCCGAGAACGAGGCATACGACGATGGTGACGAACCAGAGGAGGTAGACGTAGCGATAGGATGGCGAGGGGAGCATGTGCGCGTTGAAGTAGCCCTGGAGGTATTGGTACTTGAGCTGGTCTGGATCGAAGCAGGAGCCGGAGCAGCCGCCGGACGAGGAGGACCCCGACGAGCCGACGCCTGGAGAGTAGGCGCCGCCGGAGGACATGTTGAGCGCAAGAGGTAGCGTGGGCGGGAGGACGGACGGACGGACGGACGAGAGGGTGAGGATTATGTAGGTTGGGTGATCATCGCACGAGCGCGGATGAAGGCGTCGTCGCGCTGGTGTGGAGTGTGTGCGGTGATAGTGAGAGGCGGGTTGCGTTGGTGTTGGAGGAAGGTGGCGTGTGTTGTCGGTTGGATAGGATGAAGAAGGTGCGGCGGAGTGCGGGTGGGCGGCCAAGGCTTCGGCGTGGGCCGGTTGCAAGTGGTGGAGGCAAGCTGTGCGGTTGCACCAGGCGGACAGGCGAATCGGGGAGGTGGTGGCAGCAATCTAGGCTCTAGAATGTGGACGCAGACATACGAGCGCCGGCACGAAGCACGGTTGGTTGCGGCTGAGAGCGATGGCAGCGAGGCAAGGCGACGAATGGTTGCTGGTGCGTGTGGGTATGGCGTTGTCGTGCTAAGGCTGCTCCATCAACGCCGAGGCCGAGCCGGGATTGCAGAGCCAAGAGGGAGAGAGAGCCAACGAGAGAGAGAAACAGCCGCCATCCACGCCGAGGCCCTTTCTTTCCCTTTTTCCCCCCTGATTTTGGATTTTGCGGGATTTCCAGGGCAGCTGGACTGCACTGCTGCACTGTGACCGAACCGATTCAGCAGAATAAATCGAAAAAGAAATTCAACAAAAAAAGGCGCGCCAAGAAGACCGCGCGCGCACACGCCGACCTCATCCACGGCAGTAGCCCAGCTGCAGCACAGCACCGCACAGCACAGCACAGCAGCGACAGCACGGCCACCGGACCCTGCGTGACAGACGGCCTGCGCTCGGTGAATTTCCGAATGTCCATTGCAAAGCTCGTTGGTAGCAGCCGTGCCGTGGATGTCGACGCATTTCCGACGTCGATCCGCGTGTGCTGTTCTTACGGTCATTACGGTCCGGAGCTCATCCGATTGCAGCAGCATGTGATGACCTCTGCTCGTCGTAAGGCAGATTCACTCTCGACCTTCGCACGTCATGCCGAGGCGATGCTGTGACTGTTGCCAAGGCTACTGTAGCGGGACGGACGTCAAAAAAATCCTCAATTTTTTACCACAAAATCATCCGGGTCCTGCATGCACTTCGGCACGACCTTGCGTCGAACCACACGGTCGCGAATGCAGGCAACATGATGCAGATTTGTAGATGCAGTGGATGAATCGAAGCAAAGCTCACTCTGCCTTTGCGGCGGTGGATCGACGACTGGAACGGCGCGTGGCTGGCTGGCTCGTCTTGGCTGGCTTGCTGCTCTTGCTCTTGCTCTTTTGGTCCTCCTTGTCCGCCTCTTCGTCTTCGCCGTCGGTCCAGTTCCACACCTGCTTGAACTCGCCGCGCAGCGCTGCCGTGATGAACACCGCACCCGTGCACGCCGGGCTGAGGTACAACAGCGCCGGCTGGGCCGCCTTGAAAAAGTGCATGACGCCCATCGTCGTCGCCAGCCCGGCCACGTACGCTGCCAGCGTGGCGCGGAAGTAGGGCTTGTCGAATCGCGTGTAGCTCTTTGTAAATCCAACCGACGGCTTGGCCTCGCTCGCCACCAGCTGGTCGTACCGCAGCGCCAGCGCAACAAAGATGCCCGGGATCACGATATCGCCCAGTCCAAGCATGGTGAATTGCAGCTTGGGCAGCGTCTCGTGCGCACGCAGCGCCCATACCGCCTCGAGAATGTTCTTGGGCCAAACGATCTTGATGGGTGCATCAAAGTTGCGTGCCACCGACACCATCACCGGCGTCGCAAACACCCAAAAGATGTCGTACACAAACAGCCCACCCAGCATGATGGCGCCCGTGCGGAACGAGTCGAGCGACATGAGCGCAATCGCATTGAGCGACAGCGACAGCGCAAGCAGGTTGCTGATGATCCAGTTCTTGGTCACCAGATACACTCCCACCAGCACCGCCGACACCGCCAGCAGCCCAACGTCGACCGTGGTGAACGAAAGCTTGAATACGCGCCCCTGTCCGCGCTGGTCCAGCTGCAGCCGGAAGCTCGGCAGCTTCTTCCACGCCTTGCGGCCCACAACGCCGCGACACGTCGACACCAGCGCCTGGCTCAGCGCAAGACACCCGACAAAGCCAAAGTAGAAGCTGAGCAGCAGGTTCACGTACCGCTTGTCCAGGTACTTGGTCACCAGGAACAGGCTGAACAGCACCGCCGATCCCATGATGGGGAACCACATGGCATCCGACGACGTCACCCGATCCAGCACGTCGTCGTCATCGTCCGAGTCTGAGTCCGAATCCGAATCCGAATCCGTTTCCGAGTCGTCGCCACCCTTGCGCTTCTTCTTGGCTGCCTTATTCAGCTCGCGCGTCGTCTTGGGCGTCTTGAGCGACGCAAACGATCCAAAGTAGATGGGTGCCAGTGCACCGCCCATCAGCACCGCATATGCGATCAACAGGTCTCGATCGCCCGCCATATTGAATGCTTTCTAGACGATCGACGAGATGGTGGCGAAGCTTGACAAAGCGATGCAACTAACTCTGCGTTCTCTTATGCAGTCCAGCTGGCGCAAACTGTCGACGTGTCGCTTGATGAGAGGCGTGGGCGAGCTGCAAGACGAAATGAAGTGCGCTCGGACCCGGTCTTGCTGAATCCAAGTGCCGGTTGCTCTTTCGTAGCCAAGCCTGCAGTCTGCAGAGAGATGGAAGCAACAATGAAGGTCCTGCTTGCTGGTGGAACGCAGAGCTGTCGTTCGCAGTGACGCGCCCAGTCGAGTTGAGCAGTCGAGAAGAACGCCGCGTCTCGAGACCAACACCGCTCTGGCTGCACACTTGCGGGCCGCTCCAGGCCAATCTGCGGACGTGGCACCAAGCGCGCAACTTCAAACTGTTAGGCTTCGGAAGAGGAAAGGAACGATCGGGTCTCGGACCGATATCGACGCCCGATCGAGTCACATCTCGGCTGGCAACGCGTTCGGATTGCCGGTCCAGGGCGCTGGTGGCGCCAAAATTTCGAATGGAAGGCTTTGGAAGAAATCCAAGTGCGCGCCCGCAATGAATGCGCAGCCGGCCTCCAAGTGTTGCTCTTTCTTCCACACGGCGCTAGAAAGACAATGCTCAGCTGTGAACTGTCTATCTCCGGCTGTAGCGTCGTCAGTATTGTGAACGGCATTTGCGCTCAACAAGAGCTTCGACTTTTGTGCTGAGCTTGCTTGTATGCTGGCTTCCAAAGAAGTGCCGTTCGGAACTTGGGCGTGGGCGTGGCCGAGAAAAGTGGCGAAAGCGCGCTCGAATTTCTCGGCCAAGCGAGAATCCCACCGAAACATCCGTCTCGCTGCTGCTGCTGCTGCTGCTGCCACGCCGCGTTTCCGTTGAATTTTTCGAGATTTCACACCCACCGATTTTGGCCGTCGGGCAGATGTCGCTCGACTGCTGCGCAACTTCTCTAAAATTCAACTGCCACTCTCTCGGAGACTCGCATTGACATCTGCAGGTATCTCTGGTCTCGACTCTCATCACCCTCACCACCACCACCACCACCACTCTCACAGGCATCGACACCTAACGTCCTTGCACATACCCTCACCCGCAAACCAAGGACAGCTGTATCGCAACCAGCTCTTCTCGCGGACCGTTCTCAAGTGCGCCTCTCAGCATCGCACGAGTGTCCATCTTCACTTCTAGGACATCAGCTTCACTCAACCTCCGACGAGGCTTTTCGCATCGCAACACCAACCAAAAGCTGCACCACCACCACGCAGAACACACAGCCATCATGGTCAAGGAGACAAAGTTCTACGACCTCCTCGAGGTCTCCCCCACCGCCTCCGAGGCGGAGCTCAAGAAGTAAGTCGGCTCCCCAGCCCTTGCCCGCATTGCAGGCTACCCCCACTTCGCTCTTACGGAAGTACTGACCGAGATTGTCACCCTGCTTTTGACCATAGGGCCTACCGAAAGAAGGCGTTGAAGGAGCACCCAGACAAGGGTGGCGACCCGGAAAAGTTCAAGTCCATCACCGCGGCATACGAGGTGCTCGCCGACTCTGACAAGCGCGACCTCTACGACCGCTTCGGTGAGCAGGGCCTCGAGGGCGGCGGAATGGGCGGCGGCATGGACCCACAGGACCTCTTCTCCCAGCTCTTTGGCGGCGGAGGCGGCGGCTTCTTCGGCGGCCAGGGCGGCCGTCCGCGCGGCCCACGCAAGGGCAAGGACCTCGTCCACCGCGTCAAGGTCTCGCTCGAGGAGCTCTACGCCGGCAAGGTCACCAAGCTCGCACTCCAGAAGCACGTCCTCTGCAAAAAGTGCGACGGCCGCGGCGGCAAGGAGGGCGCTGTCAAGACGTGTGGCGGATGCAATGGCCAGGGTATCAAGGTCGTCCTCCGACAACTCGGCCCCATGGTCCAGCAGATGCAGCAGACCTGCCCCGAGTGCCAGGGCAACGGCGAGATCATCAACGCAAAGGACCGCTGCAAGGAGTGCAACGGCAAAAAGATCAACCAGGAGCGCAAGGTGCTCGAAGTCCGCATCGACAAGGGCATGGAGGACGGCCAGCACATCACCTTTAAAGAGGAGGCCGACCAGGCGCCCAACACCATCCCCGGCGACGTCATCATTGTCGTCGACGAAAAGCCACACCCGCGCTTCAAGCGCAGGAAGAACGACCTCTACATTGACGTCGAGGTCGACCTGCTCACAGCGCTCGCCGGCGGCAAGATCCTCATCGAGCACCTCGACGACCACGCCCTCTCCGTCGAGATCCCCGCAGGCGAGGTGATCAAGCCTGGCGAGGTCAAGGTGCTGCGCGGTCAGGGCATGCCCAGCTACCGCCACCACGAGCTCGGCGACCTCTACGTCAACCTCAGCGTCGCCTTCCCCGAAACCATCGACCTCGACGCCATCCCGCTCCTCGAAAAGGCGCTCCCACCGCGCAACGCCTTGCCCAAGACCAAGAAGGAGGTCGATGTCGAGGATGTCCAGATGGACGACCTCGACGAGCGCGAGGCGCGCAACGCCAAGCCCAACGGCGCAGGCGCTCAGCACATGGGCATGGACGACGACGACGAAGACGGCCCCGGCGGCGGACCCCAGGTGCAGTGCGCCCAGTCCTAAGCCCGCGTTCCTCGTTTCCACAGCATCTTCCATTTGGTTACCCCCCGACGATCCGACGATCATCCGTGCACCACACACACGGCCTCGCGCTTCTCCGTGTTCATCCCGCTCTGTTCTCGCAACGTAGATTCTCGTCCCACGCAAGCACACATACGCGAGTCAGAGCGTTGCTGAGGGGAACCCTTTGTTTGGCGTAAGAGAGCTGATTATGAGTTGAAAAACTGTGGTGAATTGGCCTCGACGGAACAAGCGCCGAAAGCGGGTGTTGCAACGCAAACGCACAAAGATGGACATGGTCAAAGAGTCAAAGAGGCACTTCTGAGGGCCCAGAGGATGAAACGGAGCCAAGGTGAGGCGGCATTTCGCGCTATAGCTGGTACTGAGGCGGAGTCAGTTGTGCGAGTTGGTCCACACGCACACACCTAAATGCGCGCAAAGAGCCGGTGCTAAGGCGGATGCTTCTCTCACATGCCACCCAAACACGCGCAATGACTTGGTGCCGAGTGGGGGGCAGTGTTGTGCAAAGGCGCCAAAGAATCAGGAATGTGCGGTTGCGTCTCGTACGCACACGCCAACCTGCGCTCAAACCGTTAGCGCTGAGAAGAGTGCTGTTGTGAATTGAGTCAGTGCTGAAGGGGG